GGGGGGGGGGGGGGGGGGGGGGGGGGGGGGGGGGGGGGTAGAATTGATGAAGTTCACAATGTATGCCAATACTCGTGTGCCCCTTATAAACTGTATGACAAGCAATCATATACCTTTCAGTTTCAATCACCAGTCAACGTGTACTACGCAAAGATAATAGGTTGACTATATTTTTGACATTTTCTTTTCCGTTTATAGGCTTTTCTATTTTATTCATGCGTTGTATTCAATTTTTGGAGGCTTTCAATAGATCATCATTAGAAGCCTTCCTTGTTTTATTTTCGTCATATGTTTGCATCATTCTTGTTCTCATCAGCGTCAGCTTTTTTTTATGATGTAATAATTTTTTATTTTTGATATTTCTAAGTCACTTTTATTTTTCTAATCCATAGATATTGTACAAAATCTACCCCATAAAAAATATATTTCACAACCATTTTTATAGAACATGAAATCATTGATGTAGCGTTTAAATAGTACGAAAGTTTGCGAGACACATTCGTTCAACAACAGACGATTGTTTCGTATCCCCTGAATTATAATTAGGGTTAAACTTGCATCCCCTAAATGTTTATTCTTCTATTTTTAGATTCTTGTTGTTTAACGCGCAAATTAAAAATAAAAAAATATAAACAATGAAAACAAAAGAAGTTGCAAAATATCTAAAAATAAAAAAAAAATACTACATTTATTCATTTTTAGATTTTATGCGTTTATGCATTCCCCGTATAGAGTCCACAATAAAATACGAATGAACTTCAATTAAATTAAAAGGTATGAAAGGAATAAACCTCTATAGTTGTTAAATGTAATACAATTAACTGTAGTAAATCAATTTAATCTGTCGATCCAAAAATGTGATGTACTGTAAAGTCGAGGTTGTGGAGATGGATTAACTTTTGTAACTGAAACCTTGTCAATATTCATCCAAATATTTTCCGAAACTACTGCAGCTGACTTTGTAATAATACAGTATGAATAATAACAATGGATTTTTAGTTATCCCCTAAAATACGGATAAAGAATCAGTTCTACAAGTTCGTATAATCCCATTCGAAAGTTAAGCTTGTTTGCAATCATGACGAAAATCCATGTTTTAGTTTCTAGAAACACTCTAAGAAAAAGTTTCAAAAAATTATTTGAAGAAAAGCTTAATTGGAGTTCTAGTCTCGTTTCAGTTGCTTTCAGATCCATTCCAGTTGAATATCCATGTAAACACATGCCAGTCAAACTATGAAGGCTTATAAAATTTACGGGGTGTCCAACCCAGTTACATCTATTGGAAATTAACACGTCAATCATATATAAGAGGATTAGACCAATATCCCTTTATTCCCCCACTTGTTCCCCCGTATTCCCCATCTTAGTAAACAATAAAGATCGAATAAAAACACAGCGACTTAAAAATAGAATTTTAAAGTTTCAATGTTAATTGGATTGTTTCTTCTACTTTAACAATTGATTATAGTGTAGAATATATTCTTTTTCAAACCTCTATCGCATATTTGTGCAGCTGTTGTCATGGAGAAGTTAATCATTCTCAAAGGGATTGAATTGTTGGATGACTTAACCATCCCAAGCTTATAAATAAATAAAAAAATATTAAACTTCTATTGCCGCACTGCGCATGAATTGGTCATTTTAAACAATAGAAAAAATATTCATTTGCCATGTATTCTAAAAAATAATAAATATTTTTGAAAAAATTTCCAAACAAAATAAAAATAAGGATCATTCGATTGCTAAAACTTTACTTAGCGTTTCTATATTTTTTAATGAGATCTATACATCGCATCTAATGACCTTTCTGCAACCTTTTTGAAATCCCTTGAAAAAGTCTATTAAACTTAATATAAATAGGGCATGACTTTTTTGAAAATTCTCATAACTCATGTATCTATTCTTAACTTTGTTTCCTATATCAGACAATTTTGATTACCTTCCGTGCTCAGGTCAATAGAATATATAAAGTAAATAAAATATCCCATTTCAAAGATTTAAACATTTTGATAATATGCTTCCATCACATTCTAACAAAATGTTTGCTGCTACTAATGATATCCTTGAAGCAAATACCATGTTGTTTTACTTAATAGGGTTGGCATTACTTGGCTTCACATTAGTATACACTATTGTACTTGCTTTTAGCCGTACTCCACGACTCCCCTTACCTACTGAAGATACATATGTTACTAACGATGAAAAAGGAGAAAGACACGATTTACCTCCCAGAATAACAACCTCAAGTAAATACAAAGACTATGATATTGATATTAGTCTTATCATCCCTTGTTATAATGAAAGAAAAAGATTAGGAAAAATGTTGGATGAATCAGTTGAATATCTTGAAAAAAATCATCAAGGTAGATATGAAATTTTAATTGTTGATGATAATTCAAAAGATGGTACTCGTGACTATGCAATCGAAAAAGCTACCGAACTTGGTTTACCCCCTCATATTATGAGAGTCGTCAATCTATTAAGAAGAAGAGGAAAAGGTGGTGGAGTTTGTCATGGTCTATTACATGCCCGTGGAAAATATTCAATTTTTGCTGATGCTGACGGTGCTACCAAGTTTTCCGATATTAATCAATTCATTGAATTTATGGATGATGCACAAAATAAAGAACCTAGTATTGCTATTGGATCCCGTCGTGCTGTATTGGCGGAGGAGGAAGCTGTTGTTAAACGGTCCTTAATCCGGAGATTTATGATGCTTGGTTTACATACTTTGGTATTTGTATTTGGGATTCGTGAAGTTGACGATACTCAATGTGGTTTCAAGATGTTTAATTTTGAAGCTGTTAAACGAATTTTCCCTCATTTACATAATGAAAAATGGATTTTTGATTTTGAAGTTTTATTACTTGGAGAATATCAAAGTATGAGAAGAAAAGAAATCCCAGTCAATTGGCAAGAAATGGATGGGTCAAAGATTGATTTGGCTAGAGATTCCATTGAGATGGCAAAAGATTTGATTGTTACTCGTTTGGCTTATATGATGAAGATCTATAAGCTTGATGAATGTGGACAATTGAAAAAGGCACGTGCGTAGAGATGTTGCCCCCGTAACTTTGTTTGATTTTTTTAAGATTCCTCTTGAATATCAGAGGATTATTGTTTCAGAGTACTTTTTGACATTTGTAGAATTATATATTATTATACAAATTTATATTACTATATACATAAACACACCACACAATAAATTCATCATAGTAAAAGGATTATTAATCCGTAGGGTAACGGATTTTGCAACGACTTGACAGCATTGTTCTGAGTATTCCCTGTCTCTCCTGTTTGGAGTGGACCAGTGTTGGTAACACTAGGTGTTTGACGAGTGGTATAGCTGACCTGAGCAGTCAATGTGCCACGGGTCTCTGTATTCATTCTCGCTGCAGTTGCCTTACTGTTTGTAGTAGTCCTTGAATTCCGAGTATTGTGCGTATCATGCGTGTTTCGGTTCGTGGCAGAAGCATTTGCTGTTGAGGTGTGCTTCTGGTCATTGGGCGTCATATTGTTCCTGTCTGTATCATGAGTAGTTTGACTCGTCTTATGAATCTCTGTTGATCTATGTGTTGAACTAACTGAAGTAGTCTTCCCCATGCTTGCATTTTGTCCTCTATTAGCATTCAGTGTATTATGACCCTGTTGCGTGTTGTGATCTATCTCATTGTGATCATTATATCCTTCGTGTGGTGTCGTGTATTTGTGATTAATTTCGTCATCATCATGTACAGTATTAGGATTGTGTCCATATCCATTGTGATTAGCTTGATTGGTTATAACAGGGGTCCTTGTATTTATCGTACTAGGATTCTGTCCTACTCCGTGTTGATTGGTCGTTGTTTTTGTTGTTCGATTATGGTCATTATTTCCTTGATGATGATCGTCATCTCGACATAGATGACAGGCTGCAAAAAATAATAAAATAGGTAGTAGTAATTTCATTTTTGGTTTATAAGTTGGGCTATGATATATTATAAGCAGATAACCTCAAGGAAGGATAACTAAGGCGAGAACATGTTATATTTATAGTATTCAACATGACTGGTATTATTAGAGTTTATGAGTTGCGTAGATAATCACCTCACTATATTTATTTTTTTACTGTAAGATGATGCCTTATGTCATGCTCCATGACTACCTCTTCCACCCACAGCCTACCAATTACGAATCTCTCGAGTATGCATACCATATAGGTTTATCCATATGCAATTACCTCAGAGGTGTGCATGTTATATTAGCATTGTGTCTTAATTTTGTTCTCTTGTCTTCAGTAATTACTTTTCCGGTCATATAGATCTCGCAAGAATTCATGCATCCACATGCCTTGGTGGAATCCCTGTCGCATCCCGTTTTTTAAACCCCGAGGCTTCCGTATCACCTTTTTAGACACGCCCTTAGGTTCCTTGTTGAATTTTAAGACTCATATATACTGTTCCATAAGATGCGGTCTATATCTTTATAATAGCACCAGCCTTCGTGAGGATAGTACTTTTCCTCGTAAGCCTAAGCCACTTAACAAATGTCAGTGCTGTAGACATACATCCCAACCAGGTAGACTACTTGCCAGATAGCGGAAAGCCAAGCATTTTTTTATTAGATGAAGGCATGACACAAAGCTGCTCACAACACAGAAGTTCAATTAGATATGGCTAAAGTTACCTGTATTACCCAAACCTTTGTTGCTGCCAGTCTATGTATAGGATCTTTTAGGGGCGAGCTTAAAATAGTTTAAAATATATAATGTTTTCAGGTGAGGCGTCTAGCAAAACCTCGTACTTTTCGCGCAAAAGCTGATATATCAATTGTTTATATCCCTATTTTTAGAACTAGAAACTAGCTGAAACCTTACAGCTTTCTGAAGGGAGGATCTCCTACATCCAGATATAATATTCTTCCTAATCTCCCCTGACATGTTGGTCGTTTAATGGAATGACTGGTAGGAGTTTGAATTCCACCTAATTTCATTTCTTTTTGATGAAATGCATCCGGAGACATAATGATGCATTATCTGATGCCACTATTTATATAACACAGTCCTATCATAGCCGAATGTTTGGAAGAATTCATATATTTGTTTGCAGTGGAAGTAATGTTTCACTTGAATATTTGCCTTAATAATATGGTTGCAAAATTTTCAGAATTGAAAACGACCACAAAAACCTTGGAAGTAACATACTATAGACCAGCAATTAAAAAATCGGATATAATATTTCAAATACGGGCCCAAATGATAAATAAGCCATACAAAGAGGTGACTTCATTATTCCTGTTCTCTGCTTTGAGGTTCTCTAATATTTGGATTCTAACCTTGAATCTTGTAAAGCTTTCTCCTATTCTCTTCTTACTTCGGTATCTTAGATATATGTAAACCTTTAGTTCCGCTTCTTTATTCTATAAGCATTCTATGAGATATGCGGGTTAGAAATTCACGAATAAAATTTATTATGAAGTAATTGTTTTTGGTTTGTTTTGGGTGCAAAAAAATTATTGGCAGCCAGATCTGAGAATAACTGTAACCATTAAAAAATAAATCTTAATTACAGATTTTCTTATAATTCTGTTAATTAAGCGCGGAAAAAATAAATTTCTACAATTTACGTTTTGTATGAGAAGGAGAAGAGAGAGAAGAAAAAAAAGGTTCCCCTTATAATTAAATATCTCATCCTTTCTTTTCTTCCTCCATCACAAATACATAGATTTAGCCTAGCAAACTATCATCCATTCATATCAAAGTGACTACATCTTGAGATAACAATCATCGTTGATCAATCTATAACGAGAAAAGGAAATATTAAAAAACATGTACGTGGAACTTCCATTTGATGAAATACAAGTCAACACCACCAAAAGACGAGTCTCATACTTCTACGACCAAGACGTAGGTAATTACTTCTATGGAACCGGTCATTGTATGAAACCCCATCGGATAAGAATGACCCACTCCCTAATCATGAATTATGAACTCTATAAAAAAATGGAAATCTATCGAGCTCAACCCGCCACCAATCTTGAATTGACCCAATTCCATACTGACGAATACATAGATTTCATAGATCGAGTTACACCCGACAATCTCCATTTATTTGAACGTGAACAGGTGATCTTCAATGTGGGTGATGATTGTCCTGTTTTTGATGGATTAGGAGAATTTTGTAAAATATCATGTGGGGGGTCAATGGAAGGGGCGGCGAGAATAAATAATGGTCTGGCTGATATTGCCATTAATTATGCTGGTGGATTACATCATGCTAAAAAATCGGAGGCGAGTGGGTTTTGTTATTTGAATGATATTGTATTGGGTATAATTGAATTATTGAGGGTACATCCTCGAGTATTATATATTGATACTGATGTTCATCATGGGGATGGAGTAGAAGAGGCATTTTATACAAATGATAGAGTTATGACTTGTTCATTTCATAAATTTGGGGAGTTTTTCCCGGGGACGGGGAATTTATCAGATATTGGAATTGGAAAGGGGAAATATTATTCGGTTAATGTTCCACTTAGAGATGGGATAGATGATGCATCATATAAATCGATATTTGAACCTATTATAGCGGCAATTGTGGAATGGTATCAACCTTCTGCAATAGTATTACAATGTGGGGGTGATTCACTTAGTGGAGATAGATTGGGTCCATTTAATTTATCAATGAGAGGACATGCTAATAATGTCAATTTTGTAAGATCATTAGGAATACCATTTATGGTACTTGGAGGAGGTGGATATACTATTAGAAATGTTGCCCGTACTTGGGCGTTTGAAACTGGGATTTGTAATGGACTTCTTCTACCTAAAGAATTACCATATAATGGATATTATGAATATTTTGCGCCAACTTATGAATTAGATGTTAGATCATCAAATATGAATAATGCAAATTCAAAAGAATATCTAGATAGAATTCTTACCCAAATTATTTCCAATTTAGATCATACTAAACATGCCCCCTCGGTTCAAATGAATGAAGTTCCTCGAGATTTGGAAGGATTAGATGAAGATTTGGATGAAGACATGAATGAACTGATGGATACAAAAGGTGGGTCACAACGCGCTCGAGATAAAAGGGTTGAAGTAGAAGGTGAATTCTATGATGATGACGAAAAGGATCAAGGTGAGAAGAATATTTCTAATGGGAATGGAATTCAATTGACCAATCATGAATTGACGGAAATAGCGGAATTGAACAATAGGGTTCAAATTTGAAATACGTCATATAACTTCATTAATTTAATTTAATTGAGGGAATATATATATTCCTTTGTGATGCCACCCCCCCTCCCCCAATGATTGTTATATATGTAAGTAATTAACTAATTTAATATTAATATATTCTATTGTAACAAATAAGAATAATAAATTAATTTTTGTTAGTGATAAGATATACGGAAATTTAAGTTAGACTATTTAAGATTAAAACAGGAGCTTGCTTTAACGAACAGATTTTTCAAGACATCATTTTGGCTTAGTTGCTGATTAAACTTCAACCTTACAACCAACATCTTCACAAGTTTCTAAGATTTTCTATATATATTAGAGCAGATTTTACCTCTCTGCCATGAGGTTACCTCTGGTATACCGTTTGACATATCAAACAGTGAATCTTCGTACATGTACGATTACAACAATGAATAACGACTCGTATGCCAACTCGTGAGTGACATATTGATCTGGAACGTCGCTAATCATAACTTTTTTAGATTTTGTGACAAATTTCTGGTTGAGACACACAATGGATCCAAAAAAAATGTCTGAAAAAATCAAAACTTTCTGATCCACCATTTTGGGATTTCGTTCAGCCAAGACGTTTTCGGTCTTTTCGCCTATTAATTACCAGATGCTAAGACGTTTCACCTGGAATGTTCTAGATTTGCTGTTCAAGGCAAGCTTCACATGGGTTTTTTGGCTACACACATTTCTTACGAATTGTACAACGTATAGAAATAGACTTTATGTGGTCAAGCCCACGTTCTATTTGGGTCAATTATGCCAGCCGAGACTGTCACAATAGAGAAAGGCGTTATTGTATAGACCATGCGGGGGCATCTAATCATCCAAGCGAGATTACTCGTCAGAGGATTATGAATGGTGTCTTGTGAGAGAGTGATTCGTGGGATACATATTTCAACGTGAATGTTCCATATTCTTCCAATCTCCACTAGAAATCCAATGTGTAACATGATGGTATCAGCATAGACATACAGATGGTATTGAATATGATACTATAAAATTAATCTCTCTATCTTGAAACTGTCGTGTCATGTCTCATTTTTACTCAAAAGTAGTGTGAGTTAATGAAAAAAAATGTATCAGACTAAATTAATTTTAAACTATTTTTTTGTGGTTTGAACAATCAGACACGAAAATGATTTCTTTGTTAAATAATTCTTTATTTAGTAACAAAATTATTTTTTTCATTGTAAAATTTTTTTTGTCTGTTTGGCGTTTGTTTATGGCTTGGCTTAATCGGGAATCATACCTTCTCAAATAGGAAATGTGCATAACCACGCAATTGAAGATTTAACGAATTAAAAAAAAACTTTTACTGTGGATTTGTAGAATAATAAATTATTATATTTCTGCAATATACACGAGTAACTAGGGGTACCACTTTGTCGCTTAATATTAGTACACGCAAATTTCTATAGGCTAACTACTTCTAGAAAAAGACGCAAATAGTGATCTTTATTTGGTTTCATCACCTGAAACAAAAAGTCCCTGTGATCTGTCATGATCTAGAACACTGTGCTGATGGTTCGATGATTTCCTATTTTGTCCCTACTATAGACTGATTTGTGTTGTATTGGGTCAACAATTAAAGTTGATTTTTGACGGCCAAGACAATTTTTAAATTTAGTGTTCTAAAGTTCATGCAGACACAAACTTTCTTTGTACAAAAAACTTTATTTTTTTTGTGTCTGCATTATTCATGTGGTTGTGTTTACATTTTTTAATTGGTAACTTAGAAAATCTTATAAAACTCAATCGTCTTTCCCAATTTTTTTAAAAATTTTAATTCAACCCTTAAATTCACATTTGGAACAATCAATTGAATTTTTATCAATAAAAAACTCACCACTTTCTGCTTAATCAGCATTTTAAAAACCACAACACTTACCCTAGTCCTTCCTTTTTAATAACAACAACCAACTGTCCTTAAACGACTACAACTCGAGTCTTACTACAATTTTATACCACTACAAAAACTTACATTCATTTGACTTTACTTAAGAAATTATCGATATGTTGTTAAAAAATCTCGCCATTGCCTCCGCCTTATTAGGTGCTACTGTCTTAGCCGATGATGACACTACCATCACCACTACCATCACTGTCACCAAGACTTTATTGACTCCTGAAGAATCAAGCAGTTTAGCTTCCGTTGCTGCTGAATCCTCTGCCTCCGTTGCCTCCGTTGCTGCTGAATCCTCTGCCTCAGTTGCCTCCGTTGCTGCTGCTGCTTCCGCCGCCGCAGAATCCGCAAAACAAGCAGCTCAAGAAACTGCCTTACAACGTTTAAGAGGTGTTATTGCCGTAGGTACTAATGCTACCAACGAAACTACCACCAGCAGTTCTGCTGCTGCTTCTTCCGCACAGTCTAGTTCAAGGACAACAACTGCTCCAACTTCTATCCGTGCTGACAATGCCACTTCCACTTTTGGTGGATCTCAAACTTCAGGTGCTGAAACTAATACTGCTACTACTGCTTCTACAGCTAATGGTGCTGCTATCATAAACGGTGCTGGTTTAACTGCTGTTGGTTTAATCGCCATGGCTGCTGCTTTATTATAGATCTGTTAGCGTGTTTTTTTTTAGTACGTTGTGTCTTTATTGTTTTGCTTTACTTTTCGGTTAACATATCTATAGTAATTTGACTTTACTATGTCTTTTATTTTTTTACCAAAAATTTCCGTCTTTATTCTTATTGTGTATTAGTTAGTTATCCATATACCTATCCCCCCTTCTTACCACTGTTTATATATTTAATATAAAAAAACAAACTAAAAATCAACCATTACTAATTATTTGTAAATTAAAGAGGTCTATATATATGTATGTAATCTCTATATTCTTCTACCATTTAAATCTCGTAAACATTTCTCCTTCTCCAATCTATAATACTCCATCTCAGTTAACCCCTGAGGGATCTTTGGTGGAACCTTTGGTTTATCCTCTTGATCAATTTCATACGCGCTACTAGTGTTACTACTACCAACACTACTATCCCAAGGACTCATAGACGCTCTTTGGAAAACACTAGGTGAAAACTTCCCATCACCAAGATATCCCGTCTCATTAAATCTCGCATCAAGTTTCAAGTCATACAAAGTAGCCGTCCCATTCTGTAATCGATTCTTTCGATTCCAATGCTCGGTTGGCGTGGGAGCATAATATCTAGGATCGATTTCATCGGGGTTTAAAACTACATGTCCCGGGTCTTTGTTGTTACCTCCTGGTACTCCAATAGATTTGACTGGTTTGTCAAGAAGGTAGACTTTCGTTGGCATTCGTTCTTCTTCTGTTGTATCCAATCCTATTGAGTCGGCTGAGAATGGAATCGAGGTCGTCGAATCTGTCACACTCACACCAGGTTCATAGTCCCCCATATAATCCTTGGGAGGTTTTCTTCTGGGTGATTTCCTAGTAGGAGACGAGGATTGACTTAAATGGGGAGGTGGGGCAGGTGGTTTAAATTCGATCTCATCTGGATCTTCATCGCTATTGTCGTCGGTGATGTGGACTTGTGATATATCTCTTTGTAAATTGTCTAAATCGGCGGATTCATAGTCGCTTAATGGAGATGGTGTTCTTTTGGTGCTGAGTTCATAGTTGGTGTTCCAAAATGACGTGATTGGTTCTTTGGTTTGGAGCTTACGTTTAAGCTTTGCAAATTTTGATTCATTCTTTTTGGTAGGGGAGATTGTGATAGGTGGGATAGTAAAATTGGTGTCTCGATTTGGAGTCTTTTTGTGAGTATTATTAGTATTAATGAAAACTTGTGCAATTGAGTTTTTACTTGTTACACTTTCAGTCTCTGATACTTTGTTCAGAAATGTTGATGATACCTTACTAAATGTTGAATTTTCCAGATGAAGAAATTCATCACTCCTAACCACTTGAACCAGATCATTATTCAGACTATTTGATCTCCGATAACCCCTATCATCATTATAATCATACCTCTGAGTAACAACCTCTTCCGGCACATAAATTGGGATCTTGGAAGGAACAATAGGTGCACTTGGATAAAATGTCATTTCAAGATATATCAACCCAGCTCTTCTCCCATTCTGAGTCAATTCATGCCATTTATCAAAAATATATTTCCCATTATTATCTTCACTACCTTGATGACTGGTAAAAATCACCGAACAATCAATATCAGTACTTCCAATAGGGGTTGGGTCTCCCTTGGTATCATCTAATACATCAACTTTTAAGACTGGTTTCCTATCTCGCGTTAAATCAAATCGTATTTCTTGTTTCCATTCTGGTGTTTGTCCTCCTCGGAAAACTTCTTCTGTCTTTTTGGCAACAGTACCTAGTCTAAGTACCACATATGGAGATTGTTTGTCTAGCTTCCGTCTATTGGGCAAATTTTTGGCTCTAACTATCAATATTACTAGCGTTCCATCCGCCGATTGGGGATGGGTGAAAGTATCATCAATATCTGGAACCACAAGGGAATTATGCAGTGATGTTGAATACATGAGTGTCTTGTTTTCTCAATGGGCTTAATTCCAGTTGGCTAAGAAAATTGGAAAACAGTGTCAGTTTTATTCTAAGTGGTGGTTAGGTACGTGTATTCTGTAGGTCGTGTTGTTTGAAAAAAAATTGTATGGCTTCGCCGTCTTTATAGGTCACGTGCAAGTAGTTTGTTTTGATTTCCCTTTTAGGAAGGAGGTAATAGTCCGAGATTGCAAAAAAAATCTTAGACTTTAGAAACTTGTGTTACATGTAGGTGGCTCAAATGTTATAGTGGGTAACTTACGCGCAATGGGATATGGTTGCTGTTATTATCTGAGTTTCCAACTTAGTGCTCTTACTATGAAGTTTAGAAAGTGAGATTTTGTAAATGTAAGAATTTTTGCACTTTCTTTGCGTAAATTTGGGTGAATCCCTTTCTGTGTTGTTGATTTGGGAATGTAAACACCAACTAATGTAAATCTTCTGTTTTTTAACTGAAGGCAGAACTTTTTATTCCTAAGCCTAATGATTATTGATTACTTGAAGTGTTTGCTGACAATACCTGACCAAATTAAAGGAACCATTAGGGCCAGATGAATAAAAAATTGGTGGCTCTATGCAGGAAAATCTTAATTGTTCATCTCTTCACATAAATTCTTTTTTTTTTCATTTTATTTAATTACGATTCATATCCATTTCATCTTTGAATCCCATAAGAACATCGTAAGAAAATGTCTTTCAGAAATAAAAATTCAGGTAGAGCTTTGCTACCCTTCGGTCTAGACTACAGTGACGTCTTAACGACCACATCAGGAACTGATAAACCAGAACTAGTCCTTCCAGTCAATGGAGATTTAACTGACAATGAAACAGCTGCGGCTAAACAATCAATAATGTTTGCCAAATTAATGTCAGATGGCCCGTTTTATACCGGAAACCTCGATTTTAAGGAACTTACCGATAGCGAACAACAAAGGGCGGTTGTTAAAGCAGGGAATACTGCACCGGATGGAATTGAAAGATATTCGGATAGATATAAGAAAGTTCAAAAAATTGGAAGAACAATAGAAGAACATCCATATCAATTAGAATTCTTTCCGGAAGAATTATATTCAGTTATGGGAATAACAAATAAACAAAAGAAGAAATTATTGTCGATATCTACATTTAAATCAAACGGTGGATTGCGAGAATTTAAGACCGGTGAGAATAAAGAAGGAGCAGAAGCAAATTCATTATTGGAGAAGTTGAAGAATATGGCAGAGGAATTAGATCATGGCGACGAGAATAAAGAAGAAGGAGAAGATGAGTTGGAAGAAGATATAGATGACGAGTTTGATGAAGATGAAGACGATGATTATAATGCTGAGAAATATTTCGATGATGGGGATGATGATGGAATGGACGCTGGTGGAGATGATGAAGCTGCTTTCTAAAGCAGGGGTCTCCAAAAACATACTTGCATCTTATATTGTATACTATTATTATCAATTTATGTATATTAGACCTTGTTAATACATTTTACGTTTGAACGAATTCAAAAAAATTAAACTTTTGTAATATTATAAGTCATGATGATGCTATTTATATATTATCTATATCTCGAATGTAAAACTAACCAATGCATTTCTACTACCAGGTATTTTATTTAACCATCTTCCAAACTTATGTTCTTTGCTTAATAATACAAAGACCTTAAGTTGTTTCTTGTCTGGTATTTCAACCGAATCAATCTTTACAACACATCCCTTGAAATTAGACACTTCACCGATTAACTTGAAAGAACGTAATCCTTCTTGATCCAATTTCCACACCTTCACAGTCCCATCAAACGAACCAGAAAAGAAAATGTCACTATATGGTGATGCATGAATTGCAGTAATCCAATATGGTTGACGTTCTGGGACTTGTTGTTCTGCAAGAGATTCAGAAGTTTCAGCACTGATTTCAGAAGGTTTAAATTCAGGAGTTAATCCATGTGCCAATCTTTCAGTAAATAATGCCTTTTTCTTTGCCAATGACCATAATGCAATATTCCCATTATCAGAACCAGTAACGAAATGTGATTCATCATTCATGCTAACAACTTCTATCGAACCTTCATTATGAAATGGGGCTGCCGATTCATCAGTAACAATTTCTCCATTTTCTTCCACCTTTTTCCTTTTCTTCTTTTTCTCAACTGAATCACCACCTCTGAATGTCAATCTTGATTCTTCGGCAATCTTCCAAAACATGGCTGTCTTATCTCTAGATCCTACAGAAACACAAGTTTCACGTCCCAATGCCGAAATGTCAGTAATATTATCTTGATGTCCATAAAGGATTTCCAATTGCGTGAATTGATTAATCGAATAAGTTCTGATTCTTAAATCAGCACAAGCTGCAAATAATTGATCAGAATTTCTTCTAAATGCAATAGAATTAACGGCGGATCTTGTTTCCAAGACTTTCAAACATGCAAGGTTTTCGCTTGACCAAATGATTAATCTGGAGTCTGATCCACCGGTAACGATATATTTACCATCGGGAGATGCTGCAATACAATTTATTTGATCCCAATGATGATTAGAACCTGGGTTTGAAGTATTCAAGTTGAAGAATTTAGAACCACCTTTTGTATGTTTTATTCTTTGTGGTTTTCTATTCTCTATATTCCATTTGATTAATTCTGCATCCTTAGATACAGTATATAAGTAAGGATAATGAGATGCCATCGAAGTCAAATTCTTGGATCCGATTCTGGTAGTTATAGTTTCTATATCATCATCAAATTGTTGGGCAATTTGATCACCAATAAATTTGAATACATAACCTTTAGTTTCGGCCACATCCTTTTGTAACCTTCTTCCAACTATATCATCATCAAGATCTTGGGCATCAAATTCATCACCTTCATTTAATTCTGTACTTTTCAAATTTTCCAAATATTGTTTAGCCAATCTTCTTCTCTTATCTGCTGCATTTTCATCTTCGAATTCTTCATCGGAAGACAATTCTTCATCGTTATGTCCTTCATCTTGTCCATTCTGTATCTCTTCTTCTTCACTATCACTTGCTTCTGATATTTCTTCATCATATTCTGGAGTCTCTCTTGATGGTGTTGCCGATCTGCTAGATCTGGACTTCTTGAATGCGCTCGCAGCCTTTGACAGACGCTTTCTCTTCCTTGAAGGATCTGATAAAAATGGATCACCTGCCATTATTTGTTTATATCTATAAAGTTTGTTGTGTATATAATGAAGAGAGATGGAAGATGAGTTGATGATGTAAAAATTTGGCAGCAGATTTTTCTTTTTAGGAACCAAATTTTTCTACGATGGCATCTCAATTCCCAATTAGGAAATATAGTCACATGACCAATTTATATATATTGGATGAAGAAGTTTTGGAATTTATACACTAAAATGCAAAGAAATGAAATAACTAAAATAGCTTAACAGGGGAGATTAATCCTCCAATAAATCTTCAATGTCAGCATCTTCTTGTGCATCATATGAAGTTTGGTGTCTTTCTCTTTGTTCTTGAGCAATTTGTTCTAATACCGCTTGAGTAATCTTAACATTCTTTCTCGTCTTCTTACCCCAACCGAATTGTTTTGATTCTGCTTCAAGTCTTTCTTCGAGTTCTTCTTGTTCTCTTCTATCTCTTTCTGGTTTTTCTGCCTTTTCTTTTTCATCTATGGCCATTTGAGTTTCTGTTTGTTTTTTGGCCGCCCATTGAGAATAATATTTACGGAAGATGATATATGCACATACAACAATTGTTAAACGGAAGTATTTGGTAAAAGTATCCTTATCAATAAATTCAAAGATTTCCTCAAACATATTTCCTTTGTATTCTATTTTATAAAGTTATCGTACAAACAGATTAAGAAAGAACGAAAGAGAAAAAGAAGTGACCGGTTCACGATTTTGACGTTTTCCAGATCCTTAGATTTTTTTTCTTCTTCGTTTGGTACCGTTCTAGATTTTTTTTTCTCTCGCCGCCGGAAATTCGCGCTACGATTTAGTTAGGCCGATCGTTCCACGCCGTTCCACACCGTTCTACACTATTCTTACAATTCTTCCTCCAGATCACTTGCAAATGGATCCAATTCAGGAAAATCGCCAACTTCAACTTGTTTCGGCTTTACGAAACTTCCATGTCCAGGTCTACATTCAAATACTCTAAAACCAGCAATGGAACCATCATTTCTACCTACTGGTTCGTCAAATTCAATACCTACCCAATCACTTTCACCTTGATCAATAACTTGAATCTTCCCAATATATCTAACCACACCCCTTCTCTCTCCTTCGATGTTTATAGTTCTACATCTGTCTCCAACTTTCATCTCAGATAATTTAACTTTATTTTCTTGTTGTTCCTTTTCACGCAAGGCTTCATAATTAGGATCAAACCTACCCAAACGATTCTCCTTCTTCCATTGTAATGCTGAATCAGCTCTTTTGACATATTCGGCTTCTGATAATTTGAATTCAGGTTCGTTGTTGTTATTGTCAATGCCGATGTCCGTTTCTTTTGATAATTCATTTACAGCAGAATCTGGATCTTCATCAATAACATGAATTCTACTATAAGCATTTAAATTCAAGCTAGTTAAGAATGTATCTTTGTCTTTGTCGGTGATATAATCTTCTGAGGTTGATAATTTGGAAAATACATTTGAATGTTGATTTGGATAATAATGAAGGGTTTGATTTTCTGGTTTGATACCAGTTATAGTTTCTAATCTTTCTTTAAGATGAGCCATACTCCATTGAGGAGAGATTCTTCTTTCTGAAGAAGTTAAATTGGATGTCACAAATACGTTGATATCACTCATCTTAGGATTGTATACCTTGGGCTATTTGTAGAGAAAGAAGTATCCAGTAGTAGGATGTGTGAATCAGAAAATTCATAAACGATATTTGCGCGCGCACATTTCAAGCATATCAATAAACCACCAGAAAGTATGTCACAAATTATTAATACTAATACAAAATTTAACTATACAATAATAATACATATTACTAATTACACACACCTGATTCTGTCTCTTAGTCCAACTTCTCAGTATCTTCAAATAAATCAACAAATTCAGTCAAATTACCCAAAGAATTAATGGAATCGACGGCAAATTTCGCCATTTGTTCACATTGATAAACCATTCCTTTTAATTGATAAGGAATATTCTCCTTTGTTTCCTTTTGTAATTGAACCATTGAAGAATACTGCTGATTAATTTCTTCTCTTAAATTCTCCACCCTAATTATTTCATTAGTTATATTTTGTTCTAAAGATCTAATCTCTGATTTATCCAATTCGAGTTGTTCATTACATAACCTATTCCTTCGTTCAAATTCTTGTACTTTATTAGTAAAATTAACCTTGGATTCTTCAAGTAAATTACTTATTCGTTTATATTCTTCATTATTTGCTCTTAATTGAGTTTCTAATTTGAAGTTTTGTTGTTGATGATTCTGTAAACTGGTCATTTTGGTATTCCCACAAGTTTCCAATTCAACTAATATCGTGTCAAATGGTTTATTCAATATCTGACTCTCATCAAATGATTGACTTGGAATCGATAAATATTCATTCATCAGAAGTCGGAGATCATAATCATTAGAATCAATTTTTTCAATTTCATTATTAAACAGATTGATCGTCCTGTGAAGGTTCTGACTTTCCTTATATAGAACTTGTCGTCTTTGATTCACTTCGTTTTGTTTTTCAGCACATCTTACTTCTGCCAATTTTGTTTCTTCTAATAGATTATCGCGAGTAATGAGTAGTTTTCTTGCATCATCAATTGAGATATTCTTTTCTTGCAATTGTTGTTTAACCTTTTCAATTTCATCATCGGTTTGTTTAATTTGTGAATTCGTTTCTTCAACATCGACATTTATTCGTTGTAATATTTGAACACTTTTAATTCGGTTTTGTTCCAATTTGTGATTATATTCATCCAACTTATCATAATCTATTTCCAAAGCTGCTGCTTTCTTTTTTGCTTCTTCAATTTCTTGTAATTGGACATAACTTAGTTCATATTCTTTTCTTAATTCTTGTTCATGATTATCATGGTTTTCCAATTCCTGATTCATCTTGGATTCAAGTTCTGTACATTCTGAAATCATTTGGAATTCAAATTGATCAATATTATCTTCACCACCTTCAAGAAAACTAACATATGAATTCTTTTGTAATCGTAATGTTATCTTATCAAATTCATTATCAAACTCATCATCCATACTTAACTCATCATTAATGTCAATCTCAAAAGTACCAATTGCTTCTGTAACCATCCAATATAATAATCCTAAAAATGTGGGCCAATTTGATTTTGAAACTGAATTAACTTGTGTTCGACTTATAGTATCAACATAAGGATATTCTAGAATTTTCAAAAGGACAAAGAAATCAGATTCAACCGGTTTATCGAATGTTATCGTGGGATCAAACTTCTTATATATGAATTTGAACATAGTTGTAAAATCTCGTTGAGTTGGATTTTTCCAAGTATTTTCCGTGATTGACATGCCTGAAGTTTGTTCATATTCATTTTCCAATAAGAATGACTGTATCTCAGCCTGAATCATCTCTTGATATCTTCTTTCTCGTAATGGTCTAGGATCTACATTCCTTGAGGGTTGAATGGATGACGGTGTCATCGACCTTCGCGTCACTAATCCATTACTAGATCCAGGAACCGCAAGTGCACCAGATGCCCCACCAGCACTAGATGGAGTTAGACTAAATAACCCTGCACTTGGAGGATAGATCGATGGACCGGCAGTAGTTTGTCTCCGCTTTGTAGATCGGGCAGGTGTGCTTAAGAATGTTGACTTTCGTCTAGAATTTTCAGGTAGTAATGATTGTCTTGATAGGAGGGTTAAACTTTTCCTCTTTTTCGATCTCGCACCAGGAGTATAAGACGCCGGTGGCATTTTTTCTGTAGTAAACTTCTTCTATATCCAGATGCGATATGTCTTTGGATGCAATGTGCGATGTATACCTCTTTTTAATTGGCTGTTGGGGGTCCTTCTCTGTCTTGGTTGTAAGAAAAGGTTTGTTTTGATTTTGAATTGGACACACTCGCACAGAAAGTTAATTATTAGAGAAGTAAAATTGGGAGCGCCTGATTTTTTTCTATTGAGTAAAAGTACACGACTCTTTTCGATTTGTTTATATTTTGAACATCATTACACGACCTAATTTAGAAAAACTTAAAGGGAATTGAATTTTAAAAGGGAATTGAAGATTAAGGGGGTTTTCAATTTATTGTTGTTGTTATTGTTGTTGCTGGTAAGGAAATAAAATTTCTTGATTCCTAAAATTAAGAAAAACACATTCAAATCACAAGTTGAAAGAGAACTGACAGGTTGTTTCTATCTTATCTATTCCGTATTTACTTATACTCATCTCCCCCATCAACAAGATTGGCGTAAATAGTAGGTTACACGTGACAACAACGACAACTAAAAACATAAAAACGCCAACACAAAAAAACCTTAAATTTTACATCCCCCCCAAAATTAGAGGCACGTAAATACAGCAACAGGCTTTCATTCTCCTTTCACAAAAATAGCAAACAACCACCTCGTCGTAACGCTAAGAGCAACTTAACAAAACCTACAGGAAGAATATTCCTATCTTGATAGCACACTTTAAGAAGAGCCAAACTATATTTCACCGTAATTTCACACATTCCAAGTTAATTAATTTTTGGCAACAACCCCCTTACTAGTCATACTGCTACTGCTGCACAAGGATAGTTCAAACTAAAAAAAATCAAGATGAGTACAAGCAAACCAAAGACTCCGGTATCATCTCCCAAGATACTGGATATAAGAACATCTATGGTCAGACCCACAACACCTTCGCCACCAAATTCAGATTCAAGAAGAAAAAGAGGTAGTTTCCTTCGAACTCCGGAACCTCAAGGTCCTGATTCACAGTTACCATTTTCACCCGGAATAAAGAGATCTAACTCAGGTTCATATAAATCGCCTGATTATAAATTAAGTCATTTTAATGTTGCATCTCCGTATAGTGTTGGAAGTTTATTGAAAACACCTAAACATCATGATGATTCCGAGGATCGGAAATTGAAATTGCAAAAGACTCCACAATACTTTTCGGCTGCTAAAAGGTTATTTCAAAATGAAGACGGGAGTCCAAAACGAGATGAATTACAAGAAATTAGTTCACAGTTGAAGAATAAATTAAGTTCAGCTCTTGGGAAATTACAAAAGGAAGATTCAAATTCTCATGGTAATAAAATTACATTTACAGCATTATCATTCGATCCTTCACAATCACCCACCAAAGATGTAAAAGAAAGCAATAACAATGGAATAGCTTGGTCTCCATCTGCTTCGATACAACGGGCAAATTTGAATCTACAAACGTTACAACAATCGCCAATGTCAAAACCTCGGTATTCATTTGAGAAATCGCCGAAGCTTCCGCTTAAACAATCACCAAGATTCCGGCACGAATTCACACAACCACCACAACCACCACCACCTCTCTTTGACATGCCTTCCCCTGACGAAGAATCCAGTGCTCACAAGGCACTTTTGGCAGCACTTTCAAGACAGCAACGACGTCAAAGTGTATCTGAATCACAGAAAATGCGTCACCCATCACACAGTCGTACCCCAAGTCATACACGATCGAGATCCACAACCGAAGACACCAAAGATTTTATAATGGGACATCGTCATACTCGATCCTCAGATATAAAACTCCCTCCATTGAATGTCGCCCTCAAGAATTCCCAACCGCCTACTTCATCACATGATGATTTCCAACCTACCTCATTCAAAGGATTTGGATCTAAAGCCACCAATGTGCCTCCAACTCCACAAACACAAACCGATAATAATGAAAAAGATGCCGTGATTTCATTGATGTCATTAGCATCCCCACAAGCGATTAAATTTGCCCATAGTAGGAATCAAAGTAATATATCGCCCATATCTTCCCGATCATCCCTGGTGAATCAGATCCTTTCCCCGACATATGCAAACCCCGGTCCACCGCCGGTTTTTCCACCACTTAATCGATTTGTAAATCCCACTTCGCAGGAGAAGAGAATGGGGGTAAAGGATAGTCAGTCGACGGATACGGATGAGACAGATGTGGATATTGATGCGGATGATGATGGGGATGATGATGATTGATTAAAGAGGGTTTTTATTTTGGATCAGGGCCTGTGGTTTTTGGTGTTTCTGTTATGATGACTATTTTGGGGAATTATTTGTACTTTTATTTTCTTACTTCTTTTCTTTCTTCTTATGTATTACAATCATTTATATCTTTTTAAAATACAAATTGTTTTGATAGACCAGAGTTGGTTTAAATAGTTTCGAAGTTTATGTAGAAGAGCGCAAATTATTTAATTTGATGGCGGATAAGTCAGAAATAACGGAACACTTTGACTTGGACTTGACAACCAGAAACCTTGGTTAGAGATATAGAAAAGTGCAAAGAGTTTGCAATTCAAACATAAGCATTCTAATAACCTGTTTCTCATTATTTACTTTTACATATTATTCTAACTTCATCATTATATTTAGAGGCACGGCTAGATATCAATAGTGGGGTCAAACGTAAAACAATAAACTAACTTTCGAGGAAGATGCGGCTACCATACTTAAAAGAAAAAGCAATTTCGTTAGCAATACCCGCTACTAAACGGAAATATAAGACCCTCCATCCAATACCAAACTAAGATTACTTGCTTATGAAGTAAATTATTTTCATTCGTTCCTTGTTATCAAACTCGGTTAGTGTGTATTGATTAGTAATCTTTATCTCGGACTTAATTCGCAGCCAATTATCATTATAGAATTACTCATTACACAATAAAATCCTCCCCAAAAAATGAAAAAAAACAATTATGATCACGTGATATATAATGATATGGCCTGCATATAACATCCTAAAAGGATAGGGTTACCGATGAGTAAATTATTTGTTATTTAGAGGACTGGACTAGAGACACTTTATTCAGCACTATTATGATTGGTATGGACTATAGAGAATACATGACAAGTTATCTGGTTAGTTCTAAGTAATTCTTAGTATTAATTCTGTGTAAGATTTCAATTGATAGCTTTAAAAGCATCTGATAATTAACTTTTTCCGGTACGATACAAAAAAGAAATCCATAGAAAAAAAATGTTACTCTGCGGTGACTTATTATCTAGTAATTAGTAATAACCAAAAAATTAATTTTAAACTTTTTTTGAAATTTTTTTTTTTATTATAAATTTAAACTCATTTCCTTCTTCTCTTTTCTTTAATTTGAAAAGTCACATAGAGAGATAGTTTACTATAGCATCTGTATAGATCCTTATTACTACACTTGCACATATTTCACTGCTACTGAAAAAGAAAGTTAAATTCATAGAAACTTACAATTTATCACAATCTAACTAAAGATCATACGATACGATACGAAATACATCATCATGTCTAGAATTCTTTTATTATTACATCCAACAGTAGTCACTGATCAGCATCTCGTTGAGAGTATTAAACAAGATATCAAACTCAAACACGAGAACTTCACATTAGAACAGCAAATAATTGATCGTGTTACCAGGGGTGAAGTTGAATTATTCCGTGATTCATATAATGAAATCAGATATATAAATCCAAATTCTCCAGAATATCTCGAAATGCCATTACTGTTGATTCAATTATTTTATAATGTTTTGCAAAGTGATGGGAAATTATATGGAGATTTACCTAAAGATCAAGATTTAGACGTGTTATTAACCGGGTTTGTAATTGAAGACGGGGTTTGGATAAAACCAAGACCAGTTGAAACCGTTTTATTAAAGAAGAAATCTACTGGTGAAGCCAAGAAGAAACTTCCACTGTTCAAGAAATTAAATGCCGCGGTAACTAGTTCGCCACCTGAATTAACTGATGGATTATCATCCCCACCTACTGAAGAAGATGAAGAAGTGTCTATAAAGAGGAAATTGGATCAAACTAAATTATCGTACTTTAGCGATGATGATTCTGATTCTGATAATGACGTTGATTCATTCATAGATGAAAATGAATTAATCACCCAAACTAAAATGGATGGATTAATAATACCCAAAAAATGTGAATTACCAAATGGAAAACGAAGAAAGAAGGCATGTAAAGATTGTACTTGTGGTTTAAAAGAATTGGAAGAAGAAGAAGCAGATACTCAAAGAACATTACAAGATTCAATATTGGGTAAAATGGCACAACTGGCAACTATGGAAGCTATTAAAATTGAAGAACGATTAAAAGCAAAAGTACAATTTAGAGAAGAGGATTTATCAGAAATTGATTTTACTGTACAAGGTAAGACTGGTGGTTGTGGATCTTGTTCTTTGGGTGATGCGTTTAGATGTGATGGATGTCCATATTTGGGATTACCTCCTTTTAAACCTGGGGAAGTTGTTACATTAGATGGATTTGGTGAAGATATTTAAATAGGATATTTTGGGTAATCTGAATAGGAAGTATATAGCGTTTGTAATATGTAAACATGAAATGTGTATGAATTCCTTAAAAAAAGTGTCTTTCATTCTGGGAGAGTATCTCTGAATCAAAGTGGTTATTATACTAGATCGCGTGCCAGAAGAGTCAATGTGCTTCTTACTTACATATAAAACATCAGTGTAGAGGTAGTGCACACCCAAAGACACGTAATTATTGAAAATCAAGGTCAAGCAATTAGCTCCTCTTCTTCAGCTTCGACTCCGAGGTAGACTCAACTGTTGACCCTTTGTATTGTGCTTGAATACTTGATCTGAGACGCCCTCCAGCTGCAAATGCTAAACTCCAGTAATAGGCAGAAATGTGTTCTCTATGAGCTTCATTACTTCCCTCACGACCAGTCTTCGAGCAATGGAGGCCGCCCAGCGAACTTGCCAGACTTCTTAATCTTGACTGGAACTTGTAAATCGTTAGTAAAAAAGACCACATTTGAGCTGAACTTATAATGTACGCTTTCTGTTGAGGCTCTTATGCAGAAGATATGAAACAATGCTGGAAGCTAATTGCACTCTCCAATTTGCTGTTCGAGCAGTTCTTACAGTCAAATATCATCTAGTGGTCTTTGAGTTTCTACTGATATCGTCCCCAGCCTACTTCAACGATGTTCGGTTACTTGTTCTTCTTAAACTTCGCGCAGGTAGGCTGTCGATGAACTCTTCAAACAGCAGAAGATATCAGTTGCAGTCCCTTGGGTTCTGAATGTAGGTAATCGTTTTCGATTAGGCTCGACCCTCTTTGCAACCAAGAGTGCTCCAGCCTTTGAATTCATTTGAGAGTCGTCGCAGTTGCAGTCTCTGATCATTTTCCAGAACTAGCTAGAGTTGCAGAAATTTTAGACCCATATTGAGAGCTCCATCATTTCCAAAAATGAAAATTTAGAGAGTATCAGGGCATGCACGGAACGGAGAAGAGAGACTGCAAATTTGCTACTGGCCGAAAATGCGGTCTCCTATTGTACAAAACAAAACAAGTCAAATTGGGTCCCAAAATGGAAGCAAAGATTTTGTGAATCTTTCCAGACAATACTAAATTGTGAGGCGTAATGAACAACTGATTGATCTGATTGTTTTTGATAAATCAAGGGGCACAGATTACAGCCAAACAATGAATTATATCCCCTCAATGATTGTAATGTAACATCTAATCTTAATTTATTTTTCACAAGAAAGAAAGAAACCCCAACAACAAACCTTCCTCGGAGGATTGAATTATGTCTGCTTCTGGAAATCCTCATCTCCTTTGTAAAAGGAAGTATTCTACCGTTTTGTTCATTTCTTTCATTTTGTACAATTCATAGAATTCAAACAACAAGAAGTTCGCTTAACAATATTCATGGAAGCATAGAAGCCAGAAATACTATGGTCTTCAGATACTACTAAGAAAGAAGTTTGTGAATATATTATAGGGGGGAAATTCGTTTGGATCTAGATATGAAATAGACCCAATTGGTGATTACTAATAAATGTCATCAATTGACCTTCCATTGGCTAGTATTTACCAATGCCTTGACAATTTATTAGTTCGCAGCTTCAAGTCCGATATGATCCAATTTATTTTATCAGCCACAACAGGATATTACCCCCCGCCAAACCAGAAAGACCTGTTTATAGAGTAGTAGTAATTGTAAAGTACTACTGTTGCCTCCACTCAAATGATTTTTTATTTATTAGCAATTGGCATATTTTAGCCCATTTGTCTCTCCCTCCACCTTTGTTTACATTGTTATATCCGTAAATACACAAGAGGGGCTTTATATGAATAATGGGCCATAACCAGGATTATTTTAGTATTTGTCCGGGTTTCCGCCCGTACTTACATATTATTTTGAATAAAAAAATATATTAGAGGTGACGAATGCCGTGAATTTTTTTTTAATTCGGGAATGAGTCAAATATTTTTTAGGTTTAAATGTTATCGGACATAAGTGAAAAAATAAATTTATTGTGCTCAGTAAACTTTAATATTTTTTAGCATTAGCCACCATACATTGTGTCAAAAAATATTCTTGTAAAAAATATTAAACATGTCTTTGTTGTTAATTATTGCGAATATTGTTTTAGGATTTTTGCGAATTGAATAATCAAAAAAGAAAAAGAATATTAAAATAGAAAAAAAGGTACCAATTTACACAAATAATACATTATTGTTTTCCATTTCCATTCATTTATTCAAAAAATCCCAAGAGAATCACACCCAAAACTATGAATAAAAACTAAAAGCAAAGAAAATATACGGGAATCTGTCAAAAATTCAAACAAACAAGAGCTTTCACCTACACAAAAGATATGCCTCGGGCGAGTTTGGATTGGACACCGCATTGCATTCTCGTGTGTATCTCCTATTTCTCGTTTTTTTCTTTTATGCTAGTGTCTCCCCCACTCTCCCCCTTTCTGAATTCTCTAACTGAATTAGGAAACCTGTTTCTAAAAATAATTTGTGCAAACATACTCAACTAATACGTTACCTACATAATTATTTTTTAGATGGGACAGAGTAAATGCGATAAAGGAGAGAGATGTTCTAAAAACCACAACAATAGCTAAACGAGTCCCGATTGTGCCATCAGATTTCTTTGATCTATGTTACGTATTAAAGAGGATTTTAACCCAACAATAAATCCAAACAAAGGAAAATAACCGCCGTCTTTCCTTTTTAAGTTTGTAAACAGCATATTATCCGCGGGAAATATTATAAAGCAAGTACAAGAGAGAATATTAAAAAAAATAAAATAATATTTTTTCCACTGAAAATTTCAACAATTCATTTTTAACTATTTTTTATGCATGAATGGTTACGAAAATTATATTGCATCGCAAAATCTAATTAAACCAAAAACCCAATCTCTGATGCATATAAACCGCGGTTCTTTAATGTAAAAAGGGTGCCATTAAAACGGTATATGTGTCTAAAGATAGTTAACCAGGTCCTCATGTTCGTTTTTAGTTCTACCGTAAGTGGATTAGCGTGTTACCATCTAATTTCAGGAATGGAGTTTGAAATAATGATAAAAACTTTTATTTTTTGTTTCTAGTTAGTAAATGAGGACAATGTGGTAATTTAGATTTTCAATAAAACAGCAGAAATTAATCCAATCAAGATGCAGAACTTGCATGAAATAAAACAATTAGTCTTAGGAGAAGAAATATGATTATCCCGATTTAAAAGAGGTATGTAATTATTTTTTTAAAATTTTTTAGAGATCTTCGTTTTTTTGCTCGGAAAGATACAACAATTATTTTATAAGCACTGATATTTTTGGGGCCACGAATTGGCTTATTGCTGGTTTATTGGTAGAACGAAGGTTGTACTGTATAACCAGCGAACCCAACATTGGTCTGGCATATTTTCAGGGATGGTTGTAATGCTTGGCTTACTTGTCCCCTCAGAACTATGAGACCCTGAACACCTGTGCCGGGATATTGTTGGTTTCGCCGGTAAGTGGGGGATACACTACATCAAAACACATGGACGTGCGTACCCCAGTAAATATTCCCGAATGAGTAAAATAAAATTATGGCACCATAAGCGCATTGAATTATTCAGCAACATGAAATCTAGAAAGATTCGTAGTGGAATTTATTTTGCACAACTGCATATTCGATCTCTTTGTTTTCGAGCGATAATTATTAAGGAGTTATCAAGAATGAAGTGATCTCCTCTGTTAAAATTGACCTACTGGTGTAAGATATAGTACAAGTTCTTTTTGTATCATTAGCCGTGGTTAAAACGTAGCAATCAATCAATATGGTACGATAATAGCTTCTGTAACTTATCTGATGATTCTTGCATCAAATATAATTTGGCTTTTCATTCAAAAATAATAAGGGCTTATGTGGTAGCGTTGCCTACAAAACTCCTTTTAAAGATATTCCCTACCCTGTCATTGAACAAAAATTTGCACGATCGACAGTTACCACGTTACATATATTAATCTACTTTTACAGGGCCCCGCGAGAGCCTAAAAATCTTCTTGATACATATGTATTGGAATTAAGGTTTCATTCTGTATCAATTAGCCGAAACTCAAAATTTTGGATCGTAATGTACTGCAACATGCTTTTAGTGTTTCGTATTTAATAAACAGTGTAAATTCCAAAAGCCGCCTTTTGAAAATCCAAGAGATAAACACAGTTCTTACCCAATGAATCCTAATCTAACCATTTGCAACAATTATTATTTGCCCCGATAATGAACCCGCCAGTTGAATGTTTCTAGCAAAGGAAAGAAACCGACTTGCAATGTTGCAAAACCAAGCTTTTTTTTATTCTTTGTGAGGCTTTATTTTTAAAGTTACATTTCTTCTTTGTTCGACAGCTGGGTATTTACGGCTGAGACACATGTCAGATTCTGTAGGAGTGCATTGGCCCCAACTCAAATCTTCTCTCTAAAGATTATTTCTCTATCGTATAAACCCATGTTTGGAAAGTGTCTGATCATGTAGCTCTGTTGCCAAAAATTATTTCCAAAGATCTTGGCCAAGAGAATAATAATATCCTTCAAACAATGGGGATATGGTTGTACAACAATTAATTAGGGGATACAAAGTTAGTTTGGTTTTGCGCTTTTAAATCTATTCTAACAATAACTCTCCTACAATCAATCTATAGTATTCAGTAACTTTCGAAACGAATATCGCTACAATCAATACGAAGTAAAACAAACGAAATGATATATTGTATAATAATAACAAAATTAAACAAACAATATTTATAAACTATAAATTAAAACAAAACAAAAAGCTTTCTAGAAAGTAATGTATAATATAAAATTAAAAAGAATAATAATTCAAACTGTGATATATAAAATGTAATAATCGTACATGATGGGCCCAGACAAAACAACAACAAAACAAATAAACAAACAAAAGGCAAACGTAAATATAAAATGTGTGTACAATATCTCTATTGAGGAGGTTGTGGAATAGCGAAAGAATCAAAACCAAAACTACTAGCACCTGCTGCTTGACCATGATTACCAGAAGCATGTTGTTGTTGCTGTTGTTGCGGAAGATGAGAAGTTGCAGTACCAGCACCAACATTGGAATATCTTTGAGTATCATATCCATTTCCGGAGATAGTATATTCATTATTGCCTGATCCAGCAGGATGTTGTAAGGTAGATTGTGGGCCTGAATAACTTGGTGCACCACTGAGCTGATGATGTTGAGCTTGTTGTTGTTGTTGGTTTGATAATGGCGATAATTTATCTGCTTCGTAGAATTGAAGTTGTGGTGGCTGATTTGGTTGTTGTTGTTGTTGAGGCAATGGAAGGGTAGTGGCTCCGTTTGGTCCATTTAACAAGTTTTGTTGATATGGACTTGGGGAGATTATATATTGATGTTGTTGATATCCATTCAATGGAACTTGTTGTTGAGATTGTTGATGTTGCATTTGTTGTTGGTATTGTTGTTGTTGTTGCAATTGTAAATAATATTGTTGATCTTGTTGAATTTGCATCATTTGTTGATTTTGCATTTGAACCAATTGAGCTTGTTTAACTTGTTGAACTTGTTGTTGTTGTTGCTGTTGTTGTTTCAAAGCCTTTTCACGACAAACAAGACAATTCTTATTCTTACCATTTCTTCTTGGAGTATATCTATAACCAGGATATTTCTTTGCATGATTCTTCTTTTCTTCTTCAGCAAGATTATTCCAATGTTCTTTTTCTTCTGGTGATAAAGCTCTCCATCTTCTACCTAATTCACGAGAAACTTCTGGATTGGTACGAATGACACTTCCTTCATCCAAAACAGTTTGATGATACTTTTGTCTAAATAAAATAAAAGCATTTCTTGGTCTTGGGATTCTATTAGCATTTGATTTACAAATACATTTATCTTGACGAACAGATACAGTAGTATTACCATCAGCAACACCGCCAATAACCGGTTGTTGTTGTGGTTGCATTTGCTGCATTTGTTGTTGCCCATAAGGAGTATATGAAGAACCGGGAGTAGTTTGAGCAGTGGAAGATTGAGAATATAAATCTGGAAGTGATTGAGTATGTTGAGGTTGAATTGGACCACCAGTTGGAACACCAACAGGAATTGAATGGACTTGATGAACCGGTTGTGGTTGTTGAGTATTATATTTCAAATTTGGAGAAGTATTGGTAGAACTTGGTGAGTTGGTACCGTTGTTACTGTTACTGTCATGACTATATTGACTTTGACCCCCACTAAGAATAGACAGGGAAGCTGATTGCAGTTGTTGTACTGGAGGCATAATTTGAGACAAAGATGGTAATGTATGTTTGGTAGGTAAATCTTCAACTGGCATGTTATTGGATGAATAGTAAACAGCAATGGTCATAGCAATGTATTTCTCTTTGGACTGGATGAGATAAAAGGTTAATTAACTAATTTGTAGTTTGGGAAGTAAATCTTCGTATAATTAATAATGTAAAGAGAGTGACTTAATGGTTGATGGAAAAAGTGATTGCAAAAAAAAAGATCTTTTTGCTGGTTATATCCTTTTTCTTTATAAAGTAAGAAAATTGCAAAAAACTATAAAACAAAATGAGAATAGTTCTATTCTTTATATAAAGACCCAAAAAAACAAATTGGCTAAAAATAATAAAAAAAAAAAATCTATTGATTAATTATGCATATGTAGATCTAATAAAACAAAAATATTTTTTAAGTGGAAATTATTTTTTGGTTTAGGTGGTGAATTGATCAAATATTTTTTAAGCAGAATATTTTTTACAGGATTAAAAAATAATAATTCTGAAAAAGGGGTTTGTGCCACATATGCATGAATTCTGTAACTCAAAAAATAATATTTTATTTGCAGGAAAATGTCCAGTACTAACATTTTGATTCCTGAGGGAATAAAAACCAAAATAGCAATTCGGTTGTTGATACCAAAATGTAAGAGGTGCTTCCTTGATGATGCAATTTAAAAGAGATGTTGGATATTTATAACTCTGGTAAAAAGAAAAGAAATCAAAACCCGCTTGAAAGAAATGTGTGTTGTATTGCTGAATTATCGGATATAATATTTCTTTTCAAATCTTCAATTTAAAGTTTTCCCACTGCATGTTTTCTTTTTTTATTGTTGCTATTGATATGTCATAATTTCAACTTTATTTTTTAATACGTTTTCAGTAATACATTTTTATTTTATTTTTTTCAAGGGTTTATTTTCTTTTTTTTTGCTTGCGAGGTCCATAAACGGTGGTGTGGACATTGCCAATTTAAAATAAAACATTTCTATTTCTATTCCTGTTTGCAATAAATAAAAATGCCATATGAAGAAGCTTGTGAATTTTAATTCCAACCAATTGAAGGGAAGTTTCGCCGTGTATAACTTTAAGGCATTTTGACCATCCACCAGGAATTTGGACGAAAAAATAGGTTGTGGTCGTGGCTAGGTGAAGTGATTTGGATAATGAGTATCTCTTCGGCACAAAGAAGCAGTAGTGACTCATGTAGGTACCCCAAAGCTGAAGATAAAGTCAACAACAGGGAAGAACAATCGATAAATTCTTGAGTTGGCTTCTAAACAAGAAAGATGTGTTCCAAGAGGGGCTTGCTTTTATTATTATGTTGCAATATAGTTGCAAAAATTAGTCTGAAGGCATTTTCTGATCTTTAGCCGTATTGACGTGATATCTCACAAAACAGAACTCCACAAAGCACCTTCCGCCAAAATATTCATGCCGGTTCAGGAATCCCGTTCAAGGTTCCATCCCTGGTGCTTTTCGGTAAAACAAATGCTCGTTTGATGTAACGTTGCGTTATACATTTGATTAGAGCTTGAAAACGAACCGCGGCTGTAGTAGATGCAACCGCTTTAAAAATCTCGGTAGAGAGAATGCACCAAGTCGGGCAAATAGTGAAATCCTTCTGCAATCATGACCTCGATAGCGTACTGTGAGGTATAGACGATGTAGCGATCCCCCACCTACATCTCGCGTAATGCCTAGTGGATATTGTCATCCGAAACCTTGTATTATGAATTTACCGTATTTCCGTCCAAACATGGTATTACATCTAAGCGCATAGTAAGCATCAATCAACAATCTTTGACGCCACATTGTATAAATCTTTTGTATTACCGAGTCAAACTTCAACATACATAGTTCGACTCCTTTACACCTGACTCTATATGGGGGTCCTCCTTTGTGTAATATTAAAAGATTCTATAGCGAAAATGTGTACATTCTTTCTAATTTCTCAAAATCATCATGACATTATGGCTTTTCGGCAAATAATAGAGATTATTGGGCCCAGCTATTATTCTCTCGATACAATTATCTCATGCAAGATTCAATAATTCTCCACCTTTCTCTCTGTTCTCATTATTATACTTTTAGAAACTAAAAGGACAATACCGGGCTTAGTATACATGCATAGACAACAATTAACCAACAAAAAGAATCCCCCAAATAATAAATCTCATTTGTGAAATTATTCTAAAAGTATATTTTTTATTTTTACAAGGCAACAAAAAACCTCTCTAAACATGGAACGGGTTTAGCACCCAAAATAATATTGTTTCTTTGTTTAAGACCGGACCGGCCGGTTTATAACTCTGCCCGGGAATAGTTCTTAGAACAATATCAATCAACCCTTACTAAAATAGGTAGTATATCCTACCCTCCACCAAATCTTATCTGATTTTGGATTTGTAAACTAATTAACGTGGGGGAGACCCTAATGACAGCGTGTGATAAATTGGATGTGTACTGTACAATGCATTATGATGCCATTGAAACACGAAAAGGATTTACGTATATGCAATGTCTAATGGCAATATATCTCCATTGTTTCTTGTGACAGCTATTGGTGTGTGTCGTAATGCGCTTGACAATTAACATGACCGGGCGTTGTCTATTAAGGTACCAAAACTTTGAACAATACACTGTGATTGTAGTACTCCACCACTACAAAGATTTTTTGCGGATCTGATAATAAAAACTGAATATCGCTGTTTTGTTTGAATGTGCGATATGATGGTCATACTTTAATATTATGAGTACTGAGTTGCCTCTGCAATGCCCTGCGACTTTGAAGTTTCATGGACAAATGCATTAAATTGCTAACCCAACAGCCGAAAGGAGTCAACTGTATGAGCGTGGTGTTGGAAAATCTACAGTTGGTAGCATCGAAGGGTCGTCCAAGACACAATTTTCAAATGACGTGTGGAAAAGAAGCGCAATATATCCAGACAACACTCTTCCCTATCAAAAGTAGGTAAGAGGGTAGACATATATAAATATAGAATTAAATAACAAACGATGGAGAACGAATTCGATGTGCTAGATGGAACCGATGAATTCCCTTATCCAATATCAATAGCTCGTACAGATTTTAAGAATTTCAATGAAGAAGAAATTGATCAATTCTTATATAAGAATCATCGATTTACATCAATAGATATATTAATTAAAGAGCTATCACAATTATCAAATAGTCTAAATCAAACTCTATTAGATTTGGTTAATAATGATTATAATGATTTTATAAAATTAGGGAAATCTATAAATGGAGGATTTGATTTAATAAATTTAATCTCGGGAGATTTAAAAGGATTTAAATTAGAATTAACCAATTATCAAAATAAATTTAATACCAGTTATGAAACATTGGATAATGTACTTAACAAACGACAACAACTAATCGAACTAAAGACAAGTGCTAAATTGAATTTATTATTACATGATCAAGTAGTTGAATTTGATAATTATATTGAACAAAAGGATACCATCGATTTATCAACAGAATTAAAGAAGTTAACTGGTTTATATCTTTCAATAAGCAATATCAATCAATTCTTAGAATCAAGACAATCAAATCAATTTCAAGAGACTTATTTAGCAAATAAGATATCTTCGTTAAAATATGAATTTAAAAGTTATTTAGATCAATTGGCAAAACGAGAAATTACCAATAATAAGAAGGACTCATCGTTGATATTGGAGATATTGAACGTATATAAGATGATTGGACTAGAGTCTGATCTACTAGATCTAATTCATAAGTAATCAGAGAATACATATCTGGATAGATTTTATTAGTACTGAGATTTACGCGCATTTATTGCAATTTTGTATGTAATTTCCATAGTGTAAATTTCAGCACCAACCAAACAAGAGGAATTTCCAATTTTTTTTTTTCAGTCTCCCTCCTTCTCTCTCACTCACTGATCCTTTAACATTCATCAAGCGAATTGTGAATTCATAATACTTTGACTAATTGCACTTTTAAACAAACAGCAATAAGGAAAACATGGGTTTTGGACAATTAGTATCAGGCAGTCGTAGGTGGGAAAATGTGGAGTCAAATCCTATGCCAAAGGATATTCCTGATGTAGATGAAGTTGGTGCTACTTCTGCTCCATTATTATCAGCATCTTTCTTTATTGGAGATAGATGTAAACCTTATAATGATGATTTTATGTTATGTAAAGACGAAAACAATGGTGGTACTTTAGATTGTTTAAAAGAAGGAAGAAGGGTCACTAGATGTGCCATTTCTGTTTTAAGAGATATAAATAAACATTGTTTTGATGAATTCAAATTACATTATGATTGTTTAGAACAAAATAATCAATATTTCGGTCGTTGTCGTGCATCTGAAGGTGTCTTGAGTAAATGTGTATTTGATAATTTGAAATTAGTAAAGAAGATTCCTGGAGTTGAAGAACAAATTCAAGATAAAAAGAAACCAATTTATGCCAATAGTTCAAAAGATAATAGATTAACTGCTGAATTCTTAAAGAAGAAAGAATTTGCTGCTCAATCTTCAGAGTAGAAAAGTAATTTGGCTATTTGTTAATTCGTCATTTTTCACGGGTAAGAAAACTAATGAGGTTAGTAGGGGTTCGTATAAATATATACACATATACAATTTTCCAGATTGCTCGTCCATTTGATGTTACCTCCGGTTTTTCTGCATTTCATTTCATACTACCACCTTCACATCTTTACGACTTTAAAGGATATATATACATATTGAATCTTTGGTTGTTTGTTAGTTTTTTTGTTTATTAAGCTTTTATGTATTTTAGATAATAAGAAATAGGGGTTCTATTAACATCAGTTAGATCTTAAGGACTCTTATTATAATAAAAACAGATATTTATTTTTAACTTTGATTGAAACTATCTCTTTGTACATCAACGATATCATTAAGGTTCATAATTTTACAGATGGTAGCACCTTGCTCTCGTAATGAAACACATCTCACAATTTTTTTTCTCTGTTCTCTCTGTCATCTTCACCATCAACAACACTTGGATAGTTTCAATAAACACATTGCCTATCAATTATGTTTGGATCATCAGCTAATACAGGCGGAGGGATGTTTGGCTCATCAGGAACACAATCAGGAGGCTTATTCGGACAAAAGCCAGCAACTACTGGATTTGGTGCCCAACAACAACCTCAACAACAACAACAACAACTTGGAACAGGGTTCGGATCAACAGCCAATGCCCCATCAGGTGGGGGATTGTTTGGTCAACAGACTAATACAGGCACATCTACAACAGGTGGAGGACTCTTTGGAAACAAACCTGCTACGGGTGGATTATTTGGACAGAGTTCACAACAACCAGCCACAGGTACTGGATTTGGTGGTGCACCTGCTGCAGCCTCAACTGGAACCAATTTGTTTGGTGGTGGTGCAAGCAATGCTAGTGCTAATACTGGGGGATTGTTTGGAAATAAACCTGCTACAACTGGGACTACGGGTGGTGGATTATTTGGAAGCACAGGTGCAACCGGTTCAAATACTTCTGGTGGTCTTTTTGGAAGTAATCCCCAAGGAGCGACACCCACATCTGCTCCTTCAGGAGGTCTTTTTGGTGCTTCATCTGGTGGAACAGGGTTTGGTAGTGCCGGAACTACTGGTGGAGGATTGTTTGGAAACAAACCTGCTGCACCATCCGGAGGTCTCTTTGGATCACAACAACCACAACAGCAACAGCAAATACAGCAGCAGCAACAACCTTCCGGGGGACTCTTTGGGAATAATACCACAAATAATCAACAACCATCTTTCAGCTGGAGTCAACCGCAACAACCACAATCAACCCTCTTTAATACCAGTGCAACCGGGGCTGGATTTGGTACCAACCCCAATATGCAATCATCAGCAGCTAATGTCAACACATATACTCCAGCAATTAATGATCAATTGATAAAGATTTCCGAACAATGGGATCCAAATTCTCCTAAATGTGCCTTGAAAACTCATCTTTATAATAAATTTAACGAACAAGAAATTGCAATCTTGATGAGTCAACAAAGACCAGCGAATGAAACACCTGAAGATTGGGACAATGCTATGATGAAAAGACCAGGGATTGCATATTATCCGATTAAGATAACTTCATTTAGTGATATTGCTCAAAGAATTGAAACCCAATTGGATCATGTTGCCAAATCTAGAGTTTTACTTAATACTATAAATGAAAAACAAAATGCATTATCTTCAAAACATGATTTAGAAAACACTACTAGAATATTAAAGGCAAAAGCAAGACATACTAAATTGTCCAGAAGATTATTACGATTGGCTACTGTATTGGCCATATTGAAATTGAAGGGATATCCATTATTGCCTGAAGAAGAAGAAATATCTAAACAATTTGATTTATTGACTGCTAAATTAAATGACCCAAATAGTTCAGTAGGTAAATTAAGTGATATATTTGCCAGATTAGCAATTCTAAAAGAAAGAGCAGAAGATTTGAATTATCAATTTGATCATTCTATTAATACATTAAATGGAGGGTTAAATGTTGGAGAACAAACCGAACAAAAAGTGAAAGATCAAGCTGGAAATACTGATGAACTTATTAAGAAGCTTTCTAATGTCTTGTTGAAACAACAAATGGGATTGAATTATTTGAATGATGTGTTAGAGAAAGATAAAGAATCCGTACAAAAGTTGGGTAAAAAGTAATAAGTCGAAGAATATATTGTAGATTAGAGTAGAAATTGTAGTATATTAAATACATATTACCATTTGAATTGAATTCTGTATTGTTATCTTCCTCTCTCGTAAATTCAACTCTGAATTTATAAAAGTTCAGTAATTATCTCAGAACTTAATTTTTTTTGCGCTTCTTCTGCTCATCTGCTGCATCGAAAAGATCATGGAAACACAACTTTTCATTGCAAGAGAAAGACAGCCTAAGTAAGTCACTAGGAATAGATTATGGATGACACCAATGGTCAGGATATACTCACCACCCTCAAAGAGAAATTATCTATCTATCTTAATAAACGAATCAATGAATCATTGATAACAACAATCATTTCTCAATATCAAAGAAATAATTCACTTGAACAATTTACGAATTTCGTTAAAGTATTTGGATTGGTGAATTCAGATCATGTATGTGATTTATATAACCAAATCAATGATAATTATGCCAGCATCGAAAAGGTATTGAAAGAGAGAAGCAGCAACAGTCAGAAAGTTAAACTTTTGCGTGTTGTAGAGAAACCTAAGAAGATCAAGACTGCCTTGAAATTATCGTTTGATGAGTTGGATGACGAATTGGAGGAAATTGAAACACCAGCCATAAAAACAAAGCCTATTCCGAAACTTGACGATGAGCTTGAATTAGATGAAGAGATGTTAGATATAAACGTTAACAAAAAGACGATATCCAAATCAACAACCAAATTTAAAAAGATAAAAAAAGATGATGCCATTCGAATAAAGCAAGAGACAATACAAGCTCCGAAACCATCAGAGACCACAAACAATTCAACATCAAAAGATCCACCGAAACCACAAGTCAATGCCGTCCCAGAATCAAAACACATGCAGCAACCGGAAAATACCCCAATAATAGACGACTATCCCAAATTCGAAGAGCTTTCCAACACAAACCTAGAAGTCGATAGAGAATGGTATAACATAGATGAAGAAGGAGCCGTCGCTAAATCAGATGAGATCGACGATACTGACTTCCACCCCCGCCGTCCTCAACAACAAAGACGCAACCGCCCAATCCAAACCAAATCAACCAAAGGATCCGGCGGATTATTCGACCCCACCACGGGCGAATACATAGATTATGACCACTCCTCTGCTGATGAATTCTCGAGGGTGCCTATTTCGAGTCATGTCTTCATTCCGCCATTTTTAGAGAATTCGAAGGAGTATTTACAATTACAGATCTCGGGAAGTAGTATTCGAGGAATCGGCCCCACGGTGAATCCTATTAAAGATTCCACATCGGAATTGGCATCGATGGCGAGACAGGGGTCGTTGGTTGTTCAGAATAAGAGATCGAAGAAGGAGAGAATGCAGCAGGCGAAAGAAAGGACTGGGGTTTCTGGTAGTAATCTAGAGAAAATAATACCCGAAGAAGATGACGATGTTGCGTCGCCAGATAGTACAAAGATGACTGAAGAAATAGAAGCGGATCCAATTGAACTAATAACTCAACAAAGAAGAAGTTTGCCGGCTTTTTTAGTCCGTGATCAATTATTACAAACAATTCGAGATAATCAAGTGACTATCATCATTGGGGAAACAGGATCAGGTAAAACCACGCAATTAACACAATATCTCTATGAAGATGGGTTTGGATCTAGTATATGTCAAGGAAAAGAACGGGTGATGATTGGATGTACACAACCCAGAAGAGTTGCCGCCATGTCGGTAGCCAAAAGAGTCAGTGAAGAAATGAATTGTAAACTTGGAGAAGAGGTTGGGTTTTCGATTAGATTTGAGGATAAGACAGATAACCAGAAGACTATTATTAAATATATGACAGAAGGGGTTCTTTTGAGAGAGACATTGGTGGATCCGATGTTGAGTCATTATAGTTGTATCATTATGGATGAAGCTCATGAACGATCTTTGAATACGGATATCCTACTTGGATTATTCAAGAATTTGATAACAAAACGAAGAGATTTGAAGTTAATTGTGACTTCTGCAACTATGAATGCTGAAAGGTTTATGATGTTCTTTGGTGCAGCACCTCAATTCACGATCCCAGGGAGAACTTTCCCGGTTGAGGTTTTCTATAATAAGAGTATATGTTCAGATTATGTCGACACTGCCATCAAACAAGTCCTAACCATCCACCTCAAGGATTCAAATACCGAAACCTACACCAACGATGGTGATATTCTAGTATTCATGACCGGTCAAGAAGATATCGAAATCACATGTGAACTACTCCGCGAGAAATTAGACATGTTAGAAAGCCCACCTCCATTAGACATCTTTCCCATCTATTCAACAATGCCGGCCGATTTACAAAAGAAAATCTTCACCAAAAAGAATTCCAAACGAAGAAAAGTCGTCGTCGCGACGAATATTGCCGAAACTTCTTTAACCGTTGATGGAATCAAATATGTCATCGATTGTGGTCTTGTGAAAATGAAAGTATACAATCCGAAATTAGGTATGGATATGTTACAAGTCGTGCCCATATCAGTCGCAAATGCTGATCAAAGAAGTGGTAGGGCAGGTAGAACTGGTCCAGGGGTGGCATATAGATTATATACCGAACAAGCTTGTGATCCCGCCAGGATGCATATTCAACCCATCCCGGAAATCCAACGGACTAATTTAAGTAATATCATGTTATTACTAAAGTCGTTGAAAGTTGGTGATGTCAATTCTTTCCCATTTCTTGATCCTCCTCCCAAGGATTTGTTAAATTGTTCGATGTATGATTTATGGGCGATGAATGCGTTGGATAATCTTGGGGAATTGACAAGTTTGGGAGAATCAATGACGAAGTTTCCTATTGAACCTACATTATCGAAATTGATTTTGTTATCGACCCAAGCGGAATTTCACTGTTCTGATGAGATTATTAGCATTGTGGCGATGTTGTCGGTGCCGAATATCTATCATAGACCGAAGGAAAGGGCGCAAGAGGCAGATATGGCGAGGGAGAAGTTTATGATTTCGGAATCGGATCATTTGACGTTGTTGAATGTATATAATCAGTGGAATATAAATTTAAAGAAATTTGGGAATAATTATTCTAGGATTAATTCATGGTGTAATAAGAATTTCATACAATTGAAGTCATTATTCAGGGCAAAAGATATTAGAAATCAATTATTGTTAATCATGCAGAAGAATAAATTACCAATTCTTAAATCTCGAAATGATGAACATATAAGAAAATGTCTCTGTGCTTCATTCTATCAACAACTGGCGAAAATTTCCAAGATGAATGTGCATGGAAATCCTGAATTTGTTAATTTAAGACATAGTTATATGAAGATGTATCTACATCCAACCAGTTCATTATTGGATATGAATTTAAGTTCGAATTTTGTGATTTATCATGAATTGGTACTTACTACTAAAGAATATATGCATTATGTGACATGTGTTGATCCGGTTTGGTTACTTGAGTATGGATACAAGTTTTATGGAATTCCTGATTCTTATAGTTCTAGATTAGATAGTGAGGTTTCGATTGTGACTAAGAAGGAATTCGAAAAACAGTTGAAGGAGGATGCAAAGATTTATGAGATGAGAATTCAAAAGCAGACGAGAGCGCCTGCCAAAGACTCAGGAACTGTTCAGAAAAGTGGACTGTTGTTTAAAAGAAGAAGGGCAATATAATATTTATACCAATGTATTACTATGTACTATTTATAATGGATTAACGTTCTCCAAATACTCTATTACGTCTCCATTGTCTATTTTTGTATGTCTATTTTTGGTTTCCATTTTATTCGTCTCTCATGCATGCTTAGTTAAGAATGACGTTGTCTATCAATCTTGCCTTCCCATCTCCTGATTCTCTTGGAACTTTAACTGCAGTAGAAATAATGGCACCAACTCCCGGTTCAACATATTCAAGATCATCCAAAGTCTCAGGATGACTAATTGCAAGATATTCTAGTTCGAATTCAGGATCTGATGTAATTATTGGTTTGACTAAATTAATGATATCTTTTGCAGCTACTTTTGTTCCTCTTTGGGTATAATAAGCTTGTCCGGTACTTAATGCTTTAAAAATAATAGAACTTCTATCTTTCATTTCTTGAGATAAATATTCATTTCTTGAGGACATGGCTAATCCATTTGATTCTCTTAATGTAGGTAATACTCTAATTTCAGTATCCATAATTAAATCTTTCACTAGATTCTTAATAACCACGCATTGTTGAGCATCTTTTTGACCAAAATATGCTCTTGTTGGAGTTACAATATTTAATAATTTGGTGACCACAGTCGCTACCCCACGGAAAAATTGAGGTCTAGTAACACCTTCCAATTGTTCAGAACATCCATGCACGGTAACAAAAGCTCCTCTTTGTTGATTAACATCCAAAGTGATTCCCGATGGATACATTTCGGAAATCTTGGGTATGAAAACTGCATCAACTGATTTTTGATTGAAAGCTCTTTCTAATAACTCTAAGTCACGTTCTACTGTACGAGGATAAGCATCAAGATCTTCATGTGGGGCAAATTGGGAAGGATTAACAAATATGGATACGACAGTTCTATCATTTTCTTGTAATGATTCATTTACAAGAGAACAATGACCAGCATGTAATGCACCCATAGTGGGGACAAGCCCCACTGATTCTCTATTAAGGATGCATTGTAATCTCCATTGTCTGACTTGTTGGACTGTACGTAATACTGTGATACTCTTGGAAACTGTCATTTTTGTATGTGATTGCTTGAATAATCTGTAACAAGAAGAAGAAGAAGAAGAAGAAGAAGAAGATGGCTGTTGAAAAACCGTTGACATCAAAAAGAAATCCTGCCCTGAAAGGAAAAAAAAAAAAGAAATATACGAGAAGAATGAAAATAACCGATGATTTTTTAGTCACAAAACTTTAAAAATACAATTTACACTTCAATTATTAAATCTAATGACATAAGTGAAGTTTAGTAGATATTGGAAGTACATGTGACCCCACAGAAATTACTATAAATGGTTATGTGATATATAATAGTATGAAATCAATGTTCCGGCTATCATTGTCTTGCAGGGAAGTAAATCGTACAGCGGGATTTGGCCGGGATTAAAATTCTTTTTTTTTTCTTTAAACGGTATCGATTAAATTATACACTAAAATTATAAACTATAATATATAAACTGATACTGACCCTCTGATACATATAGGGCATAACGTTCTGTAGAAATGGTAAAAACCTTTTATAGGCACTTAGGTGTATGATAAAAGCAACATAAGTAGTGTGAGAGTCCAAGACCAGCAGGACTGGGTTGTATACTCACTAAAAACAATTCTTGGTTTGTGTCACTTCGGTTTATGTCCGGATTGTGCTGTGAAACTAATACTGCGCAACATTTCCTTCTCTATAGTTAAGAATTGTGGTTGCGCTTCGATTGTCTCAACCCCCGCAAAAAATCGTTCTCTTTTTCCGACTGGCATGTGTTGTTATTATTGTTGTTTAATAGTCTTTGTGTGTCTTTCAGTGTAAATCTATAATCCGGATTAATTTATTTGTCATTTGAAATTTTATTTTTATTCTTTCTAACCTCGGTAACTCAATTCTCTCCGCATTAAATTGATCAACGAATTTATTTAAATCAAAACCACAATCCGGTACTTTCTTTTATATCAACTGTAAGTTAAGTAACCTAGTAGTAGTTAGCAGTTCTGGGTCATGTCATTCACAGTTGAAAAGAAGGTTGGTAGTGCTTATCCATATCGTGCTGCTGGGAGTACCATTTTAGCAGAAGATACTCACAAATTAAAACTAGTTTACAATAAATATAAAACAACTTTAACTCCACCTACAAAGGATACCCTAAGATTCAATTTAATCTTTTGTCATGGTACTGGATTCAATAAATCAATCTGGAAATATCATATCAAGAAATTATATGAATTATCTCAACAACGTGGTACTAATTGGTTCTTGGATAGTGTAATGGCTATTGATTTTATTGGTCATGGTGATTCAAGTCTTCTTAATAATGGATTATTAGGTCCTGTGTATAGATGGGATGAAGGTGGGAAAGATATAACCCATCTTATAAAACAAGAGATTTCGTCTACTGGTGATTTTCAAAATAATTTCGAATCTCGTAATATTGTCATTGGACATTCGATGGGAGGTTTTAGTACTATATATGCAGCATTCCATGAACCTACTTTAATTGATTCAATTGTTCCAATTGAACCTGTTTATTATGGAGAACCTGATAGGTTTACTAAGTTTAAGAAGATATTCAATAAGATTTCACAAATGATTATTGATAAATTTGATAGCATTGAAGACTTAAATTATTTCTTTAAGAAATTTTCATTTTATAAGAATATGACTCCAGAAATAATGAAAGATTATATGGATGATGAAGTCATTGAAGAAATCGACCCAGAAACTAATGAAAAAGTATATAAAATTAAATGTATTAAAAGACATCAAATGACAGCATATTTTGGTCTGTTTACATCCATTGCTAGAGGTATGCATGTCTTACCAACTATTCAAGTCCCAATCTATCATGTGATTGGTGCTAAAGCAGTTTGGAATCCACCAGCAAGTATTCCATGGATTAGAGGAAATATTAATCCTAAATATTTAGCAGGAACTTTTGATATTCCAGAAGGTGAACATCTTTGTAATGTCGAAAAACCTGATGAAACAATAGACATTATAGCTAAAGTTCTTACTGAGAGAAATAGCAAGTATACACAAGAGAGGGTACTCATTCCTGAAATTGTAAAGAACAAAGATAGACAAGTAATTGCTGATGAACAATTCAGTAAGATGTTTGATTTAAAATTTGACGATATTTATGGTTATATCCTTGATGTTCAAGATAGACCTGCTCATTCTAAGTTGTGAGAGTGGTCATTTCTTGTTGTATGTCTAGACACATCTGGTAATCTATAGAGTTGGTAATATAACGCGTTTTAGTATGTTTATAAGTCGTTTGACTCATTGTAGCTTCTCTCCCATACCTCTATTGTAATGAATGAATTTGGTTGCAAAAACTATATTCCTGCATATTGCACCGAAAGCATCGAAAGAACCAGAATTTCTTTTTTTGTGAATCTTTATAAATAAAATAAATTTTTTTTTCACTTTTTCATTTCTTTCATCTTTCCATAACAATTGAAAGAATCAACTAGTTGACGGTATTGAAACAATGGGTGTATCTAAAGAAGTTGTATTAGCTTATATCAAAGAATATTTAAGCAGGGATCCATCCCTTTCCAAAGTTGAAAAAGCCCTTGATAAGGCAATCGGTGATGAAATTGAATTACCAAAAGTTGAACAAAAATTAGAAGAATTTGTCCCAGTGGTAGAAGAACCAAAAGAAGAAGAAAAGGAAGAACCAAAGAAGAGTGAAAGCTCCTCTTCTGAATCTTCTTCAGATAGTGAAAGTAGTTCTTCAGATAGTGAAAGCTCCTCATCTGATAGTGAAAGTTCTTCTTCAGATAGTGATAGTTCTTCATCTAGTTCATCTTCATCATCCTCAGATTCTGATTCTGAATCTGGTTCGTCAAGTTCATCCTCGGACTCAGAATCTTCCAGTTCATCCTCATCGTCAGATTCTGATTCAGACTCGGATTCATCCAGTTCATCTGATTCGGATTCTGATTCCGACTCAGATTCAAGCTCAAGCTCAAGCTCAAGTTCCGACTCAGATTCCAGCTCCGACTCAGACTCATCAAGTTCTGATTCAGACTCTTCCAGCTCAGACTCAGACTCAGGTTCAGAATCAGATGACGAATCTTCCGAAGATGAAAGTGAAACCAAAAAGAGAAAGTCCGACACCAAAGACGAACACGTCTCCAAAAAGCAAAAGCCAGTCGAGTCATCTTCATCTTCATCTTCCTCACCTTCTTCCCCATCATCCACAACCTCAGAAATGGACAGTATTAGTCCGCCAACTTCAAGAGGCATATCAGCCACTCCAGAAGCAGAATTAAAACCAGGACAAAGAAAACATTTCAGTAGAATAGAGAGAGAAAAGATTAGTTTTGAACACCATGCATTACAAGATAATACTTATAAAGGTGCTGCTGGTACTTGGGGTGAAACTGCAAATGCTAAATTGATGCAAGTTAGAGGAAAAGATTTTACTAAGAATAAGAATAAGATGAAGAGAGGAGCTTATAAAGGTGGATCTATCACTTTTGCTTCTGGTTCTTATAAATTTACTGATTAGAAGAAGTTTATACACCCTAGATATAACCTGTAACATACACTTAAACAGACTTTTACATAGTTAAATAATTTAATTGATTTGAACACGACCTTTTATTTCAGATACAAATTAAAAAGGATCATCTTTTTTTTTACAACCAAATTTCTTCTTTCTTTCTTTTGATTCTATCTTTGATATTTGTAAGCAATTACCATTAACCCAGTAAATGTCTACTACTAGTACTAGAAGAATAGGCGAAGTCAACTATGCAGAATTAGAAGAAGGCAATTTCTCAGATGATTATCAAGATGAATATCAAGAGGATGATATTGATGGAGAATATGGTACTCCCTCCAGCAAACGAAAGGGAGGCAAACAAGCATCCACGCAAGCAAAGAAAAAGAAGGTACAAGCATCAATAGATAACATCAGGAATGAAATAGACGATACAAATTACTCCGATGAACAATTAATCGAATTAACCCCCGATATTCCTGCTGATTATATCCCAGATGCAGTTTCAAGAACATTTGGAAAATCAGATTTTTCATATTTGAAATTAAAACCTGATCATTTTTCAAGACCAATTTGGATTTCTCCGAATGATGGTAGAATCATATTGGAATCATTTTCCCCATTGGCTGAACAAGCCCAGGATTTCCTTATTACTATTGCAGAACCAATTTCAAGACCGTCACATATTCATGAATATAGAATCACGGCATATTCTTTATATGCGGCTGTTTCAGTTGGATTAGAAACTGATGATATTATTCTGGTTTTAAATCGATTATCGAAAGTTCCAGTTGCTGAATCGATTATTAATTTCATTAGAGGGGCTACTGTATCTTATGGAAAAGTTAAATTAGTTTTAAAACATAATCGATATTTTGTGGAAAGTACGCAGGCGGATATTTTACAAATGCTTCTAAAGGATCCAGTTATTGGACCTTTAAGAATCCAATCTTCGGAGAATATAGTTTCAGGCAATGGACTTATTCAATCCGCTGCTTCAAAAGACGATATAACGATCCCCGGCACGAAAAAGAAGGATGGAAACACAACTGCCGAAAACAATGAAGCAGAAGATATATTTGCATCGGTTATAGGAAACAAAGAAGACGATGATGATGATTTCGATACAGTTCATTCATTCGAAATTGCCAATGATTCAGTTGAAATTGTGAAAAGAAGATGTCAAGAAATCGAATATCCCGTATTGGAAGAATATGATTTCCGTAATGATGCCAGAAATCCTGATTTAGAAATTGACTTAAAACCATCGACTCAAATTAGACCATATCAAGAAAAATCCTTATCCAAAATGTTTGGTAATGGTCGTGCAAGATCAGGAATTATTGTTTTGCCGTGTGGTGCTGGGAAGACATTAGTTGGGATTACTGCTGCATGTACCATTAGAAAATCGGTGATTGTATTATGTACTTCTTCTGTATCAGTTATGCAATGGAGACAACAATTTTTACAATGGTGTACTATCCAGCCGGAAAATGTTGCCGTTTTTACTTCTGAGAATAAAGAAATGTTTACTAGTGAATCAGGATTAGTCGTATCAACATACTCAATGGTTGCAAATACAAGAAATAGATCACATGATTCTCAAAAAGTGATGGATTTCTTAAGATCAAGAGAATGGGGGTTTATTATATTGGATGAAGTTCATGTTGTCCCGGCCGCGATGTTTAGACGTGTTGTGACTACAATTGCCGCCCATGCAAAACTTGGCCTTACTGCCACTTTGGTTCGTGAAGATGATAAAATTGATGATTTGAATTTCTTAATTGGTCCGAAATTATATGAAGCAAATTGGATGGATTTAGCCCAAAAGGGACATATTGCCAATGTTCAATGTGCTGAAGTATGGTGTCCGATGACATCGGAATTTTATCAAGAATATTTACGTGAATCGGCAAGAAAGAGGATGTTATTATATATTATGAATCCGACGAAATTTCAAGCATGTCAATTTTTAATTCATTATCATGAAAAGAGAGGTGATAAGATTATTGTATTTAGTGATAATGTTTATGCATTACAAGAATATGCATTAAAATTGGGGAAACCATTTATTTATGGTTCGACTCCCCAACAAGAAAGAATGAAGATTTTACAAAATTTCCAACATAATGATGAAATTAATACGATTTTTTTATCAAAAGTTGGAGATACTTCAATTGATTTGCCAGAAGCAACATGTTTAATTCAAATTTCTTCCCATTATGGATCAAGAAGACAAGAAGCACAAAGATTGGGACGTATTTTGAGAGCCAAAAGACGTAATGATGAAGGGTTTAATGCATTTTTTTATTCATTGGTTTCTAAAGATACTCAAGAAATGTATTATTCTACCAAAAGGCAAGCATTTTTAGTTGATCAAGGTTATGCATTTAAAGTGATTACTCATTTAAGTGGAATGGAAGATTTACCTGATCTTGCCTATGCTTCACCCCGGGAACGTCGAGAATTATTACAACAAGTATTATTAAAGAATGAAGATGCTGCCGGACTTGAGATTGGTGATGATGCTGATACGAATTTTATTTCAAAGGAAAGAAGAATGAAATTGGAAAAGGCAAATGCTACACGTACTGCTGGATCTTTGGCAGGATTGGCGGGTGGGGAAGATATGGCATATATCGAATATAATAAGAATAAGAATAAGGAATTAAAGGAACATCATCCATTGATTCAAAAAATGTATTATCATAAACAGGGAAAGAAATAAGGAATTGGTTGGATGGTTGGTTTTTCGCATTTTATAAAATTTTCTATAAATATCTAACTTAATTACGTTTTAACTTTAGTTACGAAATCTCCAAAGTCATCGTCGTCGTCGTCTTCTTCTTCATCTTCTGCATTACTTTCCTCTTCGCTTAATCTTATGGTAATATCCTCAGGTGATTGTGGATCTATCTCTTGTTTCCCATTTCCATTCATATTGCCATTTGTTTGTTTATTGGTTGTACCATTCGTTTGTTTATTGGTTGTACCATTTGCTTGGTTATTAGTAGTACCATTTGTTTGTGGTGCTGTAGTTGTAATATTCCCAATTGTGGCTAATGTCTTAATAGCAACCATCATCCGATCATAATAATATTGACGTTGTGAATTCCCATATCTTGAATCGTATTCTTCTAGAACCTCTCCAAACCGATATGCTTGATCTAAATCCCGAAACTCCAACCCTAAAGCAACTTGTACCACACTCCCATCATAATCGTCTTCATCTATATATGGATGATATCCTGATCCGGGTAATTGTACAATTACTTTAAAGTGTCGATCAGAATCCGAAGTCTTTATAATAGTATCTCTTCCATCATGAGATATTTTATTTACTCGTTTCATATGTAATTGGGTATTTCCAGTCAATGAAAGATGCGAATCTTCAGTTTGTGAAAGGGGGATATGCCAAGTCTCACCCCAAATCGGTTCTAATTGCGCCTCTTCTAATCGATTATAAAACAATAATTTTGATTGTGAACCTAAGAATGGTTCTACTATGAACTTGTTATCGTCACCATCGGATCTGTGTTCATATGATACACCACTTGTTTCTGCTTTGGTTGAATCTGAATTGGTTGATATTTGTTCAAAGAATTTTATATTGCCCTGCCATACTCGTTTGGAATTATCAAGATTCCAATTAAAGACACAAGTTGAATTATGGGGAATTTTGTAGAGGGATACTCCTCCACATTGAAATAATTGCTTTGATCTACACAGTTTGTTATTTGCCATATTTGATCCTTTGTAGCGCTCTTCTATAGTATGTGGTGGTATATGGATTTGTAAATTTCTATGAAAAAGAAAAGTTATAAAAAAAGTGTCAAATGAAAAACTTTATACGTCTAAATATCTATTTTAAGTATTATATACGATGCATATCGTATACGATAACTAACTAAACAATTGATAGTAGTAAATGAAAAAAAGGAGGAGAAGGAAAAATAAGGTCGTGTAAATGAGGGTAATTATTAGCGAGACAGAAAAAGAGAGAGAGTAAGCTAGACCTTTAGGTCGTGTACTTGTATCCAATTATTCCTTAAGTCAAAAAATGAAATTTTTTTTTTCAGTCAGTCAAGCACTCAAGTATCATTGGTTAAATTGGAACAAGGTAATTGAAAAAGTGGGTTTGGTGAAAAGTTAACAGGATATGTTCAGAACCACATTATCAAGAAACTTGGGATTAAGAGTAGTCCCAAGTAATCCTCTTAAATTACATGCATTGGGATTAGTTCGTTATAATTCTACTAATGAAAAACTTAGAAATGCAATTGGTTTTGATCAATGGACAACAACAAATGATAAATCAAAATCACAAGAACGTTCTTCATTTTCCAATATCAATGATTTATTAGATAGTACTATTTCCGAAGCAAGATCTTCACATACAACAACTCCATTTGCTAGAGATTTTAATGTTACTCAAGTAGAATATGATCCACGTCAAGCTGCAAGACAAATTCATTTAATAGGGACCAATGCTGGTAGATTAGTGAATGTTCCAACGGGAAGTCCTAGTCGTGGGTTTTCATTGGTTAGAGGTGTTGTTTCACAAAATAAACTTAGATATTTACAACGTATTCAAGAAAGATATATTCGTCCTGCAAAATTAAGAAAACAACAAAGAAGAGAATGGTGGAGAAGACATTTCAAAAGAAACTTTAAGATAATGATGGGACAGGTCGGTCAAGCTGTAAGAAGAGGATATTAGGACATCACGGATATTGGGCCAATTGAGGAGTCTTTCAGTTGACATGGCAATAAGCGATAACCTTCCATCGTTCATAGAACCCCGGGCATTTTACCATACTTGTATATATAGATATATTATATTATATAAAGTGATCAATGTATATATCACGAAATGAGTTTAATCTAAAAGTAGTACATCTTTCTCTCTTTGTCTCTTTCTCTTTTGATTTGTTGATAAAAGCCACTGGAAAAACGGTTCGAGATTTTTCTATTTTATTTCATTATATTATTTTTTCCGTTGCCCATCATCATCATCCATCTGCCCATAGTTTAGATTTCAATTGACATTGACTGATAGGAAGAAGATTTGCGATCTGAATGATCTCACTCTCATTTCACTCATTTTTTTCAATTTTTCCATATATTTCACACCACATTTCAATTTCCCACTTTGAATAACCCACCTTCTCCCCCTCGCTTCCAAGTGTTTTCGCTTCTTTAGTCATCCCCCGCTGATAGTTACTTAGACTCTCCTGAAAACATGCTGGGAAATGTTTCTCTACAATCCGCAAAACCAAAAGTTGGTGGAATTCCAGCCATAACTGGAGAATTAGATTATTCAAAAGCATTCCATATATTCCCAGAACTGTTACAACCATTCAGAAATAGTATCTTAGCATATTCCGCATCTTTATTATCTACAACCGCAGGATATCCTGTTGATTCATGTAAGAGTAAATTTCAAGTTGATAAAAGTTTTAGTGGATATGGAGATGTGATTGCAAAGACATATGCACGAGAAGGAATTAGAGGATTTTTCAGAGGAATAATGGCTCCATTGATTTCTACTTCATTTTCAAAATCAATAAGTATTTCAATCTTCACTGCTGTTAAACCATATACTTATACCGCCTTGTATGAATCGAGATATAGTCATAAGAGTGGAGAACCAATGCATCCGTTTCTTCGAAATATACCAGTATGTTTCATTTCTGGTGCTGTGGCCGGTGGGGCGGTTTCACTCTTTGCTTGTCCATTCGAATTCACAAAGATATATGCCCAATTACAAAAATTGTTGTTAAACACCACGTTGACAAATGTACCGAAATCGATGAGAACCATTAATCGAGAATGGGAAACTACTTCAACTCGACATATGGCTCAACAAATTGTTAAATATGAAGGATTAGGTGGATTATATTCCGGGTTTAGATATCATCTATTAAGAGATTCCGTATCTACTGGATTTTATTATTCAATATATGAATCAATGAAATGGATGACTAATTACTTCATAAATAAAGATCCATCAATCGTATCTCCGGTTTCAATCTTGCTTGCAGGTGGGATATCGGGTGTTTTTAGTTGGATATTGATATATCCTATAGATACAACCAAGACATTAATCCAGAAAGATGTGGTCACTAATATCTTAAGAAGAGAACAGGGGTTGGATGCATTACCTCCAAAACATCGAAAATTGCAAAAATTTGAACGGAGATTATATAGAGGGTTGGGGATATCTGTTTCAAGATCATTTGTGGTCAACATGGTCTTCTTTTATGCATTTGAAGTTGGAATGACATATCTTGCATAGGTAACAATTAATTACATAATGTTTATTTATTTATTAGGAATTATAATAGAATTTTTATACACATAGATATCTTAACTTATATTACACGGTTCATATTCACCTATTCTACATCTCTTGATCTTCCTCTCTCGGCAATAATCTTCTCCTCTTCCTCCTTAGTTCGAATTGGTTCCGACCTCGTTCTATGCGATTTCCTTCCTCCAGGGAGTTTTCTTCTTTTGTTAACTTCTTCAAGCTGTCGATCCTGATCTTCTAAAACTTGCATAAGTGGAGTCTTGATAGGTGATCTAGCACGAGTACGTAATGCAGGTGGACCCCTAACATCAGACATATCGGAATAATAACGTTTCGCATTTGGTGACAGTGGTGGAGATGAAGCTGGTGGTTCTATTATCTGAGAAGTCTCTAATAATTCTTTAAGATGTTGCTTGGCTTCATTTTCTGGTGGTTGGGCCAATGATGCTCTGATTGACAATCTTCTTATTCTTGGAGGTTGATGAATTTCAGGTTTTTCTTGCACATCTTTTTCCTCTGGAGTTTTGGGTTCAACTGCTTCCTTTGCGATGTCAATATCTTGAGCTTGTGGTTCGGAGAGAGGTTTCTCTGCGATCTTCTCTACGAGTGGTTTCACTGATTCGTTGCCTTGTGAGGATACACGTCTCAATCTTTGCTTTAATGGTAAATCAATATTGGAACTAATGGGCTCACTTTCTACCTTGCTATGATACTTTGGCTTTCTTAATTTTGGATTAACAATAGTTGCACTAAAATCAATACCTTTATTTGCAGTAGGAAGTATGTAATCTCCAAAACTGTGAGGCCTTCTTGCAGATTCCAAACCGGACTTATTGTCGTAATCAAAAGCATTTTCTCCTTCTGACATGAAGTTCAAAGTAGGAATAATCTTCGGGAGTATTTGTTTCAGTTGAATTTTGACTATCAATGATGGAGTTCCATTATTTTCCAGAATTGCAAGTTTTACTTTTGCAGGGGAATTGATTGTTGGTTCACTTTCTATGGATTCCTTAGACTCTGTAACGCCAGTTTCCTTTTCCTCTTTCAAATCAATAGCGTTTTCTTCCTTTTCCTCTTTCAAATCGACAGTGCCTTCTTCCTTTTCCTCTTTCAAATCAACATTGCCTTCTTGCTTAACAATAGCATTTGATTCTGTAATAACATCCTCATTGGATTCAACTTCCTGGTTAACTTCTGGAGTTGGTTCTTCTACAATCAATTGCTCTTCTGACTTGACTTCTTGCTCATCTGCAAATCCTTCTCTGTCTTCGTCGTCTGATTTGACTTCTTCTTTTTCAGCAATTCCTCCTCTGTCTTCCTCCTCGTCCGTTTGAAATTGTCTTGTAAAATCATCCGAACTCAGTGGCGTCGCTTCTTTTACTTCACTCGTATCTATTTCAAACTGGGAGCTTGGAAACCCGTGTGGAACCGTTATTACTTGATTGGTATCCAAATCAATCGCTTGTCTGACCTTTCTTCTCTTACGATGTGCTCTTAAAACCAACTGCACAATTCTCTCTTGCGGAGCAGTACTTTCATTGTCAATCTCATCTGAACCTTCCTGTGGCTGCAACTCTTCTGAACGTTCATCTACTTCAGAAACGTTTGCAACATTGTCACTGGTTTCAGCAGGCTCGGAGCCTTCTTGAACATCTTCTTCAGCAGAACCTGGTCTTGAAAACGTATTTGAAAATCTATGTACTATATTCGAAACAGCTCTCTTTATTCTCTTAACCGGTGAACTACTAATCCCATCTAATCCATGCTTTCTATTCCGGTCCAGGGCCTCTTCAACTTGTGATGATTCAACTGATCCAGTCTCGGTGTGAGTTATATCTTCTAATACTTCCTCAAATGTTGTCTCATGATCCTTGACTAAGTCACGTTCTGGTATTTCCTTAATCTCAAATTGTTCTGGCTTTATTACATGACGAATAACAGTGGAAAAATCGCTTTCATCGACACTCGGCTCTTCAACTACATTGTCCGTAGGCAAGGCAGCTGATTCGTTTTCAACATCCTTTGATGAGCTCTCCTCGTTGGCCGACAGCTGCATTTTTGATGCTTCTTCCTCAGAAGCTACGACAACTTGAGCAACTGGTTCGACTTCATTCAGAGCCTCTTGTTGAAGGTCTCCTTCATGCTCCACATTATCTTCAGAAACTTTCTCAACTTGTTCCTCAACCTTGGATTCAATGAATAACTCGGTGTCATCCTTAGTCTCTGTTTTTATTTCATTAGACTCCTCCGCTTTCAAAATTGGCTCATCTATAACTTCATTGTTTTCGCTAATCGTCGTTTCATCTTCCATACTAGTGTCTAATTCATCAGATATTGCATCTATTTCAGGTTTTACGATAACTTCTTCGTTGACTTCTTCTTGCTCAAATGCTGGAAGTTGGATTGCTTGTTGTACTAATTGAGTATCTTCCCCATCTGCATGCTTCGACTCCCCATCCTGTTCAACTTCTTCTTCAGCTTCATTCCTTTCAACCTGTATACTTGTTTCTTGGAATTCCTTGTTTTCATTTGACTCCACTTCCTTGGATTTATCTTCAGCGTCTACGTCTTCAATTAATTCCTCCTCGTCTATTGAATCGATTCTAACTAATTCATATTTGTTGACCTTATTGGTAACTTCTTCCAGCTCCAGTATTTGGTCTTCAATTGATGGTTCTTCCTCCACTTCCTTCTGTTCCACCATTCGCTGCTCGATTGACTCTGCCTTGTCTGCCTGGTGCAATTTGTCATCTACCTCTTCTTGATCTACTATTTCCGGCTCACTTTCTTCTTGTTCTATACTAGATAATGGTTCTTCTGAAAATTGAGCAGCCTCTTGAATATCAAGATTGTCCGTAGCTTGCAGAACAAGAGAAGGCAAATATGCAACTGCAGTTTGGTTTTCTTCCACAGTCTCAACTTCTTCTTTTTCAGTAATGGAAGCATCCATCTCTATTTCTGGAATGGACTCTGCGCTTCCATTTTCGTTCTCGAACTCAGACATCTCAATATCTTCATCCTCCGGTTCTTCATTATCTGACATATAGAGCTCATCCCCAATTGACGTCAATTCTGGTCTGTTGATAGATTCACTAGTAGGTACTTCATAATCCTCCACTTCTAGATTCATATGCTCTTCTTCTATTTTGTCGCCTTCTTTAGAATGTTCCATGGGTTCCGGAACAGACTCCTCGGAAGTTGAGGATTTGATAACTGGTGTTTCGATTACAGGTAAGTTTTCATCTTCTGGTTCTGGTGTTTCGATCACTGCTATGTCTGTAACTTCTGGCTCTGGTTTTTCAATCTTTGAAGATTTAATCATTGGGGTTTCAATCACAGTTAAGTTTTCGTCTTCTGGCTCTGGTGTTTCAATGACGGCTCGGTTAGTTGCTTCTGGCTCTGACTTTTCAATCCTGGAGGATTTCATAACTGGGGTTTCAATGACAGTTAAGTTTTCGTCTTCAGGTTCTGGAGTTTCAATCACGGTTAAGTTTTCAACCTCGGGTACTGGTGCTTCAATCTTTGAGAATCTCATAACTGGTGTTTCAATCACAGTTATGTTTTCATCTTCTGGTTCTGGTGTTTCAGCCACTGTTAGGTTTTCGACTTCTAGCTCTGGTGTTTCGACCTTTGAGGATTTAATCATTGGTGTTTCAATGACAGTTAAGTTCTCATTTTCTGGTTCTGGGGTTTCAATGACAGGAGAATTATCCCTACAAACTTCGGTCACCACGTTTTCAGAAACTTCAGGACTAACTTCTGCGGAATGTGGCTCGACAAGAGGGGTGTGAATGACGGTTAAATTTTCATCTTCCAGGTCAACTGCAGCATCTTCCTCTTCGCTTTCTTCGTCTTCTGCTTCTTCATCTTCTTCTTCGTCGTCGATGCTTTCGCCTGTTTCCTTATTCTCGTTCGTTGCATCACTAGTTCCATGATCCCTGATGATCGGGGTACTAATAATGGATAGATTCTCGTCGTCTGATTCAGCGGACTCCTCTTCTTCACTTTCACTGTCAACGGTCTGTTGAGGTTCTTCAATATTCTCTTCTTCGTCGGGATATAATTCTGGACCGACGGTGCTTGGATACCGATGGGCTTCTTCTTTATCTACCATTACTTCTTCTTGTGCTAAGGTATCTCCTATCACTTCGTTTTCTTGTTGGGAATGTTCATCTATCCTCTTGTCTTCTGCAGTTTCATCCACTTCGGGTATATTATCACAAATTTCTTCTTTAGATTTGACCTGCTCATGTATGTCTAGTTCGTGCTCAACATTTTCGGATAATACATTGACTTTTGCTTCAAGCATATCTACTTCCTTTACATTTTCAAATGCATTTTTACCTTCTTCGGTCTGCTCGAGTTGGTTTTGTTCTTCGACGCCTTCTATTACTTCAGCTACCATGTTGGGCTGATCTTGTGTACTCTGTTGCTCGACTGTCTCGTGGAAAGCTACTGAAGTTTCATCTTCTTCCATGGCATCTTCATCTTGCACGTCTTTCTTCTCAATTGGTTCAGTTTCAACGAGTTCTGGTTCTGCTTTTTCAACTTCAACAGCGGGCTCAACTTCTGGATGCTCTTCACCTAGTTCTTTATGTTCTTCGTGAGCTATCTCTTCCAATGCACCTTCATCTACATCCTCATCTCCTTCTTCGTGTATTTTGTTATTCTCTGGCCCAGTCGATCCTACCCTTGACGAAGATATTATACTTAATTGATTCTCTAAATCTGAAATAGAACTTAACTTAACATGATGTGCTTTTTCAGTTTCCTTTAGTTGTTGCAAAACTACTTCCGGATCTTCTTCTTCAACGGTTCTGAAGATAGGCAAAGGTGGACCATCATCTGATGAAACCTCTTCGATCTCATCTTGTTCTTCTTCTACCGGTGGAGATGACGCCATTGACCTTGGGAAACCTAAATTGGTTTCAAATTGACTTTCATCAGCCAAAGATGCGTCTGACCTATTTTCATCGGCATCTTTCATCTGTATCGACTCGTTGGCGGCTTCATCTGCGAACTCTTCAACAAAAAAAGCATTGGGTACAGGTGCCATATTTTCAGCTTTGACATGGCGAGTTGATGGTTCATCCTCTGATTCTTCCTGGCTTGGTATCATGTAGCCTGTAAAAGTATCAGTAAGTTCTGCATCTGCTGTATATCCAGAAACCATTTGGTGTGCCTTATGTCCATGTTGCATGTGGAATGGTGCCGTTGGTGCATTAAAGAAGGCACTATGTGGTGCATCTGTTGATTCACGACGTAGAGCTGGATGTAACAGATAACTCATTAATGATTGCGATGCTAGATTCTCAAGATATTCCGGTTCTATTTCTGATTCTAGTTCTGACTTAAGTTGTTGTCTACCTTCGACTTCTAGTTGCTCTGATTCTTCTGATCCTTCATTGCCTGACTCTTCCTCTGATTCTTCTTGTGATTTTTCCGACTCTTCTGATTCGGATTCGGATTCGGATTCTGACTCTGATTCTAGTTCAGATGTTCCAACTTCCTCGGACGCTCCTATATCTTCGTCGTCGTCTGAAGCCTTTGTCTCTGACTCTTCGTCTGAACCGAGTTCTATAACCTCGTCATTCTCTTGCTGACCTTTATTTTCTAAATGCTGTGCAAAGAAGTCATTCTCCTGGTCGGATTCCTCTTCTTCCTCAGATTCTTCAGCTTGAGACCCAAAAAGATCTTCTTCTTCCTCGGCTTCTTCTTCTTCTGCTTCCTCATCTTCCTCCTCCGCAAAAGCTGTTTCATGATACATTGATGGATGTACTGGTGGTCTGTCTGAAAGTCTAGGTCTCCCATTGACAATCTGATGTGAAGTTGTAGGTACGTGATATCCCATAAACTGTTGCGGATGTTCTATTCCTTGGGGATGTAAGTATGGATCAATATTTGATTGTTCATATTCTTCTTCCATGCGGTGTGGAGGTATGTGGTCTATGTGCTCGTTTTCGTAGTCCTCTTCCTCTTCTTCGTCTTCTTCACCTACATCCTCTTCGTCAACCTCTTCCTCCTCTTCTTCGTCTTCTTCACCTACATCCTCTTCGTCAACCTCTTCCTCCTCTTCTTCGTCTTCTTCACCTACATCCTCTTCGTCAACCTCTTCCTCCTCTTCTTCGTCTTCTTCACCTACATCCTCTTCGTCAACCTCTTCCTCCTCTTCTTCGTCTTCTTCACCTACATCCTCTTCGTCAACCTCTTCCTCCTCTTCTTGCTCGTCTTGCTCTTCGTCCTCATAGTGATCCTCGTATTGTTCATAGTACTGTCCATGATGATGAGCAGGTTCCATTGAATGATATTGATCAAATTGGGAGATATGATTGAAGTGCACACCGAGTGAATGTTGCTCATGGTCATATTGATGCTGTTCTACATGCTGATGCTCTTCTTCAGGCTCGGACGATAAAATTTCAATAACACCATCATCCTCTTCTTCGACATTTTCTTCGTCGTCATCATCTTCTACTTCTTCTGATTCCCCCTCTTCTTGTTCGGAAACTGATGAATCTTCATGCATATGGATTCTATCATTCTCAATTGATGTCTTTCTTTCTTGATCCTGATGTTGAATCATTTTTCCCAACTTTTCAAAATCCTCGTCAAAACTCTTCATTTGATAAACTTGTCTCAAATTTTCTTGATTCCTCTCCTTCATCATCTTCAATTCCTCTTGTTCATTAGAAATCATCAATGACTTATATCTTTCTTTCAAACTATCTATCCAATCAATTACTTCATTTGTTTCTTCTTCATGTGTAGGTTCAACGAGTGAATGATGAATATTGATAGTTGTTGAATTAGCAAAACTTGAATTCCCAAGCCTTGATGGGTTTTTCGATATTTCTTTATCTGATGAATCTACCAGGTAGATTGGCTTGATCTTAAATGGAGACGGGAATTGATTGGTCCCCATTGTCCTTTGTTTAATTGATGTTTAATTGATAATCTGGTTTGGTTGTCAAAAATGTCTTACAAATTGCATAAACATACAAAAAACAAGAAAAAAAAAAGTGCGAGCTTCATAGACCGACATTTTTCAATCACGTGAATATGATGAATGTCGCAGTCCATTGGTAGGCCGACATTTTTCGTCGCCCCTCCTTTCATATTTCGAAGAGTCTCTAGAAGCAGCACAGTCCTTCTAACGCCCTTCAATGCATTCTCATGTGAGTTTGTATGTGTAAACTGGTGATTCATCCAATTCTTGCCATGACTTGAAATACGAATGTTGTATTTTTAAGTTTATTATTCCGGTAAAAACTCCGATGAATTATTACCAGTTGCAAAGGGGATGAAATTACGGTTGATAATTGCTCATTCCCTTCGAAGTGAAGTTTCAGATCTCCGCATATTCCTCAATGGGCTGAACCCAGATCTTACGTCAACTAAAAGAAACCTGCGTTAAAAATCAAGAGGCTTCACTTAAAAAAATATTAGGTTGCTTTAAAGACCAGATGTAAAAAGAAAACCCAAGTTGAATGATCCTAAAGTTTCTCGGCACAAAAGAACATGTAAAACAGATGGTATGTAGTTTCAAATACACGGCCCAAAGAAAGAGCTGTTGGTGCTGATGTAATTGAACTGTTTCTTTGGGCTAATTTAAGGAGTATAAATTTGACGTGAATTCCAAAGGCAAAAATACAAAGGAAACATAGACCGTTCATCAAACGTTTTTTTCCTAAAAATTGGGGCAAAAATTAGCAGCATTTTGTTGCTATAAGTACGGCAACCGGAACAATACAACCGTTTCTTTCTTTTCAAGATCGAGACCGCCTTACAGCATCGATGGAATGATTCAAAGCCAAAGGCGCCACTCGTAAAGTATGCTTCATCACCGCATGTTGTAGAATTCCATAGAATAGAACAAGATGAAGAACCAAAAAATAATCTCGGGATCATGCAATCATTTACCGAATTAAAAAATAAATCACGAAACCCTGAATCTTTCTTGCATCATCAGGTCTATACATAAATGGTACGTTAAACCCGTGCAGTTAATGATCGCCTCGAACATACGTTTGAACCAAACGTTGAGAAAAATGTGTCCGCGGCCCAAACAGAATTTCATAGACCGAAAAGACCGGCACGGCTATTACTTACACAATGACAAGAAAAAAAAATTTTACACTTCTAAATCCGATCTTGTTCAGTCTTGTTCACCCCCAAGATGTTTTAAAGAGAAAGAAAGCTTAAAAACAAAAAAGTGTTGAAATACGTATAGCGTATAGATTTGAATGACCATCTTCAAAGCTTTTTCATTAGAATAAACTCGAGATGGTCGTATAGCCCTTGGTGAGTTTTCTTTTCTAATTGTCATGGCCGGAGGCTTCTTCGATGAGTGTGTTTCCATGCATCTCGTAGAAATAACACCGAGGGTTTTTGTGTGTATTACAATATGCCAATTGTTTCCATTTCCAATAGGGCTTTTACAAGGATCCATTGTTAAGGTATTTCCAAATGGATTTATGACAGAAACAATGGATGATTTGGTTTAAAAATGTAAAAATAACCAGTAAAAATTCTTAATTTTACAGTGCAAGAGAAAAATTTCAAATAATTTTTTAACAGATCCATGCAAGGCAATTCAAAAAATATTTTTGGGATTTTAAAAAAAAATAATCTAAGGTACGAAATGCGATGGAACGTGAAGTTCTGATGATCCCATCAAAAATTCAAAAGCCAATTCTGATTATAATCAATCAATTGAATGTGTTACTCTTCTTCTGGAACATCAATGGGTTACCATCAACAGATTGGAATCAATTCGCTTGAACAAGGTTATGAAAGCGTACAGGAATCACCGTGGGAGGGGAGAAGAGTCTAGAATTTAGAAGTAGAGAAAAAATAATTAAACTCCTTAATTTGTTTTATAACCATTGGATTTTGGGAGTTGTACGACGACGATAACGAGTTACCAAAGAAACTCTATTCAAAGAAACGAGGTTGATTCCCGCAGATCTTTGCAACCAATTTGACGTGCATTGGTCGTCAAGAAGCCATCTGTCAGTAGTTGAGTACAAAGGTCTGACGATTGGGTTAAAAAAGCTTAATTTTCATTCAAACGAGATATTGATGAAGGGCTGTGTCTTGATTATGGTCGTTTAGCTTTTTACGAGGAGGGGAGTTCGCCAGGTGACGCGTCTACATTGGCTGGAGATCATTAGCAACACGCAATGGGTTATGACCTATTACCTCAACACAGGCGGTACGACGGGAAGAGTTTTCAAAAATTAAGCCCCACGTTCAACCCGTCTTCTTCGCTGAATTCATAGTGAATCGCGATGAAGAACTGTAGAATGGTTTCCCATTTGTATCTCTTCTCTTCCAGTTCCATCTGGATAGTTCCATTTGACGTTATGAACGTTTGCTTCCAGAATCAAATAAGAAACAAATATCCCCTCCCGCTGTTAAGTAGTGAATTTAACATCATCATCATGGTCACGGCTAAGTTTCTCGGGGGACACATGAAATTTCCTGATTTGTATTTCTAATAATAGTAATGTTACACAAATTTAAAAATTTAATGTATGTACTGTAGAAAGAAGAATATTTTTTAGGCAATAAGGAAATATATTTTTCTTTGTCCATTATAAAATATTATTACATAAAAAATAATTTATTAAAATAATAACTGTTAAAAAATTATGAACCTCTTCAATTAAATTGAATTTCATCGCAATTTTTTGATCACTATATAAATTGATGATAAAGTCACCAACTTTTTTATAAATTCAATCCTCTCTTTTCTTTCTCCTTCTTCTCTTCAGACAGATTTCTATTTTATATTCGATTGATAGTATCCATCATCATCTAACAAAATTTCGCAACAATGACTGCAAGTGATATCGAAGCTCAACCACAAGAGCCAGTTGAAACTTACGAACCAAAGTTCGAACCAACCCCAACCACCGCTTCTCCAGCTAAGAACCATTTAATTGCTTTCTTGGGTGAATTCATCGGTACTTTTATGTTCTTATGGATTGCCTTTGTGATTGCACAAATTGCCAATGAAGATCCAACCATTCCTGCTCCAGGCCATGGATCTGATCCAATGCAATTAATCATGATTGCATTTGGTTTCGGTTTTGGTGTTATGTTGGGTGTTTTCATTTTCTTTAGAATTTCCGGTGGTAATTTAAACCCAACTGTTACATTATCGTTAATGTTAGCTAGAGCTATTCCACCAGTCAGAGGTGCTATTATGATTTTTGCTCAAATGCTTGCTGGTATGGCTGCTGCTGGTGCTGCTTCTGCCATGACTCCAGGTCCAATTAAATTCGCCAATGCTTTAGGTGGAGGTGCTTCTAGAACTAGAGGTTTATTCTTGGAAGCTTTTGGTACTTGTATTTTATGTTTAGCTGTTTTATTCTTAGCTGTTGAAAAATCTAAGGCTACATTCATGGCTCCATTCGTTATTGGTATTGCTTTAATGTTAGGACATTTGATTTGTGTTTACTACACTGGTGCTGGTTTAAACCCTGCTAGATCTTTCGGACCATGTGTTGCCTCTAGATCATTCCCTAACTACCACTACATTTATTGGATTGGTCCAATTTTAGGTGCCTGTATTGCTGCTGGTATCTGGCATCTTTTCAAGTTCTTGAACTACGAAACCTGTAACCCAGGTCAAGATGCTAGCGAATAAATGTCTTCAGAGATATTCTGAATTTTGCATCCAAATGATTTTATATTTTTTTTTTCGTTGAGAGCTAAAACCAGAGGAGGGTACTTGTCTTTAATTACAAACGTTTCTGTTTATCTTTTTATATTCTTTCTTAATTCCCCTCTCTCTTCTTCTTAATTTGATTTTAATAATATATTAATAATTTAATTAATTAACCAATTGAGTAGATTCGCAGATTTGTAGATTTACAGGTAAGCCTCTTTTGTTAGATCCCTTGGATCGATTTCATCACGTCGCCTCTGTCCGGGCTTCTCGATTCTTTACATTAAGCAGGAGAAATAATAAATAAAAGAAAAATCATTCAATATTTGAAGCACTTACCACAACATAATATCGATGGTCATCCGCAATCGACAACACATAAGAAACTCTACACTAACAAAAGAATAACTAATGCAAACACTGTTAAAAAGCATATGCATTTCTACAACCTTAAACTATCCCTGAACTCTCCCTGAACTAATCCATCCTGAGCTATTTTTAACAATAGAGGCAACAATGAGCGACCTCTCAAAAAAGTAAATTTCCGCAATGGGAAATTGTAGCCGCATAAAACTGTTACAATTAAATTTTGCGGCAATTTCACTTTAATTAATGTTGTAATTACCGACCAAATACAGGTTATAATCACACAAACTCACTCAATTTCTACAATCACAATAAGTCATCAACTTTTTATTTCACTTTTCCTATGTACCTATGTAATAATCTACAAAACAAAACAAAACAAAAACCTTATTTATTTCGAGTTCATATCACTCATGGTAAACAATAAATCATCTTCATCTTCATCATCCTGATGATTCGAAGAAGAAGAAATCGAACTTTTCTTTCCCCCCATTGCAGACGCAACAGAAGCAGCACCACCACCAGTAACAGTAATAGTAGGATTAAGTACCTTTTTCTTCTCTTTCTTATTCCCATTATCATCATCACAATCATCATTCTCGTGGTCATCATTTTCATCTTCTTCATCATCAAAGACATCTTCATAAGTAATTGATCTCCTATTAGAATATATCGAAGGCGTAGTGGCCAATCCGCTAATCACAGTAGTAGCAGTCGCTTTCGCAACAGGTTCCTTCTTCTTCGAAGCTGCAGGTGGACTAACACTCAGACGAACAGGAGAATTAGGCATCCTCGCAAGTGAAGCCACGGGCGCCGGCAACGGAGTTGAGGTCTTCATGAACGAATGTCTACTCCCATCAGTATTCGAATCCAGTTCTCTTCTTGCTCTTGGAGAACTCTCTCTTCTCATTCTTGAATGGATGGATGAAATTGCCACTTGTTGTTGTTGATGATTATGATGTTGTTGTTGTTGATCATATGAACCAATTGATGCCGGTGGGGAATTCAATGAACTCTTTCTACTTGATGGTCTTGAACCTGCCATTGCATTCCCAATCATGATTCCATGGGGCGTGCTGGGAGTGCTGGTGTTGCTGCCGGGCAGTTGTTGTCGCTGGTGGAGGATCACACTGGCGCTGACGTTATCACTTAATTGTTGATGTTGACTTCTTAATAATTGAAATTTATTCAATGAATCATTGGAGATTAAATGTGGGTGTTGTTGTTGTGTCTGTTGTTGGGTTGAAGAAGATGAAGGTGTACCCTGTTCATTGATGTTGAAGGATGATGTTGAGAATTTTAAATCGGATTTACTATCTATCATTCTTACAAATTCACTAATATCATCATCTCCATAAAGACCACTTAAAGTTTCATCAACACTAGTACTTCTTCCCATACCTAAATCTGGGGTTTGTTGTTTTCCTAAACTTGTATTACTGAATCTTCTACTTGCTCTAGAACCAAATGAAGATGAAAATCGGGGTGTATTGTTGCTACTATCAACCATTGAGTCTTCATGTCCAGTAGAAGATCCAATTGAACGCGGGAATGATGAATTATAACCTCCATAGACATTATGTTGTTGCTGTTGTTGTGACGCGTTTGCATTCGTGATTGGGATATTTGCAGAAGTAGTAGGTGTCATTGTTGTTGAAGCTGTTGCAGCAGCAACCGCAGGGGTACTACTTCTTGGATTTCTTAAAAATGCAGCAAGGGAAGCACTTGAACCTGATCTATTACTTGTAATTGAAATTCTTCGCTCCAAAGATGATGATTGAATATTTGAAGGTGGAGGGGAAGTACTCATAGCACCAACTTTGAATGGCTGTATAATTAATCTATTGGATGTTTTTGGAGGATAGGATGCTTCTTTAGCAATTTCAAGTTCTGATGTACATGGTGATAATGATTGTGATACTGGTTTATCTGTGAGATCTTCTTCTGTATCTCCTTCTCTTTCTTCTTCTTTAAGAAGAAGATCTTTGTCTTGTTCAAGTTCTTTTTGTTGCTGTTGTTGCTGATGATGATGTTCTTTATCAATTGATATGAAATGAGTAGAAAGAATCTCTTCATTAGCTTGAATCTTGAAATTATAATGAGTTCTATAAGCAATTGAAATCTTCAAAGTCCCTAGACTTGTATTTATAGGTTGAAACATTTTTTGAGTCATATGAGATTCTGTTGGTAATGCTTGTTGAGGTATTATTGATTTAGATAAACCAATTCTACCTTTTGAACTAATTGGTTGATTACCATCTAATATCTTATTACCTAATGATAATTTATTATTACCATCTGATTGTAACTTTTTCTTTAATTTAAATGTTGGCATTAATCTTGTGAAACCATAAATGCTTCTAAATAATATAATTGCTTGTTTATATATTAAGGGTAATTCGTCAACTATACTGGATGAAGCTGATTTTTGATCAAATTCAATTAACCACCTTTCCAACACGACTTCATGTTTCTTACCACCGGATTTAGTAACAGTCCATGAATTATTATTATCATCTATTAAAACAACAGTTTGATTATTGGGTAGTTGTCTTAAATCAAGATACGTTTCTATAATCATTGGAGGGATATTTGATAAATCAGGAGACCATAGCTTTAATTCATCCTTCATAAAATCAGAAGGTGAATACATATTTAGATTGAACCATTTATTTAGTTTTTGATTATCATTGGTGGAGGTACTACCTGTTTGTTGATAGAATAATGATGTTGTTGAGTTGGGTGATTCTTGTAGGGTTCTTGCTTCTAGTATTATTTGTGCTGATTTAGTAAAGAAGTTTTGAATGACTTGAATCAATTTAGCATTCTGTTTCTTGATATAAGAATCAGAATTTAGTGATTGTTGTTGCTTATTCTGAATATCAGATGACATTGTATGATTTCTCTTGTGAATGAATTGTAGTGTAAGGAATGCTAAAAATGTGGATGTATATATATCTCTGTATTATATATATACGTGTATATGTGTATGTGTGTATATAAGGGGGTGGATATTGTTTAACTTATTGTCTTCTCTTTTAAATCAGATCCATAATTTTAATCAAAAGAAAATAAAGAAAGTAAAACTAAAAAAAATAAATATTTAATCAAAAGATTTAAATCGTGTAGTATTTTGAATTCTTATCGGATGGATGAGATTGTTATAGATATGGGGATTGATACAGAATACACTTCTCTTATAAAAGATATATAAAAAAATGTAATGTAACGTGTAAAATAAATTTTTATAAAATCACTTTGGAAAAGAAGGGTTGATTTAAACTATCTCTCTCAATTCGATGATGATAGATGATGATGGAGTAGAGACGAGAAGAGGGAAAATGAGAGATTATTTAAACTTTATGACTCAGAAACGACACAATCCATTCTCTTCTCTTCTCTCCCCCCTCCCCCTCAAAAAAAATGTGACTATCTAGATCTTTCTTTTTTAAAGTGTTACTCAGCAATTGCAAGACGACATTTTAACTTCTATTAGTCATTCATCGTGACATTCATCGTGCTCCATGCTTTCTTTCGTATATGTACACATCCACCACTGTGGTGGTTACTTAGTGTGAATGACTGTGGGCTACTTAAAAAAAAATGTGGCTTTTTCCTTCCATCCCTCGTTTTTTTTAGTGTGAAAGATAAGGCACACTTTACTACCACAAAATCAAAACCAAGAAAGAGTTCCGTACCAACCCAACACAAATAAACGATTAGGCGATGCATGTCAAGAATTTTTAGTCCTGAAATGACACAACAATTGATAAGAAAACTACAAAGGAAGGGAGGCGGGGGGTGATAAAGGGGGGAGGGATTTCAAGATCTGCAATTGTTCTTATTTTAGGCAAATAATCTCTCGTGGAAACCTTCCCCTAAATGCATGAACTTGCATGAATGACAAGGATCTTTGAATGACTAATTAATTGAAAAACACCAATAAATGATGACATTTTATTAATAGAAATTTTATTCGAGTATATCTCTTTTGCCACTGATATCATCATCGTTGATGATGACATCGTTTAACATCCCAATAAGGAAAAAGAAGAAATTTCTCGAGGGCAAAATCAATCAATGATTTCTTTTTTGAATGTCTTGATTTATTTATTGCTTTGGGTGTTTCGCATTTCGCTTTCCAATCGTTTTAGGGAATAGAGAACGAGGAGGGGTTCCTAAAAACACGCCATTCATAACCAAAACATGACATATTGCACATAACCAAAACATGACATATGTTACTTCAACAACAATAATTCGTAGAAAGTTCTATTTTCGAATAAATTGCTCGCTTGTTGTAAAGCAATCGACCGTTTTCGAAATTGTGACCCTACAAACTCAACTACGAGCGAACGAATGTCTCTCTTTTGATTGCTAAGTGGAAAAGAAAATGTCTGATGGACATCGAATAATCATCAAAACCAATCACACACAAAGATGCTCAGCCACGAGACACAACGTTGCTACACCATATAAAAAACCACGTTCATAACCCTCTTGTCGTGTCATCTTAATCTTCGAATTCTTTGGTGGTTGTCATAAGTATAAGCCTTGGCTCGTACAAATCGAACCAGAATTGTTCCAAAAGGGAAATAGAATTAAACTCAGCATTTCTCCTTGTAACATTCTGATGTTCCAGAACCTCGTTTGTATTCCTTCTTTGCCTCGTTACAGCAATATGATTATTGATATATTTATTGTTTCTTGCCAAGTAGTATTGAACTTTTAAATTACATTTTTCTGCGAATCTGTCACATTAATTTGCAACCATCTCTGCAATTATGACTAATTTATAAACAACAAATATTCAAACAAATATCGGACTTCATTAGTTACCGATCTTTCCAGTCAACATCCGTTTGTCCGCAAACCAATTAAGCAAAGTTTTTATGACTAATTCAATAGAAACAACGTAAAACCTTATACCTCTTCCTCTCGTTTTCATTAGCAGTGTTGCAAAACAAATTTTACTTTACTCACGTGACTTTAATATCCTGCATATAGAACTTTTTTCTCTCTTGTTTCACTACAACAAAAGAAAAATCTATGGAAGAGAGATGCTTACATTAAAAAAAATTTCAGAACCAATACAGAAGATCCTCCCAAACCAAACTCAATAAGCCTTGGGAAATAGATTCCTAATAAATAAATATATTACCTTCCTTACTTTGAACTAATCAACCTACAGCCAGAGTTTCTTCTAAATGGATCCAAAACTCGCGGAGATATCTAAATCCCAATCCCCAAGATCATATCTTTATACAACAATTGCCAGAACTCATCTAGGTGATGTTGCATCAAGTATCATATCTTGCATAATCGCAAATGGAAGACTCACATCTCGTGATATCGCCACTAGGACACATATTCCTTACAAATCGATAAAAGCGGCTTTGGTTTCTTTGGTGCAATTAAATTGTGTATCATATTGGCAAGAAGATGAATCAAATAAGAAGAAACATGTGTTTTATTCGTTGAATGAGACGGGGTTGTTGTTGTTTGTACATGCTGGAGATATCATAAATCATATCAAGAGGTTATTTGGGGATGATGGAGCAGAGATTGTTCAGAATATATTAATGAATGGACATGTTAAAGTTGAAGATTATCTTAGTCAATATGATGATGAACCGGAGATTAAATTAGAAAAGCAGACGTTGTTTTTCAGGTTGTTTAATGAAAGATGGTTATGTCGATTACAACCGATTAATTATCATCCTTTGGATGATGTTTGGAATAAGATTTTCCAAGAATGTTTGAGAAATACTCCAAGATCATCAACTACTTCTGAAATTAAACGGATTGGGGAAGCTAAAGAAAAAGCTAAAACGAAATTAATTCAATTATTAGAAGAAGGTCAATCATCACAAGAATTATATGATTCAAAAGATGGGATTAAGAAATTACAACCACATTTGGTAGTATGTGTTAATTTATCAAGATTTCAAAAACATTTAAGAACTCAAGCTTTGATTAATTTAGTAAAATCAAGAGTTGGAGTATTGACTTCAAAAGTATATGAAGTTGCATTAAAAATTGTGGAACAAAATAGTCCAGAATTAAGACATCCATTTTTACAAATTTCAGGATTAATTAATGATCCTGAAGAAGAACGGAATTTAATTAATCTGATTGAAACTAAATTAGTTGATGAAAAGAAAATCGTGGTGAATATTAGAGAAGTTGTAAGATTATTACCGGATGATATTGATTTAAGAAATTCTATATTGACTCATAATTTCTTAAAACCACAAATGAAAAAGAGACCTTTAGATGATAGTGAATCTGAAGTGCCTGAAAAGAAAGTCAAACTTGAAAATGAAGGGTCTATGATACTGTTAGACACTCAAGAAATTGCCAAAGAAGCACTCAATGGATCAACTTCGTCAACAAACTATACGGATAATTCTGATCCCCATTCCACCACATTGGTACAACATCATTTAAAATTATTAAGTTCAGGTACAAGTATTCAATTTTTAATTGAAATATCTCCAGGAACTTATAGTATTCCATTTGCATCATTAATTAAACAATTAAAACAGTATAATTTTGAAAGTTTAATCAAAACCACTCTTGGTTCAAATTCATTTAGAATTCTTAGATGTTTAAAAACCATGAAATTAGGTGATGAAAAATCAATTAGTAATGCTGTTTTATTAAAAGAAAAAACCGTTCGTAATGAAGTATATCAATTAATTAATGCAAATGTAATTGAGATTCAAGAAGTTCCAAGAAGTGCTGATAGAGCAGCATCAAAGACTTTCTATTTATTTAGATTTAAAGAATGGCCAAGTTATAAATATTTATTAAGTTCCTTGATTTTCAATATGGCAGAAATTTTAAATAATATTCAAGATTTTAAATCTGATTATAAAATTTTATTAGAAAAATGTGAACGTGAAGATGTTAAAGGTCATGAAGAAGAATTATTATTAGAATCTGAATTAAAAACTTTACATTCTTTACAAAATAGGGAAATTAAAAATATTGGAAAATTTAATAGAATCAAAACATTATATGATATATATTTATTATAAAAAAACACTTCATAAACAACTAATAAAACATTAAAATAACAATCAAAAGGATAAACCATTGTAGTCTCTACTACCAATTGACCCTCTCAAGCAGGTCTTGCACCGTTACCAGCAAGATGAACCTCAGTTTGACGGTTCACAAGCCCATGAATTTCAACTTGTGCACCTGTATCTTTAGGTACATTATGAAGGAATTTACTACCTTTAATAATAATGTAATATGGTGCAAGCATAATACTTGTAAAAGCAACCGCCCATTGTATGGCTAAATAAGCTTCATGACGATAATTCTTAATCAAAACATTCATCAGGGGCCAAGTCTTTTGACCATGCATTCCATTACCAATATCATGACTGGCTTGTCTTCTGGCGGCAGATGAGAAAGAACGAGTTAAGATTCTAACTGGAGTAATTCTGAACATTGTTGTGCGTATATCTTCGTGTTTCTATATAAATTATCTATTTATATGATAGAGAGAGAAACAGAAGAGAAAGAGAAGAAGAACAAGGAAGAAGTAAAGATTTAAAAATGAAATTTATGAAGGGGAATGGAAAGCATTGGGGATTGGGGAGTTTATTATCCTTGACCAATTATTAGAACGCTTATTAATAATTAATTGCGGAGAACAGCTGCAAATAAAAATAATAAAATAAAAAACTTAAAAATGGAAATCGCAAACTGATTGTGCAGCCCCTAATCAATCAAATCTTTTGTAGTTGTCGTGCATTAATTACAATTCATTTAAGCTTTTTGATATAATTACTTCAAAAGCTGTTACCTGTGAATTGACGTTTCAATCCGTTGTTCTACTAGCTCAATGTCAATTCCATTTTAATTGACATCTCCCAGGGCGTATTAGTAAGCCCAAGGCAGGGAGACAAGTGAGAATAGGGAGTGTTTTTTTTGTTTCATACAAGAGCATCGCGGTAAAAAAAGCCCCCTACAAAATCTATCTCTTTCCCCGAAAAATCATGCCATTTCAAACAATGGGTGTCAATTCTTACAAAGCTGAAACTCTAAATGCCGAGCTGGTTCTTTTGAAGGTTATTATTGAATTGTCATTGACAACTTGACTTCAGACGCAAGATTCCGCGACTTCCGTCTTGTTTCTAAGAGCCCTCGATGTCATAATGTGATTGTAGTTCTGTGTATCTGTCTAATGTAAGACTCATTGATAATATTAGAAGATGTCGATGTAAAGGGGGTCATCGTGTAAAGTTATACCTCGTAGTAATTCAACTGGTGATTTACGTATGATTTTGAATGATCAATGCATGAAGAATTATTTGCAACTGAAATTTTGAATGATGCCAAAATAAAATTGGATGCAAAAAAAAGATCTTAGTCAGCAACTTAGATACCGGTTTTGTGCAACATCTTACAAATATCAATGAAAGAGGAGTAATTCCTATCCATCTCCTCTACGTTATTTCCACAAGTTCCAAATATACTATTTAATAATAATAATAAAAGAAAGATCTACATAATCTATAAAGTCTTTTCAAAACCAGCAAAATCAAATTGTTCCTCCATAGGAGTTCCACCAACATTATACTTCACTTTTACTCTCAATTTAATCTTAGAACCAGCCTTACCCACAATCTTTAAAGTTTGTCTTATTGGACCACTTCCACTAAGTGTATCACCACCAGAAGTTGAAGAAATACTCAATTTTTGAGTCTTAGGAACCGCGATTAATAATTGTACTTGTTCAATCATTGCAGTCGTATTGGAATTGATAATGGCTTCCATGATTGCATGGCCATCTTGAGGGAATGATTTGGGTATGAATGAAACCTTGACATTCGCACCATTGAACGCAACAATTTCATTGGCAGATGGAATTGCTGCCGCAGCACCTGAAGCTACTACTGGAGATGTTGGCGTATTGAATAAATCCAAAATCGCAGCATTAGGGCTGGTAGCTTTTGGAGCTTGACTAGAAACACCACCGAATATGTCAGACAAAATATCCGGTTGTGAAAGAGTTGGAGTACCTTGATTAGAACCGGTGTTATCATCATCATCCATTAAATCAAGTAATAAATCTTGAGTATTCGTAGCACTCAAACCTGCACTTGTTCTCTTGGAATTCTTGGTACTTGAACTGGCGGATTTATGTAATGTTAATGATTCACGTTGTTTGATGGGTGGTGCTGGCATTCTTGCTAATAATCCCCTCTTTAATGAAATATCTTGCGCAAAGATTTCTTGATATTCCACTGCTCTAATTTGAATTTCAAGATTATTGTCATAAGTCTTGGAATTTATAATTAATCTTAACTTTTCAATGATTTGGGGATCTTTAAATTTGATTGATAATTTAATAATTGCAGTCAAGATATAGGTTGTTAATTGGACAGTTTCAGATTCTGAATAGGTTGAATTATTAATTAAATCTTCTATGAGTTGAACAATACTTGCTTCTGTAACTTGAACTTCTTTGGATTTAACTTCTATAGTTGATCCTAATATTATATCACCATATTCACCAATAGTCCAGACAGTAATTAATGCTAAACCATATTGACTAGGATCTTCTAAACAAGATGCAAGCAATCTACTTACAATATGTCTCTTCAATTCTGGATCATTACATTGTAAGATTAGTGCCAAGATATTAGATATAATATCAGGAGTTAATGAATTGCCACTAACTTTTAACATTCTAATCAAAGTATCAAAATGCCATTTATCATTTGGTGAATATTTACTAGCAGCAATAGTTAATTGTGAAGTTACATAAGGCTTTAATTCTTGATCATTGCAATTTTCCAAAAATGTCAAGATTTCTCTCACTAATACTCTTATATTTTGTTCATTCAAAATTCCAAATGATAATTCCAAAGCTCTTCTTCTAATTGAAATATCACCATCGGTTAAACAACTAACAATAGTAGATCTATGTCTTTGAACTGCCAATGGTTCAATAGTCACCACGGTTAAAAGAGTGTCTAAAGCAACGTATCTAGTATTATTATCCTTTGTCGATAAGAATTTACCCAAGATATTAACACCCAAAATTCTCAATGATTGATCAGATTGAATTGCAAAAATAGTCTTCACACATTCATATAAGATAGCATGAGCAGAATTCTTACCACTATCTAAATTAGAAGCAACTTGAGTTAAAATATCATTAATTTCTTCCAAATATTGTGCAGAGCAATGTTCATCATTAGCTAAAGTTCTTAATGCCGACAATAATGCAACTTGAAGGAATGGATCGGTTGTTCCCATAACATCATAATCTGGTTGATATCCACTAGTAGTAATTCTTTTTAAATGACCCACGATTTTTGGAATTGTCTTTAGTAATATTTGACGATGTTGATCTTCATCTTCATGACTAGCAGCATATAATGCCTCAATTAATCTTAATGCCCCTAATAAGACAGATGGATGTTTATCATTAATCAATTCATCGATCTTGGGTATGAAATATTCTGATAAATCAGGATCCTTCTCAACTAAAGTAGCAGCAACAATACATGCTTTCTTTCTTAAATAGATATTTTTTGAAATAACGAATTTTTCAACATTTGCGTGTAAATCTCTAGCTAATTCAGGAGAAGCAATATTTCCAAGACAACATAATGCCAATCCAATAATGAAAGGATTTGGATGTTGCATATCATTATCAAGAGAATTGGTCAATAAGGTTAATACTTCTTGATTTTCATCTAATAATAACATACATGCCAAATATCCCAATCTTTTATCAGCATATCTTGGAGATGCTAATAATTTAAGACATTCAACTTGTCCAAAATGAGTCTTTTCTCCCATAATATAAAGATAAACAAGTTTTGAAATATTGATTCTTCTGGTGGTTTGATCTAATGTTGGATCTCTGAATGATGTTCTAATTGCTGCTGATTCTTTCAGAATAACCGATCTTTCATCGGCGATTGTTTTGGCTTTCCTGACAGCCTTGATGAAAGATTTCAATGAACCCATTCTGTGATATGATGAGGGGTTTGCTTGCGATTGTATAGCTCTGTTTCTATTAAAAAACTTTACAACCAATTGTTCAATAGTGTTTTTTTTTTCAACAGTCTTTATTAACAAAAACACGGTGTGCGAAAATCAAATTCTCAAGACTTGTGACACCGGTAACATATTGGAGGGCCAAGCAAACTATCTAAGAGAGTACGACACTAAGAGAGTGTGATATTGACTTGATAGTGTATCAAAGTCATGTCTTGTAGGCGCCTTCTACCCTCTTTCCAAATAGTTGAAAGTAGAAGCGATTTAGAAAGAGAAAGAGGTTTACTTAGTCCAACAAATGTACAGTTTACCAAATCATAAAAAGTTAAAAGAATCCATTAAAGCTAATAGCAAAAAAACCAAGAACATGTAAATGACTAAACAAAAAGAGAGGCAAAAAGGGTGGGGGGTGAACTAAAACTATAACAAAAAAGGAATCACATATATTGAAAAGAAAAGGCTCTAAAACAGAACAGAATTATAAAACAACACACTTCTTCTTCTTTTCTCTCTTTTCTTTAACTCTTAAAGAAGCTCTAGTAGCAGCTTCAAAAACTTCTCTAACACCTCTACCTGTCTTAGCGGAACATTCCAAGTATTGAACAGCACCAATTCTTTCGGCAACTTGTTGACCTTCAGCAGAAGAAACTGGTTGTTGTTGTTGTTGTCTTAATGCTTCAATAACATGAGGATCATCTCTTAAATCAGATTTACAACCAACTAAGATGATTGGAACACCTTGACAGAAATGTAAAACTTCAGAAATCCATTTTTCTAAAACGTTATCTAATGAATCTGGTGAATCAACTGAGAAACAAATTAAAATAACATTAGAATCAGGATATGATAATGGTCTTAATCTATCATAATCTTCTTGACCGGCAGTATCCCATAATGCTAATTCAACTTTTCTTCCATCAACTTCAACATCAGCAACGTAATTTTCAAAAACAGTTGGGACATAGACTTCTGGGAAAGTACCTTTAGAAAAGACAATCAATAAACAAGTCTTACCACAGGCACCATCACCAACAATGACTAATTTTCTACGAAGTTCAGCTGGACCGTTAACCATTGTGTATTATTATTATATGTATTTGTCTTGTTTATGAACAGGTATATGTGGATAAATGCAAATAAAAATTTAAATTAATTTGGAGGAGGGAGGGAGGGGGGGGTTAGGTTTTCTCTTTCTAAAAAATTGTATACTTGATATTGATTATATTTCTAAGAATCAATGAAACGCTTTATAAAAGAACTATTAGTTAGTAAACAGGGATTTGATTATTCCTCTTTAAATAAATGAATACGATAATAAAAAATGAAATCAAAATCTAATCAATAAAGTTTTTCTCTCTTTGATTTTCTCTGGGTTTTTTTTTTTGGTTCTAATTCAATTAATTAATAAATTGTGTATGTGTTAACAGAGAGACAGAAAAACTTTTTCTCTCTGTTGAATTAATTTTTCTATTTTTGACACCAAAATAATTAAATTCTTTTTTTTCGTGTGAAAGTAAAAAATTAAAATCTAAAACCAAATAAACAATGGGAAAAGGGGGATATGCAATCAATAGACCTCACTAACATTTTTTTTTGGAACAATCGTGTTGCATCTATTGGAAACAGCCTTGGGAGTCTCGTCTTTTTTTTAAGTGCTAGCAATTGCCGTCAATTTGTGATCTTAAGCTCTCTCTTACAAACTTTGAATATAACTTTCTAATTATAATTTGAAGAGTCATTCTCGTAAGTAATTGATACATTGATTCAATTTTGTGGGACGCGTAATAATATTTTTCTCGTATAGCTCCGCCTCAGCCATAAAAATAGATTCGTATTCAAATGACTGATTGCTTTTTATGCCATTGATTGCTCTACTTCATTTCCTATCGGACACAAAACATAACCATTGATAGATATTGTAGATAGCAAAACTCAATTCAATTAAATGAATTGATGACTTCTCGTGTAAGGAAAAAATCGATTTGCGTTAAAAAAAAATCGTTGAAAAAGGGGGGCAGTGTTGATGTAATGTGAAACATCTAAAAATCTTTGTTTAATCAAATGGCACATTTTCCACGTATACCAAAAACATATCAATGGCTCTGTGTGTGCAAAAATCGAAAGACATTTTCAATTGAATCGTTGTTTGTTTCAACTCTACAACTAAATTCGACATGGCAAAATATTAGACTTAATTTTGAAATCGGCTCAGACACGTCTATTCAAATGTTTTGATACTATAAAACACAAACTTCCATCAATTAGATCTGATTGCTCATTCTAGACTCATTCTGATAAAGGCTCTAAATGTAAAATTCCAAATTGCAATGTATTCTTACTGGGATGCTATTCCTTCAAATCACGCAATCCTGAACTTTGCAACCGGCTAATCTCTCATAAATTCATCCTTGAGAAAACTATTCACTGATCAATCATTCGCTTTTATATCGTATTCATATTCTTTAATATATATAGATGGATTAATATACATACACTTTGACAGATGATTATATCTAATAAATTCTATTCAATAAACAAAAGAGAAATGAGAAAGAAAGAAAGAAAGAAAACCTTGATTTTAAAATCTGTTCACAATTTAAAAAAAAAAAGATTTTTCTGCCGAAATCGTTCAAACGATATTAATCGTTTAGACTGCATATAACACAATCTGTCAATATAAAAACTACATTGAATGAACCCTCGGTTGTCAACCAGTATTAAATTGGGCTTATACAATTCTTGTTGGGTCTTTGTTGGTAGTCGGTTGCTAGCTTATAAAACATGAAAGATTGCCTTGCACCCATTCGCCTAAGGCAACTTGAAGCGATGGTCGTTAAAAGACCCAAGGTATGCTCAGGACATGTTTCAATTAATGTAAACTGAGTCAAGCAACCTCATTTGAAAGTAGTTCTAGTAGCTTGTCTTCCAGGCTGTTGGACTTGATCTCATCCAGCTTTCGATTTCCACTGGATTTGCAATATTTCTAAAGCTTCCAGCTAAGCTACATCCCCAAGTCCTCCCAATATACACCAGTCTGTTTCACTAGAGAATACAACAATGCGTCAATCTACAACCCTTCTTTTCCCTCAATATCGACACCCCAGTAGCTTCAATCAATTCCTCAATTCCTTGATTTGTCCTACCAGAACATTCTATATATTCAACTGCCTTAATTTCTTTAGCAACCTTCAACCCTTGCTCCGCACTAACAACCATTTCATCATTTTCTTTCAATCTCGCAATAATGTCAGCATCATTACGTAAATCAACTTTACAACCTACCAAAATAACAGGCACATCTAAACAATAATGTCTAATTTCTCAAATCCATTTCTCGACCACATTTCTCAAAGATTCAGGTTCGATTATTGAAAAACAAATCAAAAAAGTATTAGTGTTGGGATATACCAAAGGTCTTAAGGTTTCATAATTAGGATCCAGGGTTGGTGTATCATGAAATACAATTCTAAGTGATGCTTCTTCGATTGTGATATCGGTGGTGTGAGTTTCAAATATTGCGGGGGATGTTGGGGGGAATTGAAAACCAGATAAAACTAGGATTAAACTTGATTTACCTACTCCTTTATCACCTACAAGTACTGATTTTCCGATGGTGGATTTCTTGGAAGACATTATGATGTTTGGATTAAATATATAAAACAATAGTCTATAGAAAAAGCCAATTTACTGGGGTGGGTTTTTAGTTTAATATTTTGTGGAAGAAACGATATAAAAAGCCTTGGTTTTGTATTTTTCGATGTAACTGAGCCCACACCATTTTTTTGATTGCAAAAAAATAAAGTTTGAAATTAATATCACAAGACTATTTATTTTTGGAAATCTTTTTAATAGGTTACTTGTTTACAAAAGCAAAGACGCTACTTTATAGCTCACCAATTTATCAAATTGTAAACCTCAGCTTGTAAATATCTATTCGTAAACTTAAATTTCTTCTGTTTGTACACTTCTGTTTATAAACTTCTTCTGTTTGCAAATTTCTTCCATTGCTGACTTTCTTTTATTTAATTCTATTTGTAAGCTTCTTGTCCTTTTTTCTTCTATTTATAAACTTCTTCTTTTTGTAAACTCCTATTGATTGTAAACTTCTTCTGTTTGCAAGCTTCGGTTTTCAAATAATGTTTGTAATTTTGCAGCCAAATCGCATTTGTAAACCTTTTCTTTTTGTAAACTTTGGTCTTAAAATTGTGTTCGTAATTTTGCAGCAAATTGCATTTATATGCTTTTAATTGCAAACTTCTGCAGTTTGTAAACAACTTCTTTTTGCATACTTGTTCTGTTTGCAAATTTCTTCTGTTTGTAAACTTCTTCCTTTTGTAAGCTTCTGTCTTAAAATTCGGCTTGCAATTTTCCTGCCAACTCCCATCTGCAAACCTTTGTTTGTAAGCTTCTTCTTGGTGTTAACTTCTTTTGCTTGCAAACTTCGGCTGTTTGTAAACCTCTGTTTGTGACTTTCGCAAACTTGCTCTGTTTGTTAACTTCTTTTGCTTGCACACTTTTAATTGTAAAATTCTAATTGTTCACTTCTATTTGTACACTTCTAGTGGTACATTTCTAGTTGTAACCTTTGCATTCAGAAAAGTTTCTATTCGTAAACAACTACTTGTGAACATAAATATATATTTTTAATTCTATTAAACATAGTACTTACTATCCCTCTATAAACAAAAATAAAATAAATAAACGAATCAACCAAGACTCTCCCCTTATAAAATCCAACATTTTCTATTCTTTTTACACTTCTTACCCACCTTCAAAGACTCTCTAGTAGCAGTTTCAAAAACATCTTTCACCCCTTTTCCAGTCTTTGCCGAACACTCAATGTAATACTTCGCCCCAATTATTCTAGCCACCCTCTCACCTTCAGATCCACTCAATGGTTGCTTTTTTTGTTCCCTCAATCCCTGCAATACTTCTTCATCATATCGTAAATCAGCTTTACACCCCACCAAAATCAATGCAGCATCTTTACAAAAATGTCGAGCCTCTCCAACCCATTTCTCTAATACATTATCCAAAGAATCAGGCACCACTAATGAAAAACAAATCAAAATGGCATGGGCATTACTATATGATAATACTCTTAATCTATCATATTCTTCTTGTCCTGCCGTATCCCAAATTGCTAATTCTACTTTTTTATCGTCAATTTCTAAATCGGTGATGAAATTATCAAAAATGGTTGGGATATAAATATCGGGGAATTTACCTTGAGAAAAAACAGCGACTAAACAGGTTTTACCACATGCTCCGTCACCTATCACGACTAGTTTTCGGCGGATGTCTGGAACTCTATAATATCTAGTAGACATTTCGGATGTTAGTTTAATAATTTAATAAGCGGATTTTGCTTTTGAGAAAGGAATGTGATAATTGAAGAAAGAAAGAGACTTTGGTAATAAAAAAGGTCTAAGATTTCAAATTGAGAATTTATGAAAAATTGTGACTCCTTATATATCCTAAACTTACTTAGCCCACCCTTGGTTACGGAGACTCATGATCATAACTTTTCATTTAAATTTGACTGCAAAAAATAATAAATTTTTGTTGCAATTACGCAGTGGGACCCCGCAATATTTTACTTTCTATATTTTGGTTCAGCCGTTCAGTTACGATAAAATAATAATGGCTCTTCTGAATAATTCGGAGTTCGACGTAATGAATCCGCGGCTGTGCTTTTACTGTATGAGATAGTTGGATAAGACATCTAACTTACGGAAGACTTCTTCTCGTTGTCCTAGAGTGCCATTGCCCTTCCAAAAGCAAGTGCAAATCTTCATGCAAATGCACCTGTTGGGTGTCAAAAAAGGGGATTGACCCCCTGAATTATGACAATTGATTGTTCAATGCGGTTGATTCGGTCCGGGTATATTTGCATATGTCTTAACAATGTTGCTTTAGATGGGAACGTTGCTTTGATGGAACCTAAATTCTTGAGAAAATCGCCGTGATTGTTAAAAAAGGTGGCTCCTAATTAGTAATCATAGAAAGTCTGAACCAATTGAACCAAATTGATGTCGTCATCTAAAGGGCTTCAGAGATAACCGTGTGGGTTTTTGTTTTTTGAATCCACATAGAAGTCAACGTTCCCCCACTAGTTGGAACAATGGAGGACAGGTTTTTATTTTTTCCTTATCGCCAACATCCCATATAAGATAAGAGAACGATATCTCGAAGAATTTTTGCAATCAAATTGTGGGGTATTATTAGAAACTATAAATCTTCTTCTTTATGAAAGTTTTGAATCTCCCTCCATTATATTCAGATAAGGAAATACATACAATATAAATCCACGAGGCATGGCTTGATAAGATTATGTAATTCGGATTAGAAACAATAAACCGAAGCTTTTCCGAAACCGAGACAGAAAAAAAATAATAAAAAAATTGATGCCGCACGATTATATCAGTGTGTGTTCTAGAATGTCGATGTCGGAATTCCGATTGGAAAACAATAAGATAATTGGAAAAGAATAGCGAGAAAGAACAAATCTCACAAGACTTTTGTGGTTTGTAAGGACATATCCGTTATTGTTTTATTGCAGAATTTCATTCTTTATTCTTTTTTGTAATCTGTAATTTTTTAAACCCAACCTATGTATGAATGTTAGTGTACAAGTCCCGAAAGTACCCGGATATGCATATAGACGCAGCAAGTTTACATTTATTGCGCTTTTATACCTTAATTGACCATTCTTTTTTCAAGTATAAACGACGGGAAGGGAAAGTTTCTATTGTCATCACAAACAAAGATCTTTTTTAAATAATAAAAAACGATAGAAAAAGAAAGAATCAATGGTTTTATCATCAATGATGATGTCCTGTTAAAGTTGAAAATTTCGAATTTTTTGAATAAAAATAAAATTCTCGGGTATTGGCGCAATTCAGCTTATCTGATAGAAAAAAAGTTATATAGGCGAATTCATTTTATCCCCCCCCATGACGTTATACTAAACGAGGCAGTGAGTTGTATATTGTGTCAATGTTACAATTGTGTTTCTAGTGTATGGTATTTCAAATCCCACTTTGTAAGATATCGCCCCAAGGCAATGGACGTGAATAAAGAATGCCAAGAAGAACACTCTACACCAATAAATATTTATTCCTAAATTGGAACTATTAAGCGGTAAGGCAATAAAATACAAATAGAATAATTTATACTGAAGAATAAAAAAAGAAAGATTATTTTTTAATTGTTTGGTTTATTTTTAGTTGAGTTTATCGCCGTTGTTCAGAAAAAAATTTTTCCAAAAGCCGATGATTATTATCAATTTTGCCTATCGAGATTCCACAGTAAAAAAAAATTCTTTATCAAAAATGCCAATCGACTTTTTTTTTTTTGGCCATGATGAGATGAAAGGCTTCAAATTTTAATCAATTGATTTTCATATGTAAGCTATCTTTTCTAAGAAGTCTATGTATGTTTGTTGATAACAGATTAGATATGGAATGTTGCAATCAAGGGTAACTTCCTTGGATCATTACCTAAATCAAACCCCCCCTTTACACAACAAAGAAAGGTTAGCTGATGTTTTTGCGTAGTAAGAGAGATTAGAGAAATTTTTGGTAACACCTTTTAGGCCATCATCATTCTTATATACAGGAATAGAACTGATAAATAAAATAAAAAATATTTTTTTCACTTTTTTTTTTTTATCTTTCTGTCTTTCTATTTATCTTTTGAAGTTTCTCTCCTTTTTAAATATAAACTCTGAAAAATTTCTCATTCTTTTTTTTTCTAATCTTTACAACTAAAATCAACAGAGACAACAACAAGATATCCTTATTAGGAATAAATCTTTTATAGAGTTCAACATCTAACATTACTACTACCCAAATACATTCATTCAATACTTTCCAACAAAGTACAGATCTTAATTTTTTGTAACTCCATTAATCAGTCTGTGTGTGTGTGTGTATATTACTCATAAATTAATTGTAATTAATTAAAACACAACAAAGAATTTACATTCAACCATTCGTTATATTCAACAATAGTATATTTGATATTTCAATATACAAGTCTATATCCAGAATATCTTTCCAACAGTCAATATAGACAATCATCATCATTATTAAGTTTATTAAGAAAGGCTCAAAACCAATCAATTTGCCAAAAAAAAAAATCAGAAAAAGATTTTTTCCCACAAAAGTTGCTCTCCCTTTTTAAAATCCATAAAAATCAGAGATCCTTTCCTTTATCAGATTTTTTAAATTACTAATCGTACTCAATTATTCCACCCCCCCACATCAAATATAAATATCAATAGAAAAATGTCATTAGGTGAAATACTGCAACGTCTTCCTCCTCCTGTACAATCACAAGGTGTTTCAACTGTTCCAACTTCACTTCCACCAATAAAAACAGAAAGTACCATTTCATCAACAACTGTATCACCACCTCCTTTAACAAAAGCAAATGTTGGTTTAATTGGTAAATTTACTGAATATCAACTTAATCAATTACCTCCACAACAATTACCAACTCCACCTTCAAAACCACCACAATTAAAGAGTCCAAATCCAATTACTCCAGCTACAGTTCCAACAACTCCAGCAGCAACAAATGTCACCAATAATAACAACTCAAGTCATGGAGGACAACCAAATGCAAAGAGTACTACTCATGTAAATAATGGTACAACAACTACCAAAACAAACATATCGAGTCCAATTTGTCGTAATTGTAAGACTCAAACTACTCCATTATGGAGAAGAGATGAAACTGGCCAAGTGTTGTGTAATGCTTGTGGATTATTCTTGAAATTACATGGACGTCCAAGACCAATTAGTTTGAAAACTGATACTATAAAATCAAGAAATAGAGTGAAACAACTGAATGGTGCTACCAATAAAGCATCAAGTCCAAATACTCCAGAATTGAAGGGGAAAGATAAAGGAAGAAAATCTCCAAAACCAAAGAAGAATAAGAATAATAATAATAATGCCAATTCTGGAAATTCTGATGGAACTGGTTCTAATTTAACTCCATTATTACCTGCTACAGGAAGTAATTCAAATGTTTCTAGTCCAGCAACTTTTAAGAATAATAATAGTTTCCATCAAGGTATAAATACATTCCATCATCATCATCACCATCATCATTTACCTAATCATTTATCTCATTTACAATCAGCTGCCGCTACTGGACATCAAGTTCCATTACATTATCCATCTTCAACCCCAACCCAATTTGCCCCTGGTTTGAAAAGAATCACATCTCCATTATTATTATCTAATTCAATGTCAAGTACAAGAATTGAAAGTGATACAAAATTGACTCCTATTCAAGTTGCTGCTGCTGGTGCTTTGGAAAATATGTCACATGAATTAGGTCCAAATGCAACATTTAAACCTTCAAAAGGAAAAGGTGCTCGAGTTATGGAAGTTTCATTAATGAATCAAGATAGAAATAGAGATCATTTCTCAAGTAGTAGTAGTGGGATGTCAAGTGCGGGATCTTCGATATTTTCAAGTGCTTTGAATACTACTGCTCCTCCAAAATTACCTGCTTTGGGACATTCAAATATTTCTTCTCCTTCTTTTGGTGCACATACTTCAAGATCATCTACTCCTACATTACCTCCACTACATAAAGTTGGTGGTGGTGATGGATTGCCTCCTATAAATAGTTTTGCCAATTATGGAAGTGGCCAACAAAATCAACAACAACAACAATCACAACAACAACAACAACAGTCACAACAAGGATCCCAACGCCCAGACCAACCTAACCAATCTAACGGATATCAACAATCAAACCGAGATAACAACAACAATGATAATAATAATAATAATAATCATAATGGCGCTCATGAAGTCACATTATTAAAAACCAGAATCTCAGAATTAGAACTCGTGAATGATTTATATCGTACCAGAATAATGGAACTTGAAGCCATGGAACAAGCAGCAAGATTAAGAGAAAATTCAATGAAGAAAAGATTGGATGAAATATTAGCCCTTACCCAACAACACCAACAACAACAACAACAGGCACAAGCGCAACAGCAAACACAAACTCGTGCACATAGTAGTGAAAAGGCGGTCTCTACTTCTCATCATTCCACACCCGCTGCTGCTGCTGCAGTTGTTGCGCCTGTTTTGCCACATCATACTGAACTTCCTTCATTGAGTAAATATTCTTTAAATTCTAGTGTGAGTCCAATTACGACTTCGAATTTGACTCCACCGACAGTTTTACCCTCGATTGGAAATCTAACTGAACAGACTGGTAACATTGTGTTGCCATCGATGAAGAGAGAGAATGATGATAGTGAATTGGGTGGTGGTGATGGAAATGGAGGTGGTGGTAATGGTGAATTTAAGAAGATGAGATTGGGTTAGAGAGAGAGGATGTATATAATTATTTGTAACAATTTTATTATTGATGACTCTCCTATTTGTATATTATTAGTAATAATTTAATTTATGTTTATAATGTGTTTTTTTAGTATTTTTTTGGTTTTGTTATTCTTAACATGTTTATTTAGAAGTGAATAGATTATCGATTGTAAAACAATTGCTTGTACAATCTGACTGTTTACGTCGTCAGCCGTTGCCATCTTGCAACAGGTTATGGCCCAAAGCGCATCTCCGTTCGTTGGAATTATTACTAAGTTAGAAGGAAATGACAATCACCTTGGACAATAACCTGTTGCAATCTGACAACGATTGAAGACACAAATGTTTAAGTTTGACATTTAAATGTCTGTCTTTTTACTAATTAAGTCTGTTTATTATGTAAAATCTAAAAAACGTTAAAAATCTAAAGAAAGTGTCTTTTTACTATCATATAAAAATATGTAAATTTATATCAGTGAGTGATATTGGTTGCAAAAAAAGGAGTCACTATCAAACCATCTAAGTACGAACATCAGGTTCTTCTTTACCCAAGAATTCTTTAAATTTTAATAATTCCAATACAAATTCAATTTCTTGAGATAAATATTCATCAACCTTCAATTGATATTTAGATTCATCAGAACAATGTTTTTCTAAATATAATCGAACAGTTGCTCCAGAAGATCCAGTACCTGATAATCTAACAATAAATCTTAATCCATTTTCAAATTTAATAAATAATCCTTGATTCTTGGAAACAGATCCATCTAAATCAGTATAAGAAAAGTTATCAGCTTCTTTAATAACAAATCCTGGTTTTAATTCATCACCTGGTTTCTTAGAATCAACAATTGATTGTAAAACTTGAATTAATTTATTAGCACCTTCACTTGAAACATTTTCATAATCATATCTAGTAAAGAATGTTCTACCATATTTTTCCCAAAATGAATTTTGAACAATTGCAATTGAAGTTTTTGAATTTGGATTTTTTAAGTTATAATCAGCTAAAACATTTAACCAAGCAACTACTGCCCATAATCCATCCTTTTCTCTAATATGATTAGATCCAGTACCAAATGATTCTTCACCACAAATACTCAACTTTTTAGCATCAAATAATGAACAGAAAAATTTCCAACCAGTTGGAACTTCATATACATTTAATCCTTTATCTTTAGCAACTAAATCAATAGCACCTGAAGTTGGCATAGATCTAGCTAATCCATAAGTCCCTTGTTTTTTGAAATATGGAATAGAATCAGCATATTCAGCAATAATGGCAACTGAATCACCTGGGGAAACAAATGTACCAGCACCATAAATCATATTTCTATCACCATCACCATCAGAAGCAGCACCGAAAGCAATACCTTCTTTATCAACACGAGAAACTAAAGTTTCAGCATAGGTTAAATTTGGATCTGGATGTAATCCACCAAAATCAGGTAATGGTATATAATTTTGAATTGATTCTAAAGATAATCCTAATTCATTAATAAAGATTTCATAACCATATGGACCAGTAACACCATTTAAAGCATCAAATAAAACTTTGAAATTTTGTTCCTTGGTGGCTTTTTCCAAAAATGATTTAATTAATGGGAAATCAAAAATAGATTTCAACATTTCAACATAATCTTTAGTTGAATCAATAACTTCAACTTCAACTGGACCTAATTGAGTAGTAGCAATAGTAGATAAATCAACAGCAGGTAAATCAATTAATTTATAACTAGTCAATTTCTTGGAAATTTCATAAATCTTATCAGTAACTGATTCAGGTGCTGGACCACCGTTACCTAAATTATATTTAATACCTAAATCATTCTTTGGACCACCTGGGTTATGAGAAGCAGTCAAAATAATACCACCAGTGGCTTTTCTAATTCTGATAACATGAGAAGTAGCAGGAGTTGATAAGATACCATCTTTACCTAAAATCAACTTCTTAACACCATTGGCAGCAGCAATTTTAACAATTAAATCAATTACTTTATCATTGTAATATCTACCATCTCCACCAACTACTAAGGTGGCATCTTGGGCACCTTCTGGAATAGCATCTAAAATTGCTTGAATGAAATTTTCAGTGTAATGAGGTTGTTGAAAAACAGTGACTTTCTTTCTTAATCCAGAAGTACCTGGTTTTTGATCTTGGAATGCAGTAGTTTGAACTGTTTGAATTGAGTAAGACATTTTTAGTATTTTGGAATGACAATTGATTAAGTGAATTAAAGTAATTAATGAAATTTTCGGAGGTGTGGGAATGACTCGAGATTTTTATACTGAGAAGAAAAAATTAAACTTTTTCGGGGGGGGGGATTTTGGAATTCTTCTATTTACTGTATGGAACAATTTCAAAAAAAAAGGGGGTAATTAATTAGTTTGTTAAATTTGCTTCAAGGGAAATTATGCAAATATATAATAAAGAATAAAGAGGAAAGAATTTTCGGTCAATTGGCTCGGGGGCGGGATATTTCAGTCAATTTATATTCTTCCCAATTGATCATCTTAAGCTTAGATTAATTTTGAGATGTGGTGATGATGAGAATTAGCTCATTGAAAAATGTGTTAATGTGGTAAATATGAGATCAAAATAAAACAATGACAATTCGATGCGAGTTTAAATTGGAACAAATAAAAAATATTTTTTCAAACATGTTCCAACCACATTCAACTGTTTTTCTGTTCAACAGCCCTTCAACTGTAATAAACTGTTAGACGTTTTTATTAATAATTTTCATATTTTAGTTTTACCATGGGTTGATTTCTTGATACTTGTACAACCTTTGGAAAAAGTAGAATAAGGATAATTTCCCATATAGAAATTGAAATATCTCAAAACATCCAAAATGTGTATAAGGCCACATTTTTCATTTTTCAACTCAAAGGCGATGCAACCACCTTCAAGTTTTTTATTTTTCTGTTCCCCACCAAGATGGTTACACTTTTTTCTGGAACCTATTACAATTAATTACTAAACAATAGAGAGAAAACGATAAATCTCCTTATTTGATATTCCAGCATGGTTTTAGCCACATTCATCTAACTACCTGGTGTTATGCGACCGTCAACTATCCACCGTGAGCAAACTGTAACGTTTTTCATTCCCTGGGAGATATGTCCCGGGTTAGCCTCGTGCGAAGTTGCAACAGAAAATTTCGCACAAAGCCACGATGCTCGCCTGTAAAGTTTAACTCATATTGTTCTTCCATTATTCGCCGGGGGGGTCGGAAAACAACTTGCCATCTCCCAATTCTATGAGAAAAGAGAAGGCATGATGATTCTACTGTGATTTTGACTATTGTCTTCAAATTTATGCAAAAAAGAAGCGGAGTTATGAAAAGGTTTGACTTACAGCGCAAAGTTTCCGGTTGAACTTATTCATTTAAGACTTGGCCACGACGGAAATTCTGAATTCATATCCTCAACCCTTATAATGGCACCTGGATAACAAGTATCTCTTATTTTCCTATTAGTTCTTTCTTACTAAGGAATATGAGTGAAGGAAGAAATTAAACTCTTTTGAATCTTCACACGGATTGGCTGCAAATATTCCACTAATTTTTGACGAAAGTGGAAAGAAAAAATTGAATTGTTAAATTTCAATTTAAATAGTTTGTTGGAAGAAATTCTTTAATAAAATAGCCTCTAATGAAAGGAGTTAACCTAGGCACAAATAGGTATCCTATTTTAGATGCTGGAAGATTATAATGAATAGTCTGAAGATAATTGTAAAAATGACATCCAAAATCCGATCCGTCAGATCACGTGAAATTCACACGCCAATCACATGATATATTATCCTGCATATAAAATAATTTTTCCGAAACCTCAAATTGGTTGCAAAGTTGACTACACTTTATGTTTCAAGCTTGTCTTTCCCCATTCACATTTATCAGTAATATCTCCAAAGAACTCCAGCAGAAATACTTTCAAATACAATTTTACTTTTATTCAACAGCAATACAAAGTTAAACAGAAAAAGTTATAAAGGATACAAAATTTAAACAAACTACGAATTAATGAATGGGTAAAACGACGTTGGAGCCCCTTCAAGGGAAATTTCCAGCTCTAGGTCCAAAATAACCTTCTGGTGCTACCTCCGTAGCATTCAATCTACCAGTAATCCTAGCATCAATACCTGCAAACGACACAAGGTTTCCCCACCAATTGAGTTCTCTTTCGGTATAGAATACAGCAAAGAAGATGATGATTGAAGAAAAAGCTACACCAGCACTCAAACCACAGGTTAAAATATAATTATACTTCTGCCACCAAGCCTCATACCTCTTCTTGATATAATGCATAAATGCGAATGAAGCGTAGAATCCTCCAATGAAGTAGGACAAGTTATAAGGTGCATAGTACAACATTCCACCAATGACAATTGAAGGTTCAAAAAACTTCACAAATTTTCTAGGACCATATTTCTTAATTGCAACACATGGGAAGGCCAAAAGGAATCCAATCAAGAAACACCATTGCAAGATAGGATATAACCCTGTAAATAATTTCTTTGGACCGATAACCCCAAACATAATCGAAGCACTATAGAACGATCTTGCACCTGGACAAGTGAATTTCTGATGATTATCGGGCTCACAGAAACCAGCAACATTTTCAATTTGGAAGTTTAATACAGCTAATTGAACAAATGAAGCAATGAAAACAGAAACCAATTGACACCTGAATAATGCTCTTGGTGGGATTTTTGTATAATGACCTAGTTTTAAATCATTCACGAAATTCTGAGCTTGCGCATCAATGTTGTAACCTAATGCTTTGATGAAATTTAATGCCAAACCATTGTTTGGGATCATATAACCAACCAATAATTCAACAATAATGTTCAATCCAAAACTAAAACCTGATCTTGCATAGATGGTAGTAATCGGAATCAAAAATATAAAGTTAATTCCAATGGCAAAGAAAATACCCCAAACTGGAGTCTCAGCAGGATATAGCTTTACACACAATATTGCAAAAACAATCGATACAACCAAAATTACCAAAAATGCCCATTCTGGAACCTCAGGATATACTTTCATCATTTGTGTATGAGGATCATTATGACCCTCAAATGTTGACCTTCTGAAATTCTTGAGTGTCTTACCAAGAGATTTCATAGCATCCTTCATCTGTTTATGGTTAACAGTACATTCATAAACAATATGGAATGGATAAAGAGCAAAAAAAGCACCATAAACTACCAAACTAGCAGCTGAATTGAATGGTGGACCATATGATTCATATTTTTCTTGATCGAAGAGTGATCTCTCATTGACAATAGAAGTTACCATATATGTTTCACCCGTGTTGGTAAAAAGTGCATTAGAATTGATGGGAAGATATGCTGTCCATTTATAGTTTGTGTACCATACACCAAGGATAGTCACAAAACCAATCGCCATTCCAATCATAGTTGCAGCCTGGGTATAGAATGGTAAAATTAATGGAGAGAGATAACTGATAATATTCCAATCAAATGTAGCAACTGGATTAAGTCCCAATCCACCAAGTGTTCCAGTCATAACTGCCAAATGTAAATTCTGGGGACTGATCCAAGTAATCCAATTAAATATCGATAATGCTTGGAAGAAATAATTAACAACCCAGAAATAAGCAAATGAACCAGCAAAAGCAATGAAAAAGAACCTATACCTAGACACAACCCACCCATTTATATTTTGTTTTAATTCGGGGCTCATCAATGCTCGATTCATGGCGATATTAGGTAAGATAGATGGCCAAAGTGATTTCACAGGATAAACAGCAAATTTCCTCATGATACCAGCTAATCCAAACCCAAGGAAATTTGTTGCTAAAATCAACAAGGTTTGATATCCAAAATCAACCCATTGATTATTGTAGAACATTGGCATTTTGTGAACCACAATATTGTAAGTTGCATAACTTGCAGCTCCACCAGAAACCGCAACAAAAATAGTAGCTAACATTTGTTCTTTGAATGTATATGGTCCTGGATTTAATGAAATTGTTTGTCCAAATACTTTGAAATCCCATTTAGGTAAGATATATTCCATTAATAACCCACTTGGATAAAGTAATATTTGTACTACAGCAACACTTAAAGTAATACTAGGTTGTCTATTGTTAAAGAACATATTAATAACAGAACCAACCGCAGTCCAGAAAATTCCGATTATATAGACGCGAACAGTTTCAACAGGTACGGACGGATCATCATATGGATCACAGACGGAACGGACTTCAGGATATGGTGACCAATAGTGTAACAAAGCAGCTTCTAACCTGACTTGTAAACTCCAGTCAACAATGTGGTAGTAGTCAAGATCATATACGTTTTCTTCATGGTGGTCTGACAGTTTTTCCTTCTCTGAAAGTGGGGCGGTCGTCTCATCTTTGTTAACTGTGGTAGTGATATCGGGATTTTCAACTAATGCCTTCCAAAGGATTTCATCTTCATTAGGGACATTAATATCTCCATCATGTTCAATAATCGCTTCTTTTAAAATCTCAATTGCTTGATCAGTTGTGATTTCTTCAATTTTTTCAAACATAAAAGTAGCCTGCGGTGGTAATTTATCAAATGAAAGTAAGGTATCGAAATGCAATCTTCTCAAGATGAAAGATTTCTGATCGGGGGTTAATGATTTAGCAACCTCTCCGATTGAGAGTGTGTTGGAACTGATTGTATCGAGGATGGCTTCATGATCGGTAGCTGCGAGAGGACTTTCCAGGTCTGAAATGGTATTTTGTCCAGCTTCTTTCTCAGCTTTCTGGATGGGCATTGGGTGATTAATGTTATTATTTGAGTCTTATGTTGGCAATATTTATTTGGATTTAGTTGATCTATTTATAATATTTTTGATATGCAAAAATGTAACTTAACTCTTTTGTCTAGGTGGATTTTTTGCAGCCATATAAGGTTTACTCCAGCAATCAACAGTGACAAAATAAGATCAATACAATTGAAATAGTTCTCTAAACTAATGTTTACCTTAGTATACTATGAAATGTGAAAAGAGAATAAAGTTAATGATTGATCTCAGTAGCATTTAATTGACAGAATAAGGAAGATTCTTTGTAGCATCATCTTGGAGCATTTTACTATTGTAGTATTTTAAGGCAATTGCTGTCACCCAATGGCAATCGAAGAAAATGGAACCATTAACAAGAAAAAATTGAATGTAAAACAAACACTTTTTTAAAGAAGACTATGAAGTTTCCAAGAATTAAATAAGAAAAGAGTTGATAGATAAGAAAAAAACAAGATGAATAAGAAATTGATGTGATAAAAATTATGAAACATAAAGGTGATAGATTAAATTATTTGGGTATACTATCCTGCGCCGTAGGATCCTTCCTGCATGGTTGAACCGGTTTACAAGTCATATATGATACGGCTGAGCTGGAAGTCCTATAAATAGTACTGAACAATAAAAGCAACCAACAAATCCTAACTATATTGAAATATTCTGTTGTCTGCAGTGGGAAGAACAGAGAGGCAACTGTGATCAGAGCTATAATGTCATTACTGAACTATGTCCAAACGAGTCTAGCTTCAGAATGCACTACTTCTTACAATTCGCTATCACTCAAGCAATACATTCTGGTAATGGATTTAAATCCCGTGCTTACCTCTAGGAAATTTGGGTAGGTTTCTCAATATTTCCAGTTTTGTATAGTTAAGGAGATCTCCAATTGCGTCACTTCACGGTTTTATTTTTTGGTTCCTCACCAAGTTTTCTTCACACTTTTTTTTGGTACACATTCTATTCATACATTACAAAATGTTAACTTGAAAGCAGCAGTTTAGACTCCATGACAGTTTAGTCGATTTTAATAGCTAATAAATTGTGATACTCCAAGAAGTACATCATCATGATATTTAGGGATACCTCTTTCCGTCTTTGGGAATACCTTGAAATTTATTTGAATATCATTCACTTTCTCTGGGGAGGTCTGCCACTGTCCAGCCAATCTATATTCTAACTATCACCCTATTAAGGAGACCGACTATTCATGAGGGATAAGCTTTAGTCATTAATGGAAAATTGGCTGCAAAATATTGTTGTGCGAAAGTCCTGTCCCTTTTGAGATTCAATGTGGCTTATTTATTTTTTAATGGGTTTCTTTGCAAACGCTACCACATGACGGATGAGAGTGATTGAACGATTGATCCAGTAAGACAGTTTTAATACAATTACTTTAAAAAACAAAATGCTTATTGTAATACACTAAATACTAAACATGTATACAAAGTTGAAGATAATAAACTAAAAAAACAAGCTCTCGAAAATCGACAGCTTCGAAGGACAGATGTTCCTCATGGGAAATGACCAATTCTAGGTCCAAAATAACCATCTGGAGCCAGCTCTGTAGCATTCAACCTACCAGTCATCAGGGCATCAATACCAACAAATGGAACAGTATTTCCCCACCAATTGAGATCCTTTTCCTTATAAAAAACAGCAAAGAAGATAATAATTGACGAAAAAGCGACACCGGCACTCAAAGCGCATGTTAAGATATAGTTATATTTCTGCCACCAAGCTTCATATCTCTTCTTGATATAGTGCATAAAAGCAAATGATGCATAAAATCCTCCAATAAAATAAGACAAGTTATAAGGAGAGTAGTTTAACATACCGCCAATGATAATGGAAGGTTCAAAAGACTTAGCAAGTTTTCTAGGACCGTATTTCTTGAATGCAATACATGGGAAGGCCAAAAGGAATCCAATCAAGAAACACCATTGCAAGATAGGATATAACCCAGTAAACATCTTCTTTGGGCCGATAACCCCCCACATAATTGAAGCACTATAGAAAGTTCTAGTACCAGGACAAGTGAATTTTTGTTCGTTGGTAGGCTCACAGAAATCAGCAACATTTTCAATTTGGAAATTCAACACAGCCAATTGAACGAAGGAAGTAATGAAAACCGAAAGTAATTGACATCTGAATAATGATCTTGGAGGGATCTTTGCGTAATGCCCTTGCTTTAAATCATTGACGAAATTCTGAGCTTGTGCGTCAATGTTGTACCCTAAAGCCTTGATGAAATTCAATGCTAAACCATTATTTGGGATCATATAACCAACCATCAACTCAACAACAATGTTCAAACCAAAACTAAAACCAGACCTAGCATACACTGTCGTAATTGGAATCAAAAAGATGAAATTAATTGCAATCGCAAAGAATATTCCCCAAACTGGAGTTTCGGCAGGATAAAGCTTAACACACAATATGGCAAATAGGATTGAAAATAATAAGACAATGAGAAATGCCCATTCTGGAACTTCTGGATAAGCTTTCATCATCTGCGTGTGAGGATCATCATGACCTTCAAATGTCGATCTTCTGAAATTTCTGATTGTCTTACCAAGGGATTTCATAGCATCCCACATCTGTTTATGATTCATGGTGCATTCGTACACAATATGGAAGGGGTAAATGGCAAAGAAAGCACCGTAAACCACTAAATTCGCAGCGGAACTAAAAGGCGGACCGTAGGATTGATACTTTTTCTGATCTAAAAGGGAGTTTTCATTCACAACAGAAGTTACCATATATGGTTCACCCGTGTTGGTAAAAAGTCCATTGGAATTGATTGGAAGAAACCCAGTCCATTTGTAGTTTGAGTACCAGACACCAAGAATACAAATAAAACCAATTCCCATTCCAACCATGGTAGCTGCTTGATTGTAAAAGGGTAACACCAATGGACTCAGATAACTAATAACGTTCCAGTCAAATGATGGGATTGGGTTAAGTCCTAATCCCCCAAGCGTTCCTGTAACAACCGCCAAATTTAAGTTTTGTGGGCTTATCCAAGTGAGCCAATTGAATACCGATAATGCCTGGAATAAATAGTTGACTACCCAGAAGTAAGCAAATGAGCCAGCAAAAACAATGAAAAAGAACCTATATCTAGACACAACCCATCCATTTATGCTTTGCTTCAATTCAGGACTCATCAATGCTCTGTTCATAGCGATATTAGGTAAGATAGATGGCCAAAGTGCTTTCACAGGATAAACAGCAAATTTCCTCATGATACCAGCCAATCCAAACCCAAGGAAGTTTGTAGCTAAAACTAACAAGATTTGATATCCAAAATCAACCCATTGATTATTATAGAACATTTTCATTTTTTGTACCATAATATTTGAAGTAGCATAACTTGCAGAACCACCAGATACACCAATGAAGATTGTAGCTAACATTTGTTCTTTGAATGTATATGGCCCAGGATTCAAACTAACTGTTTGGCCAAACACTTTAAAGTCCCACTTAGGTAAGATGTACTCCATTAATAACCCACTTGGATAAAGCAAGATTTGAACTACAGCAACACTTAAAGTAATACTAGGTTGTCTATTATTAAAGAACATATTGATAACAGCACCGACAGCGGTCCAAAGAATACCAATGATATAAACACGAACAGTTTCAACAGGAATGGTTGGGTCATCGAAAGGATCACAGACAGAACGAACTTCAGGATATGGTGACCAGTAGTGTAACATAGCAGCTTCTAACCTGACTTGCAAATCCCAATCAATAATCTGGTGGTATTCGGCTTCATAAATGTTGCCCTCAATACTCTTTGAGGAAGGCAAACTTTCAACACTCTCTGTTTTGATATTGGTAGCATTGGGATGGGCAACTAATGCTTTCCAGAGTGTTTCGTCTTCATCAGGAACGTTGATATCACCATCATGCTCAGTAACTCCTTCCTTCAAGATTTCAAACGCTTGGTCTGAGGTCATTTGCTCAATTTTCTCAAACATGAAGCTAGCTTGTGGTGGTAATTTATCAAATGAAAGCAATGTATCGAAATGAAATCTCTTCAAAATAAAAGTTTTCTGATCAAGGGTTAGCGATGCTGCCACTTCCCCAATGGAGAGTGGATTCGAAGTAATAGCTTGAAGATCGACTTCGTGACTGCCATTTAATTCAGGGTTTGGGACACTTGTAACAGTTACTTGACCAACCGATTTTTCTTCCTTAATCTCGCTGGACATTTTATAGTGATGTTATGAATTGGAAGGTAGTTGACCTTTTGTAGAAGGGAGTTACAACCACTATTTATAATTTTTGGACATTCTAAATTGTTGAACAGCTTCTGACGACGAGATATGAAATTTTTGCAGCCAGAGGAAATCTCCTCACTGATACCCCAAGCCACAACTTTATTTATCTTAATTCGTCCAATTGTGAACAATGGATTAGTAAATTGGACCATTGATTTCGATAGTAGCAACTTGAAATTGATGGAATAAGGCAAAAGCCGGATGCATTAACTTGACACATTGTGCAACTCTGATTTCTGAGGCTGCAAGAATTAACGAAAGTTCAAAGTCAAGGCAATTGTCCAAACTTTCCGAAACTATAGGAGCCACCACACTAGGCTTATTGATTGGTCCATAATTTTGGGGGACAATAGGAAACGTTACTTGTATCCCTCAGTTGGACTGACCATAGGTTTGTAGCCATAATTGGCATGTTCTGCTTAATAAAAAAAAAAACCAAAAAAAAGCCGAGGAATTAAAATCAAGGGGTTGTCTGTGTGATTGTTATAAACCCGGTCGACTCAGAGAGGCATACATTATGTAAAAAGTTATCTAAATTGGGTAATCTGTCTCATAGATATTTACACCATTGTTCTTTGGAAGGATGACTAGTCATGTTAACAATGCGCTTAGAAAGAAGGTTTTCACAAGGGTGATTTAAGCGAAAATCAATTGTGTAAATTTCAAAGTGTATTTCAATGCCGTTCCCATTAGCTATGCGGCGCCAAAGTTTATCACTTCCACAAGAAGGCATTTTACCCGTAGTGCATGTAGGAGCCACACGATCTTCTCATTGAGAAGCTGGATAATGCGATAAGAATCCACGCCAAAATATACAGCGGAGATGGAAAAGGACAACGTTGAATCGTAGTTAAGATTTTGATACTTATCTTGTACGCACTTATCCAGAAGTAATAGAGGCTCAGTATCTATATCCATTTCTTTGTGTCATCCAGCCGAACCGACAAGAAAATACGATTGCTGCAAACAAGTGTGTCTCCTCTTTTGTGTGGCTTCTAAAGCCGGCTTTCAATTGTTCTGTTTACACAATAGAACCATTCTAGAATGAAATGACGGTCACTGGCGTTCTACGATCACTATCTAAATTGCAAAAGATAAACTGAAGATTTGTGCCTTAGCAACCCTGCTCCGAGAAATCTACATTTTGCAAATTCTAATGACTTGAGCTTTCCCCTTTTTTATCATCTCTAGAAATATTCATATATTAAGCTGATACAATACACCTTGATTCAAATCTATAAACTACCAGCCGTCTCCCCATCCATCCTCGGCATCATCGTCTTCTACTTTAAGTTGTAAATCTATTTTAGGCTTAGGTCTAGATTTGGACGCACTCCCCAATCTTAACCCACTTGCTTTCACAGGGGTTCTAGTGGAGGTTCGCAACGAGGGCAGTGGCCCCTTTGTTGGTTGGGGTAATCTTCTAGCTGGCTTAGGTTCAATACTAAGCTTTTTCGTTTCAGCTACAATTTCATTCTCCTCTTGATTCCAGGCATCATTGAAATCATCCCAGCCGTTCCCTTCCTCGGCAATATCTTCAACCACCGTAGTTGACAACGGGGCCATTGTTGGAGGTTCCGTTTTTGTTAGATCTGGAGTGGATCTATCAAAGTTCTGATTCAACTCACCGCCTGTAACCGCGCCCGAACCGAATGAAGTTAATTTACTCATCATTCCCCACATACTAGAAGCCCCACCAGTTGCAGGATCCGCAGGACTACCATCCCCAGATACATCGCTAATGACTTCCTTTGAGGGAGAGGTTGCGGGGGCAAATTTCTTGAAAAATTCCCGCTCTTCAGCATCTTCATCTTCTTCATCCATGCCATCCAAATCTCCAGCATGTTCTTCAACTGCTTGTAAATAAATTTGAAATATTCTTCTGGCTTCGTTTCTTACTTTAGTTGATTTTGGATCCATTAATGCGATTGCTAAGTGTCCTAAAATTTTGGAACAGATTTCTTCCATCGAGAAATCCGATTTCAAGCTTTCAAACCCTTGTAAAGCAGTTAATTTACACGGAGTAAACGTGTCTCTTAATGATTTTGCCAATGCAGTGATTAATACGTTATTCTTTGAAGTGGAGTAGATTTTGGAGGAAATTTTGATAATTAAGATAAGTGTATTTACACGAATTGAAGGCTTTGGATCCATTTGCGATTTTGCTAAGATTCTGAGTAAATCTTGATTGACTTGTTTGACGGAGATTTTGTCTATGATGATGGTGATAGATTTCAAGGTAGTTTCACGAATTAAGAAATTCGTATCTTGGAATCCAGTTATCAAATTAGCAAATATTTGATTCTGTACCTCCAGATCGGATAAGAATGAATGGTAGTCAGGCAAATGGTTCAATAATGTCATTCTAATTGAACGATCACTCAGACAAAAACTTGAAATAATGATTGGTTTGATAAGTTTATTAAACTCATCTGCTTGAAGCTTGATTCCAAACTTTATGATAAGGTTAAGCATTCCAGATAACACTTCTTGTCTTTCTAAATCAATACCAGTTTGGGCTTTCTTGGAAATATCATTGAACTGTGCAATCATTTCCGGTAATAATTTATAGTTTAATAATCCTGGAGGAAATTCAGACTCTGCCTCCAAATATTCAGGTAATGTATATCTAAAGAATGCCAATTTTTCTTGTTCTGGTAGAAACTTCAATTCAGTTAATTGCTCGTTAAATTTGATAATCACATTTGATGCGTGATATGATTCCAATTCTTTAAGATAACGATTAATTGGAATTCTCAAGTTCGGTTTACTACTCAATAGTTTCTTCACAATACCAGCTAATCTTCCAGGCAATCTTTCTACATTTTCAATACCGAATACATATAATATAAATGCACCAAACCTGTATGCATCAACTTTTTTCAAATCTTTGGTGTTGTCATCAACGTTGACATCATTATATCCAGGCATGATATTTCTCATAGCATACACTTCACCTTCCTGATCAATCTTCGTAACCAATTCAAATCCAAATAATTTCCATTCTCCTTGCGAATTAACCACTACGGAATTATATTTATTCAAATTCATATATGCAACACCAGCATTCTCATTCATGAAATTCAAAGATTGAGCAACCTGATACAATCCACAGACTTTTGCATCTTGTCCAATTTGTTGTTCTAAATATGTGGCCAAGGGCACAATTCTTTCAGTTATAATGTACAAAAACGCATCTGATTCAATGAAATCTATACACGATACAATATGAGGGAATTTAATCAATTTCAATTGTCTGAATGCATTTTTGGCAAATGGAATATGACGATTATTTGAAGGTTCGCGTAGGTTGAATTCAAAGATGGAAACTGGTGAGTTGTTGTCTTTAGGATTAAGACCATCGTATAGAGTCCATATTGATTGTTTGTCAATTGTTGTGGGGACTGGTGCAAGTGGATCAACTATCTTATCTTTGATAGTGTATGGTATGGAGGTACCCGTAAGCGTACTAAATGTCTTAGCAATGAAATTCATTTGATGGACACCGATTCAACAGTTTAGTTGTTTTGACAACAAACATTGACAATTTTGGAAAACTGATTTATTATTTTTAGATCTCACGATCTCTCCCCAAAAATAATTAGCGAGCCGCACCTCATACAAAGTATTGCAGCCAGAGTACAAGAACCCTCTACAAGTGTAACACCTACTTAAATAAACTGAAACAAATTATACAATGAAAATACATAATTGGTAAACATATATACAAATATATGAAACTAAAAACTGAAATGAAACTAAAAATAAAAGTAATTAAAAACGTAATACAACATAACACATAAATCTTATAATAAGTAATTAACATTTAAAAAACATGCAAAAAAGAATTCAAATGAACCAGCCATTATCATCTTTATCGATATTTAGAATATTTTTTTCTCACAATCTCTCAACCCTGATAACCACCAGTAGTCCCAGCCGTGCCATAATCAGGCTGGAAAGTAGGACTAGCATTCAGGATTGGTGAGCTTTGGGTACTGCTGCCTCCCTCGCCATCTTTATGATGCAGTTTACCCCGACCTCTGATTCCTTTATTTGAATTCTTATACAAATCCTTGAAATAATTCAACAAATCTCTTTCTTCTTCCGGCAAATTATCAAACATCATTGGTCCAGTCAACTCCGCTAACCGATGAGTCAACTCATTTAAAGTATTTAAATGGAATCTATTCTGATGTGATTTCAAATTTCCTAATTGGGTGAACGATTTATCACATCCATCTAATTTACATTCATATGGTTTTAAATTATCATGAGTCAATTTATGAGCGGCTAAATTCCCTTTTCTATTGAATGCACGACTACATACATCACACACAAACGGTTTCTCACCAGTATGTAATCTTAAATGAGTTCTTAAATTTCCACCTTGAGTAAATTTCTTATGACAATATGAACATTCAAATGGTTTAATACCAATATGGGACCGGATATGGACTTCTAAATGTGTAGATTGAGTGAAATATTTGAAACAATATGGACATTGTTGATTCTTCATCTTTCTATTCCGTTTCCGCAGATCTTCATGATGGTCATGGATATGTTCTGGATCATCCTCTTCCTTCACTTTATGTGGTTTGTCAACTCCTCCAACTAAACTGATGGGAGATGGAAGTACACCGGTATCTGCAGATGGGGCAAGTATACTACCATCTGGACCTTGTTGAATCTGTTTAGTTACACCTTTATCACGAGCTTGGATGACTAACATAAGTTGATCAATTTTAGTAGCTCCCAATAATGGTCTACCATCTTCGGATTTCGCTAACAGTTGTGCTGGAATTAAGTCACGGTCAATCTTACTTGAAGTGGGTGAGAGTGATTGTGCTTGCTGCTGTTGAAGTTGCTGTTGTTGTTGCTGGGTATTTGGCAGGCGTCTTTTACGTGAGGATGGGGACTTTTTAGTGGTGGCTTGAGGAGGAATATATGCCGGTTGCTGTTGTTGCATGGGTTGCTGTTGGAATTGAATAGGATACATATAGCTCGAGCCTCCAATACTATTTGTTCTTGGAAGACTATATCCGAGATTATAATTTGGATAGGAGGTGTATTGATATTGGTTCTGTGGTGGAGGAACAACTAATCCCGGAGGAGCATAGTTGGAAAATAATCGCTGTGGTGGAATAGGTGGTTGTGGGAGCTGTTGCAGTTGCAGTGGCTGTTGTTGGGTATACAAGTCACGATATGGTTGGTTGATTGTCATGGTATTGTATTGAGTAGGTGACGTTTTAGGCGATTGAGGTTCATCATTAGACATCGACGATGTTGGAGATACATTGCCTCCTTTTCTATCAGATCCTTGCTGCTGCAGTTGTTGTTGACGTTGGCGCTCTGATTGGTCGCGTCTTAATTTTTCGCTCTGTTGCTGTGATTGTGATTGTTGTTGTTGTTGCTGTTGTTGCTGCTGCTGCTTTTTATCGAACATATCTTCTTTCAATTTAGTCATCTTTGCCTTAGGATCTTCAGTTCTTTGACTTCTTAAACTTTGTTGATCATTGATAATCTTCAATATGGAGTCTCGCCTTTGTTGATTACTCATATTTGAAAAATCGATTGAACCATTTGAAATCATTCCTTGAATTAATTCAGTCAAACTGCCTGTAAATCCTGGCATTGAAGTTATACTGTTTTGATTGTCCCAAGTAGATAAATCCAATGAACCGGCTTTGACTCTGCCAGCCTGACTACCAGAGCCTTCCTGACCAGCAGCTGCTTGTTGTTGCCAGGCCAATAAGTTCCCAACACTTTCTTTATTCAACAAGGTTTCCAAATCTTCCATGGAAAACTCTTGACTGGGTATAAGTGACATTTGTCGTGAACGTGGTGGTAAGTTTGGAGCATTACCAGCATTTGCCTTTGGATCTTGTTTCAAAGATAACGAATTATTACCAGAAGATTGTTCGGATATTGAGTTACCATTTGAACCGGGTATATTAATCAATGAACTGAAAATACTATTAGATCTTGATGGCATAGTGTTGGGGGCTTGTGATGTATCATAGTCTGTCAGTAGTCGCATTTGCGATGTGATTGGAGGTGGTAAGAAGATGGAATCTCCGCGTGGTCTTATAGGTTGTTGAAACTGTTGTTGAGGGTATTGAGATGTCAGCAGTTGTTGCAGCAGTTGCAGCAGTGGCTGATTTTGTTGCAGCTGTGAATATAATTGTTGATTGGTTGAATTTGGGTTTATAGATTGTTGAGTGAAATTCATTGTATCTCTTCGATTCTGTTGACCACCACTGGGGTTGTAAAAAGATGGGTCTTGCTGTTGCTGTTGTTGCAGTGGAGGATAATTATAGTTATAGTAAGAAGTAGGAGGTCCACTGATACTTGATTGATGGAATACGTCCTTAGGATTATGTAATGTATAAGAAGCTGAATTGGATGAAGGATAAGATGCTAATAAGTTACTAATTGATTCTTGTCTTGGGGGAGTAAATAAGAGTTTATTATCATCATTAAGTTCAGAAAGATGATGCTGTAAAGCTTGTTGTTGTCTCTTGGTTGTGGTTGTCGATGAGTGCTTGCTAATTGAGGTATTGGGGTTACTTGTAGTGTTGGTACTTGTACTAGAAGTTGTTGATGTAGAAGGTCTTATTGGTGCTGAAATTGCAGATTTCCCCATTTTTTTTGGGTGTGAAAATGTGGGTGGGTTGGTCGGTGGAACTAACTTGTAAATTTAAGGGATAAAAAAAAAATTATGAAACTGTAAACAATGTTTACAGGTAGTGTGAAAGGTTACAAAAATATATCTTATTTATGGAATTCGTGTATGCTGCTCTTTTTGGATATTGATGAGTTTGGTGATCACCTGACTGAGCAGTTTAAAGATATTAGATGGTAATAGTTAATAAACAATAAAAATGAAAAAGTAATTTTTGATTGAATTGTAGTTTAAGAGAAAAAGAAAGTTAAAAAGAAATTATGGGTGGTGATTCTTGACATTAAATATAATTTATATTTTAAACTTTGCCTTTATTCTCTTTAATCATTTGAGTTTTATCTTTCTTGCTTCATGTTGTGTTTTTTTTTTTAATACAGAAGGGGAAGCAATTTTTTTTTTTTTTAAATGACATAAATATCACAAAAATAGAAAATTGAATGATTAAAAGTGAAATTGTAGACATTTTTTTATTAACGACATTTCCACGACATTAATCAATACCACTACAAAAATATGTCAAAAATGTAACCTTTATCCCCCTCCTTCTCATCTTTAATGTTTTTGACCACGTTAATGATACTACCCTTGCAGATACCACTGCTATCGTAGATATCATTTGCATCATCTGAGAACATACAACTGATCTGATTCCCTTGTGTTTTTTTTAATAGCCGAATCCCTCCATCAAAAGTCATACAATTATTTTTTTTGTATTACATAATCAAATGATCATCTTCTGTGGAATTAAGCACCCGAAGAAGAAAATATTTTAAAAAATAATACTAAATGAATTAAATAAAAACTCTTAACTATGGAGAATTTGAATATGATGTTTGTAAGCAGATGACCCAAACATATGACTATCAATTTATTATTAATCATAGTTAACCGTATATGTACTATATAACAGTATCGGTCAAGCGGCCAGTCACTTTAATTCGGAGTTTACTTGCATGGTGTGTCTTTCAAACGATGACCTGAACGCTTTTTTTTAACCAATATGCAACTGAGGCTCGGTGGTCCAAGAAAGTTGCCACTAATGCCGAAGAATTTTAAAGACAAACTTCAGAAATTACGAAAATATCATTTATTTAGAGAATTTTTATGTAAAACTTCGCCACATCTGTTTAAATGACTCAAATCGCTTCCAGCGGTAAAATTTTAGTTCAGATCATCCCCCATCGAATCTTCTATAGCGGGGTGGAATCACCTTTGGGATCTAATTACTACCACAGAGAAAACAAAAAATCATGGCAGTAGCTTTGGTTGCAAAGGTGACTATTACGCAGAGGCTTTTCTCTAAGGTGATATTACTAACTATTTACCTATTTACAATATCGATTTTATCCGTTATTTTTTAAGCTATTTTTTGCAGGCGTTTAGATGTATCAGCTATGACATAATCTTTAATTGACGCAAAGTTTGTTGTTGCCCTGCCCTCTTTGATTCAGATAGGCTTGGCACATATTTTACAAACAAGGTCTCCATAAAGATGACAACAAATAGCTCATTAAGACGCTAAAATAACCTCGGTTCTAACTTTAATGCCGGACATATCGTTAGCCCAGAACACATAAGCAGACTTTTTTTGCAGCCCAATAAAAAACTTTGCAACATAAAATTACCATGTCTAATACAAAGTTAAATATAGAAATATAATACCTAGATATAAACCTATTCAAGTTTGAATTCTATCCAACATCCCATCTAAACATTTTTGCAACCAATCCATCTCTACTTGAGTACACTTCCCAATATCATCATATTCCATAACCCTTCCCAAATCATCTAAACAACTCATGGATGAAGAACATCTATACACTCTCTTATGTAAACGATTCATAAATCTAGTTGAAAGCTTAATAAATTTAGAAAGCTTGACAACTTGATATTCAAGACAATCAAAATCGATAAAAAATGCAATTAAGATACTTGCAAGACATTGCTCGAGTCTTCTTTTGGATAATGATTCGAGCTTATATAATTTTAACCCTTTATAATACTTTTCTGGTAATATGTCAATTGGAAGCCCCTCAGTATTAGATTTATTCACGTCGTCAGCGTGCACATTGTCACTATTTTGATTAGTATTGTCTGAGTTATTTTCTATTTGTGGACCATTTGGTGAATTGGATTCCATAGGAATATTTGATAATGTCTGGGTTCCAGCATTGACGCCGGTATTATTGACTGTCTGCGTACCAACATTGACGCCCATATTCTTCAGATCACCGTCAGAAATGTCACTTGCATCGCGACTTGGTTCAATTGCCGCACCAGCGGCACCTTTGGAAATATCCAGTTCTTGTACATCTCGAACAGCCTCAGATCCCTGATTGATTCCTTGATAGTTTTGTAATAACAATGAACGCAAAAAGTTATTCTCAGATTGTAATTGTTCTGATGATTGAATCTTAATCCTCAATTCATGATTTTCTCTTTCAACTCTCTCTTTTTCCTCTTCTGCTCTCTGTTTTTCTTCTTCTACTTTCTCTTTGTCTTTTTTAATCACTTCCATTTCCAGTTGATAAGCTTCCATCTTGGACGTCAATTTTCGAATCTCTTCTTCTAATCGACGATTTGATGCTTGAATATCATAAGGAGTGTCTTGCACAGCAGAAACTCTACTGCCTCTGTCAGGTACCGTCTGTTGTTGCTGTTGATATTGTTGCTGTTGTTGATATTGCTGTTCTTGTTGTGGTAGAATGGGAGAATTTTGCGGGGTGGTAGAGCGAGTGCTATTGTGAGATCGAAGACTAAGTTTGTCCGGTGTCGGATTAGATATTATTCTAGGCTGTTGTTGCTCTTGTTGTTGGTGTTGATGTTGTGGAGGAACCATTTGTCCAGTGGGTTGAAAACCTTGAGTAGGATGATGCGCTTGCTGAAGTGGGGATTGTGGATTACTGCCACGAAGCTGAGTATCACGACTATGAAGTTTGTTTCCTAGAGCGTATTCTCGAGACTCTGTATTCTGAATATTGGGATTAACATTATTTAATGGAAAGTATATGGGTTGAGGATTCTTCGGATTCTGGATCTGGCCACGACCATTCAGCGGTTGTCGTTGTTGTGATTGAACCTCGACACGCACACCGCCGTCATTATTAACTTGACTCTGTGTATTCACTGGAAATCTGTATGTACTACTATTATTGTGATCAGCAGGATTCCCATTGACAATTGGATCATTGGAGACAGGACTTGACCTTACTGGAGTTGAAAATGCGAAATCGTGAGTAGAAGGTATCAGTCTATGATTTGTGGCATGGCGATCAAATCCAACTGTACACAATTGATAATCCAAATCATTAGTGGAAGTAGGTGAACAAAGATCAAATCTATTTTTGAGCAGCACGGTGGAAGTAGTATCGTCCTCTGAGAGAGCAATATATGACTCTCCAGGACTCGACCTTGTAATTATTTTCATGTTGATGATTATAGATTGAATTGAAGAAGAAAGAAATGTAAACAACAAAATATTTAATTGGGTGGGCCACAAAAAAAAAATAAACAAATGAGGGCGCGTATGGATGTTAAGATTTTGATCGAAGTTTGATGGAGAGTCTCTAGTTTTAACTACAAAGTTATTGAAAGTCCACATTAAGTTATACAAACATATTGATGCCATGCATTAGACAACTCTTTGATATATATTCCAGAGTATTAAGTTTACACCAATTGGAATTCCTGAAGCAAAGATATCTGCCCCATAGTTATCCATATCAAAATGATTTGAACATTGTGCACGACCCATATAATCTCATCTTGTTCATTGAAAAAAAAATCTCAGGTTTTCATACAACCCCATCTCAAATAACTCTAGACAATCATTAATCAATTATAGAAAATGTCAGATACTCAAATGGAAGTAGATCAACCAGATGTTAGCGAGTATGATCTCGAAAAAATTAAGCTTCTTCCCGGTGGATCTGAAGATGGAACTGCTGCCTCATTCCAAGTCATCGATGAAGATCATACATTAGGAAATGCATTACGTTATATAATTATGAAGAACCCAGAAGTTGAATTCTGTGGGTATTCAATTCCACATCCTTCTGAAAATAAACTAAATATTAGAATCCAAACATATGGAAACATTTCAGCAGTGGAGGCTTTACATCAAGGTTTAGATAATTTGAAAGAGTTATGTTGTGTGATTGAAGAAAAGTTTAGTGAAAAGATCGAGGCTGGTGGATATTCTACTGCTGAACCATAGGTGATTTGGAGTATGTTTTAGATGACAGAATGATTATATGTATATTAGGGTAATTAGCAATAAAAGATACTTGTACTTTTAGTTCCATACAGAAAAATAAGTTCTAACTTGACTCTCTTAAATGATAGAAAGGGGACCTTCAGTAATATTCCTAGAATCAGACTTTATAAACCTTGGTAGCCTCGTATACTTTCCTACTGTAGCAGATGATTTTTGCTTGCAATTTCCAAGTAAAAAGAAATAAATATCTCGATTACGTAATCACAATCTTAAATAGGAAAGCAAAAAAAAAAAAAATTTCTTTGCATTGTTTCTCGCGAGATGCATCTCTCTCCTTTTTCTGCTGTTTATAAGAAGAAGCGATTCGCCCTTAAAAAATTTTCATACTTTTTCTTTTTCACCTTTTTCTTCTTTTCTCCCTTTTTTTTTTATAATTAACCAAATCATTTCATATAGAATCAATCATGTCTTACAATAACGGTGGTTACGGCGGTGCTAGTAGAGATACCGGATACGTCAACAATAACAGAAGTTCCTACAAAACTGGTGGTTACAATGATAACCGCGGCGGTAGCAGAGATGGCGGTTACAATAACAACTATAATAATCAAGGTAGAGGTGGATATCAAAAATCATATGATCAACCTCAAGAATTAGTTGCTCCAGAATGGGATTTAGAAAACTTGCCAATGTTTGAAAAGAATTTCTATTCTGAACATCCAAATATTGCCGCTAGATCAGATAGAGAAATTGAAGATTTTAGAAGACAAAATGAAATGAGTGTTCTTGGTCACGATATTCCACATCCAATCACTTCTTTTGAAGAAGCTGGTTTCCCAGATTATGTATTGAAGGAAGTTTTAGCTCAAGGTTTCCCAAGTCCAACCCCTATTCAATGTCAAGGTTGGCCTATGGCTTTAAGTGGTAGAGATATGGTTGGTATTGCTGCTACTGGTTCTGGTAAGACTTTATCTTATTGTTTACCTGCTATTGTTCATATTAATGCTCAACCATTATTAAGTCCAGGTGATGGTCCTATTGCCCTTGTTTTAGCTCCAACCAGAGAATTAGCTTGTCAAATTCAACAAGAATGTTCCAAATTTGGTCGTTCTTCTAGAATTAGAAATACTTGTGTTTATGGTGGTGCTGCTAGAGGTCCACAAATTAGAGATTTAGCTAGAGGTGTTGAAATCTGTATTGCTACTCCAGGTAGATTGATTGATATGTTAGAAGCTGGTAAGACTAACTTGAAGAGAGTTACTTACTTAGTTTTAGATGAAGCTGATAGAATGTTGGATATGGGTTTCGAACCTCAAATTAGAAAGATTGTTGATCAAATCAGACCTGATCGTCAAACCTTGATGTGGTCTGCTACTTGGCCAAAGGAAGTTCAAGCTTTAACTAGAGACTACTTACAAGACCCAATTCAAGTCACTATTGGTTCTTTGGAATTAGCTGCTTCCCATACTATTACTCAATTAGTTGAAGTTGTCACTGAATTCGAAAAGAGAGATAGATTAGTTAAACACTTGGAAACTGCCACTGCTGATAAGGATGCTAAATGTTTGATTTTCGCTTCTACCAAGAGATCTTGTGATGAAATCACTTCATATTTAAGATCAGATGGTTGGCCAGCATTGGCTATCCATGGTGATAAGCAACAAAGTGAAAGAGATTGGGTCTTGAAAGAATTCAAGACTGGTAAATCCCCAATTATGGTTGCCACTGATGTTGCAGCCAGAGGTATTGGTATGTATTTTTTTTTCAAATGATTTTTTTTATTACTAACTTGATGAATGTTTATGATTTTTAGGAAATTTATTTAATTCTTTTTGTTGGGCAGGTCCCAGCTTAGAATTTTATACAGGAGACAAGGAAATAGAAGAGAAGGAGAATATATGACACAAAGTACATGTCCACCTTTTCATTAAGGATGGAGAAGTTTCAAGGAAAGGGAGATTGATAGATCAACAATGATTAAGGAAAACTGAAGAATAAAAATTGGGTTTACACATATTTTTTATACCATTTTGAATAATGACGTTGTCGCTATGCTTTGTTTGCATGATTTTTTTAAACATAATGAGAAGTATTTTTTACATTCATGTTTGAAATAGCTCTAACTGAGCCAGCCTTGGTAGACAAAGCGACATTGATTTATGTTAACCACGGTATACAATTTACCAATGGTTTAAAGTCATTTTCTTGATGGAAAAATACTGAAAATATATGTGTATAGAGTTCAATCTTTTGTTTTTAACTTTAGTTTCTATCTTTCTACCTACTTTTGTCAATAAATGCAACCAAGAGGACGATGGGTTTTTTTATTGAATTTCCATAAAGTGAAATCAATTTTGTTCCCTATACCTTCTTGGATTTTCTCATGAATATACCTTACAAGATATTATTGTATCTCCTGTAGTTTCTTTTTGTAAACAGATGTCAAGTTCACACCGTGTTGAAACGAACAATTATACTAACAGTCAATATTTTTAGATGTCAAAGGTATTACTTTCGTCATTAACTATGATATGCCAGGTAACATTGAAGATTATGTCCACAGAATTGGTAGAACTGGTAGAGGTGGTGCCACTGGTACTGCTGTCTCCTTCTTCACCGAAGACAACAAGAAATTAGGTGGTGATTTAATCAAGATTATGAGAGAAGCTAAACAAACCATTCCACAAGATTTACAAAAGTATGACAGAAGAAGTTATGGAAGTCACATAAGATATGGTGCAGGCCGTGGTGGTCGTGGTTATGGTGGCCGTGGTGGTGGTCGTGGTTACGGTGGTGGTCGTGGTGGACGCGGTGGTTACCAAAGACAAAGTGGTAGCAATGGTGCTCCTTTAGGTGGTGCCCGTCGTTTTTAGATAATAGATTATGTTTATCTGGGTTTTTGCTTGCTTTTTTCTTATCCAAGTTGCTATTGGTGATTTGCTAGGGTGTATTTTCTTACGTATAGATTCTGTTTAGTTTATTTTTATTAATTTATAAAGTTTTACTTATTCTAATAACTATTTAACTCTTGTCTGCTTAGTCCAACCCATATGGTCTTATGCACATTAGAGCTCGTCTCTCATTCTGTTACAAAGACTCACAGATTAAACTACCTGTAACTGATAGGCATACATCGGAACCCAAAATATAATCACGTGATAAAATTGTCGTTCGCATTTTTTGGTGGTGGACTAGCCGCAATCGAAAACGTTGGTGATACGCGTCTGGATGGATTAAATTGAAAAATGAAATTTTCGTAAACACTCCTCAAAAGCCAAAGTAACATTGCCTAAGAATGCTTTGGATCTTACAATTTCCACCTGAAATTATTCAGCTTATATTTGATGGTATCCCTCTCCCATATTTACGTGAGTACCTCAACGTTGATCAAATTGGACAGTATGCATTCAATTCATATTACGCCAGTATCCTGATTTGCGACTTCCGCGACGTGTCTGATGGATGGACCGCATTAACCACTCATGAAGATCTCCTTGGGGAAGAAGACGTGTTTTCAAGAACATATAACTCCAATCATGTGTATGGTAGTTTAAAATTTCCCACTACTGAAGATTTGTATTCCCCACGGAAGCAATGGAGAGCTCCTGTAGTATATTTCATGAACTTGGCAGAGTTTCTCGATTTCAGTAAAGCCGACCCTAGGTTTTTTCCAAGATGGCTAGAGTTTGAAAGACCAAGAGATTTCACAATGTTTCAAGCATTTCATCCTGACATGATTTCCAAAATAGAAAGGATCCATATACACGCTGACCTTAGGATCGATTGTGCCTCAGAGATAAAGGATGACATAGCATGCCAGTGGTTGATAAAGGAAGAAGAAATTTCGAACGTAAGCCACAGTTACATTGTGCCATATAGTCGATTGTTACAAAACTTTCCAAGATCCTTGAATTACCTTGAGCTAGACGAGTGCCTGGTAAGTCTGTATGAATATGTTTTTGCTGGATTTTCAATTACACATCTTAAACTCAATGATGTTCGGATCGGACCCGATGATATGGAATTTCTCCCTACTAGCGTAAAGTATTTGACGTTGACAAATTCATTGATTCTAGATGAAGAAGAGGACAGTTTAGTTTTAAAATCCCCTCCTAATTTGATCCAATTGGTAATCGCCAACTTTAGAGAAGACACAATTGTTTGCGAAGTTGATTTGCTGGCTTTAACTAAACTTCGATATGTCCAAAT